AAGCAAAGCGGCGAAGTCGGCGCTGTTTGAAACTTGGCTTCTCGCCGGGAAAGATTGGTCAGCGCCCCTCGGATGTGATTATTAGAGTTTGCTCTCCCTGACCAGGATAGAAGTTCTTTCACACGGCTGTAAGGCTGACCATTCAGCATCAGCGAGCCCACCGTGAAGCTACCCTTTGCAGTAAACAAATGGGTCCCACCCTCAGAGCTTCGCAAACACAAACAAATTTTCTCGCCGTGGCTTAGGTTGGAGAACCCGTGCCCAGCTTCTAAAGCTCCACGGGGGTGATGCGTCCGTTGTTGACAACATCGTAGCTAAGAAGGAACAAGATGGGCAAGTTCAGTGGCACCCAGACATCGATGGCCTGAAAATGTACTACGTATCCTAGATGCAGGATGCGGTTTCACAAATGCCATCCCACTTTCAACCTCAAAGGTACTGCTTGACCTCACCAGGGCGGAGACAGAGGAGACCAGCGAGACCCTTTCCATGACGATGTCTGGGTCTATGTCAGCTGGGGGCGAGGCTCGCGGTGGCACTCTGCATCATGCGCTGCCACTCCTGACATGTGTCGAGTCAGTGCGCGCAGGCTGCACGGAAAATGATGAACAATCTGGATGGCAACGAGTTCCTGAAAAACCATGCCCACACGCCGGCGTTCACTCGAGAAACGCACCTACCAGAAGGAAAAAGCTGAAAAACCAGATGATCAAACTGGTGGTGAGCCCAAAAAACGTGGTGGCGGTGGGGGGAAGAAGAATCATGACTCAAGAGTTGATGTTCCTTGCAACGCTTGGAGTGTTTGGGGCGCAGTCTCACTTGATCAACAATTTCGCGCAACCAAGGGCGAAGATCACTCCATCGCTGGACAACCCTGTGGCTTACATGCAGTGGGTGCTCCCGGAGCTGCTCACGGATTTGATGAGTGCCAAAATGTGGCCACTGAAGCTTTCCCACTTCAAGCATCAAGAAGCATTGTGAACCTTGGTTTCAAACATACTTTGCATGGCCGTTTTCAACCGCAGGCCCATGACAAACGCATGGCTGGGTTTCATTCCTGCGTGAACCTAAGGCCAGACAATGACTGCACATGCTCAAGATCTTGAAGCTCGGTACTTCCAGTTGCAGGCGTTCGCCACTCAAAAGGACTGCCCGACAGAACTCGCGTGTCATGCAGCCTTGGCATCCACCTTTCTGGTCCCCGTGACTCTAGATTAGCAATTGCTGCATTCCTTCACTCTTCTCTGCAGGAAGCTGATTTGGACCTGATGGAGTTGACCGAGCTCTGCGAATCATGCAGTTCCCTTCGCACCGGCTACCATGAGGATGCTGCCCTCGCCCACAACTTGACCAAGCCCAAGGGCGGCAAGCGCAAACAGAAGGAGCATCCATCCCAGTTTGAAGAGCATGCAATTAAAGGCATACATTGACACACAATACTTCATAATTGTGCTTTCTTGCCCCAATTACCCTTCGTTCTGTCTCCTGCCATCCGGTCCATCCGCAGGAGGCTGCGGATCCTGAGGAGTAGAGCGGCATCTTGCTGCACTGTTTTGGAGCACATGTGAAATCACGTGTGATGGGGACGTGCTGGAAACAGCGCGTGTGCAATTGGGGCACGTCTATGTGCCAAATGTGGCTACATAGACCAATATGCGGGGTGACTTCGAAGTGCAGCCAAAAAAACTGCCGACTTGCTACAACCCGCCATCCATAAAGAGCTATACCCTTCTTGATGCACGCATTGTTTTGACCCTTTTTGGAATGAGTCTGCATATGGGAGGGGCGCGGTAGAAACCCCTTTGAACTGAGCTTTGTGAAGTAGAACACGCGCATGCGTGGCCACCAGCAACACTTGACCTCTGATTTCAGTGTGGGGTTTTGAAAAGTGACCCTCCCTTTAATTTTGCACGCAGGACTTGGCGGGGAGGACTTGACGTCTTCATCTTCAAGGGGCCTACAGGTCCAACAAGAAAACTACACATTAGCCTTGCCCAGGTCCGGCCCCGCACATATTTAAATTTCTTTGCAGGGCCACCCAACTGCCGATTGTTCCCATTCAAGAGATGCTCTTTGGTTGGAACCAGGGAGGCCTTTCTTGGATCCTTGCTCAAGCATGCCAAACCTGACCCCCTGCATACGGCACAAACCAAACTCCGAAAATATAGCATGTTTGGGTGCGTACTCTGTGATGATATCCTCTTGAGGCGGTACTAGATCGAGGGAGGCAAATGGAAATCCCCACATTTTAACGATCCCCTTTGTTGAGACAAGCCCATTTTGCGCTTTGAAGGGGTTTCCATGCGCAAAAGGGACCGGTTTGGAGGGGGGGTTTTGCCAAAAATGGAACTAATTGTTTCCCTGTTTCGGGGTAGCCCTGCCCCCCAAAAACACCAACCTGGCTGCTGGCTTTGCCCTGAAGGAGCCTTCATCGCGGCCTCGGCCGGTGCTGACACCGTACGATCGCCCTCATGTTGCAGCAGCTCGTGAGAGGGCAATGGCTCGGAGGGTGGCGCCAGAACCTCGTGACTTCGGGGACCTTCTGGTTGACAATTTTGCTTCTGGGAAGTCCAGCGCTTGCAAAGAGACTGAGTTGCAGCTCGCGTTGTTTTAAAGCGGTTTTGCACTTATAGGGTATGCATAGTTGTTTTTTGTTGTAAACATGTTAACACTTAATGAGTTTGACCTAGCTGTGGCTTCCAAGGCCCGTGAGACTGCTGCTTCAGCTGTGAAGTGGTGCGCAAACACTGGCGGTGTAATTGACAATGGTGATGTGGTCAAACGTATTGCTGAGATTGGGGCTCAAGGGAAGTTCTCAGGAAATTGCGAGCGGGACATGCACAGGGTCATCCTTTCATACGGCAAAAGGTTGGGAGCCTCAATCGAATCCATCCGCGTTCGGATGTACAACCACAGCACTGCTCAGGTGGAATGGCAAAATCTCCCGGTCATTTTCCCCGACTCTATGGCAGAAGCTCTCTTCAGCAAAGGGGAGAGGGTTTTCCGTCACTGCATGTTTGGACGCACTGATGCGCACCAGTATTGGAACCACATGCGTGCCCACTCAGAATGGTTTCGAGAACATCCAGCATCGAACTTTCCACGGCTTTCTCATTTGATCCCCCTATCGTTATACGGGGATGGTGTTCAATGCTACAAAAACAGTGAGATTGGCACCATGAACATACTTGGCTGGACGAGCGATTTTGGGGCAGGCAATGATGCATTATGCCGCTACTTCCCTTTCACAGTTTGGAGTGAGCACAACGCAGCCCCAGAGACACCTGAAGATATTATTGGTGCCCTGACAGAGAGACTGCGGAGCATGGTCGATGAACGACACCTTTTTGAGTGGAGTTCCAAGGGATATTGCTTCATGATGAGCTCTTTGCAAGGTGACCTCAAATGGGTCTATAGTGTGTTCAACTTGTTTCCCTACAACCAGAACAGCTTTTGCAGTCTTTGTGGATGCTGCAAAACCCACGCCAATCCCGGGATGACCATCATGGATTTTCGGGATCACGCACAGTACTGGACCAGCCGGCCGGATTTGACAGCTTTTGAGGCTCGCCGCCCCTTGTGCTGGAATGCAATTACAACCAATTTGCTTTTTTTCATGTTTGGATGTTCTTGACAGGGAAACTCCTGCAGTTGGGTGAAAGTGAATGATTCTAACTCAAACCCCCGGAATTGTGCCACGCATCCACTTCTGCCCTAGCTGATGTTTGGGTAAACATAGTTTCGTCATTTGTTGGAATTCTTGAAAGACTTGCCGTAAACCAAGGATCGGCTGTGTTCACCTTGCCAGGATTGGACATTGGTCGTGTTTATCATGATGTATGCCACTCCCAGCTCTTAGGAACTGGCAAACTTGTCAATGGATCCACCATAATCTTTCTTGCCGAATCAGGGTTCTGGGGAGAGCTACCGCATGGAGTTTACAAGCAAGCCCTCGACTTCGTTCTCCGCTCGGCTCACAAAGACTGGTTGCAGTGGAAGAAGCAAGGGAAACACCATCCAACACAACCCAGGTTCACAGCTTCGCGGTTGTCGCGACCTAGTCGCACGAATTTCCCCTGTCTTTCCAGCAAGGCTGCTGCTTCCAAAGCAATATCCTTTTGGGTGGCGGAGCGTGCGCTTGAGCATGCAAACAGAGCCGGTGCGTCGAGCCTTGATAAGTTGGTGTCAGCTTGTGTTCATTCGTATGCCGCAGTGCTGAAGCTGCTTGATGAGTACCCGCCAGTCCTCTCTGCAGAACAAGCTTCTATTTTTCATGATGTCTGCATGCGGCACCTCCGATCCTACAGTGCTTTGAGGAAGACAAGCTCGCGAATGAGAGGGCGCGAAGCTGGCAGGTGCAACTGGTACGTCATCCCCAAACATCATTTTATGGCGCACATGGCGAAAAAGGCTAAGGAGGAGCGAACAAACCCAGCATTTTATACCTTGCTGTGCGCAGAGGATTGGGTGGGAAGAGTAGGGCGTATTGGGCGTGTTTGCCACCGAACAACCCTGTCTCTGCGGACACTGGAAAGATACCTAGCAACCCTGCATCTTCACCTCAAAAAGCTGTGAGGGTCTCTCTTTCGTCCGCCCGTGACTGGGGGCACGGGCCCAGGCTCAAGGCCGACCAGCAAGAGTGTTGCCGTCGAGCCACAGTTCAGCGCGGTGTGCCGAAAACATTCAATCGCTCGGCCGAAGAACACAGGTCTTGCATGGGGTGTCACAGCGACGCCCCAGAGATTTTGGGGGTCTCGACGTGCCCTCCCCCACGCCCCGCATCTTCATGACACCCCCAAAGCTGTTAGGATGTTTAGGGTGGTCTATTTTAGGGGGGTAAACCCCCTCCCAACCAAAACCAGAAAACGGGTTAAACAAGTTAACGCACCAATGGCTGGACCTAGGGACCTAGGGGACGAAGTCCCCCCCCCTTCTTTTTGGGGGGGTTCTTTCGGGGAGGTGCTGAGCTCCACTTGGACCTTCGCGGAGGCGGGATGCGCCTGGAGCACTTTGAGGCCCACGGACCCGGGCTGCGCGAAGGCGGACCTCGGCTCGCAGGTCGGAGTTGATTTCGGAGGCCCAGCGCGTGGTTCGAGTCAACTTTTGAGTTTCTCTTCTTTCTTTGTTTTTGCGGCCAACCTTCTCTTCTTGGTTTTTTGTTTTTTTGCGGCTTGAGGGTAATTATGCCCTAAAGTGGATGGAACATCCCAGATTCCCAGCCCATTTCCGCAGGGCCAAAGGTCCCCGAAAGTGGCAGACCAGTTTCCTCTTGGGACCGGATCCCGGACGTCGGGTTCCGTCGTAATTGGCGATGGAAAGTATCCCTTGTACGACCTCAGCTTTGGGAAACCAAAAGGACGCTTGGATGTTCAGGTGCTTGTGACTGGATGCCATGGGTACCGGATGGGGAAGTGGATGGGATAGTTTTGCATGGTTGTAAGCTAAGTGGTTGGAGACCCGATACTTCTGACATCACGACAAACACCGCACACGCTCACCTGAAAGCGTAAACAGTGATGTGAACTACCAAAAGGGAGACATACAAGGAGCCCTGAATACGGGCAGCCATCCATTGTTTGTGTGCTTCTCAAATAGGGGTGCGTCTCAATTGGCGATGGCCCGCAAATGGGTGCTTGTTTCCTTCGGCTTTCCTTTAAACTGACCGGGGAAAACATGGCACCCTCAGAAAGACACCTGTCCCGCACAAGGAGAATACTGGTGAATCGGTTGGCTATCTAACACATGGGAAACTGGGATCCACAAGCTTTTCCCTTCTTAAACAACCCCCCAGGCAAAAAAAGAAATACGTATACCCTTCCACCGACTAACATGGAAGTGCACAGACCCCTCTAGAAAGACTACTTTCCTCTTGGAAATTGGGTTTGTACACTTCCATGTTAGTTTGTGGGAGGGTACCCGGCTGCGGCGTGGTCTCCTCCAGAGGTTGTATTGGTTCCCCAAAAAAACACACGAAAGTGCAATTCAAGGGTTCCCTTCTTTCTCGCCTAACATCGGCCCGCCAACCAGAAACTCGCCTTGGACCAAATAGGTCATTTCTTGACACCACCCAAACCCTCCATTTGCTCAAGGCCCTTGGGACAAATCGACATATGTCCAGGGCAATCGCTCCTTTTGAAAACCAACAAGGGCAACAGCAAACGTTATGAGTCAACTTGGAAGCAAATGAGCGAAGCTTTGGAGTTTTGACACCACCAAACCGGGGAAAAAATCGAGTTGGACGTTGTAGCCTCGGACAAAGAAAGCACAGGTCGTCACCTGTTGGGACCATGAAACACGGGAACCCGAATCAAGGAAGCCACAAGCTGAGCAAGTTGACCCGCTTTGGACAAAGTTGAAAGTCAACATGTTCGAGAACACCCACCCACCCACCGACCCCGAAAAAGGGCTCACGCCGTGAGACAACCCCAAGCGTCTATTTGCGTTTCGCCCAGTAGCGATAAATTCCCTGTAAAGCTAAAACATGAGAAAATAAAAGAGCTCGCCTTACCCATAAACAGTGGTTTGGTTTGGTTGTGCCAAACCGAATAAAACACCCAAACCTTCCAATGTTCCTTAAACATGGGTGATTGCAACCCAAAATCCAGAAATGGGTGACATATCCCGCATTTTCATGTAGTTCCTTCGGGTCCAGGAACATCGTCATTTCAGCCAAATGGACCCGAACAACTTGAGTACACTGGACAACACACACACATATTTCCAGTAGTGATCAATTGAACCCATATTTAGCGCCCATTTAATTCTATTGCATAACTATGAGAACAGGTCGTGGGGTTTTATCCAGGGATTCAAACATTGGCCTCTTGAAATTCCCTTCAATACGAACAGGGGAAAGTAAAATTCAATTAATTCACTTCAGCCCGATGGATTCGCCCCACGTTGGCGCAAGAAACCCTTCGCTCGCACCTCGTGGCGGCATCCCAGGCGAGCCACAGCAACTTGGCCACAAACTCCTGCGGCTGCAAATCGGCGGCATCGGCTCGACGCGACTCGGGGGCTAGTGGTTACTACCTGGAGTCTCCATGACCCATGAAAAATGGGTCCATGACCTCATTCATTTGGGGGCAATGACCACATTTTATAAGGGTCATGGAGAATCCAGGTAGCTGGTTCTCAGCAGGGAAGGAGGGAATGAAGCCCATAAACCATCCAACTGGTGGCTCCCAGGTTCATTCCCTCATTCCCTGCTGAGCACCAGTAACGATATACACAAAAAACACCCACAAACACGCGGGTGGTTGAGAACCCACACAAACCATTGATTAAAACAAACAACATGTGCCCAAGATTTGTTTGGACCCTGCCTGGAACACTGTGGTAAATGGCCCGTAAGTGGGTTGGTTGTACATAGGGAACATCCCACTGAACGGGCACTTTTTAGCCCATTGACCACCCAAATCCAAATGGTTTCAACTTGGCCAAGGATCTCGTCCAGCCACAGTACTAGGCTGGGCAGGCCAAAATTCTGGGCCAAGATTCTCACTGATTGCCGAAAAACCACCGGGATACACCACGCCCCGGATCTCGGTAATAGAATGCTAGACCCCATAGCTGGAAGCTGCTAGGGAAAACACTTTTTCCAACATACCTGAAGTCTGACTCGCCCCCGCCCCCAAAAAAAGAAAGTAGACAACAACAACACCCAACTCCAAAGCTGACTCGCCCCCGCCCCCAAAAAAAAGAAAGTAGACAACAACAACACCCAACTCCAAAGCTGACTCGCCCCCATTCCCCTTCGCCCCCCGGAAGCTGACTCACCCCCGCCCCCAAAAAAAAGAAAGTAGACAACAACAACACCCAACTCCAAAGCTGACTCGCCCCCGAAATGTGTAGGTCAAAACACATGTTGTGGGCCATGGTCATGGCTCCCCTGACCCGCAAGAATCATGATTGGCTGATAAGCTCGAAAAGCCCCAAGCACTGTCAGCATTCAGAAACGTGGCTCGTTTTTCTGTGGTATACAGCATGAAAAATGTGAACCCGAGTCTGCTCTGTATGTAGTCCGCCCAAAAACTCAACATGGGAGTGTCTTGTTTTAGGATTTGGACCCTCCAACATGGTGGTTTTCTTTTGGGCGTCCCCTTTAAAACCACAACAAATGGGTATCGCGCATAAACAAATGACACACCCAGACCCCCCGTCGCGGGAAACAACATGAAACATGGCGCCTTAGTTGTCCTGAAGAGGGACCCGGAAACAAAAGGTCGTCACATGTTGCCACCCCTCGTTTGGTGCTGTTTTGTCCGGAAACCCCAAAGGACAACCACACATCTGAGGGAAGGACGAGCCCAAACAGAACCCAAACCTTTCAGGTCCCAGCCTGCGGCCGATGATTGGGGTACCCTCCAATGCTCGAGTCCCCTGGCAAAAAATAAAAATGATTCCAGTAGTGATAGAATCCCTTTCAAAACAACGGGGAAAAAACATATATATATATATATTCTTAACCAAGTGGAAGGTACCTGGAATCACGAGGACCAACAAACTCTTCAGGACTTCGGGCACTGAAATCACTAGACATGCGTACTCGGGAAGAAGCTGGCACCGCCCATTCCCAGACCCCTGTAGGTTTCCACCACAGAAAGGCACATTTTTGCCCGTTGCTGGATGGTAAAGGGGCTTCCCTCTCTAAACAACTGGGAATCCGTTTGGCAATAATTATCGGTGTGTCTGTTTTTGGAGGGCATCCTGGTTTTGCTGGGCTTTGAAGGGAAACCTAAAAGGAACACCACCATTTGGGGATTTGGGGGGGTCCAAATCATGAAAAAAACAAGCCGCCCATCTCCTGGCATCTCGCTCTCTGCACCAGGTCCTGGCCAGCAAGCGTTTGGCGCGTGATTCGCGCACGTGACATCCAAAGGTGTCAAATAGGCCTTTTCGCCAATTGTCCAAGCACGTGGGTCTGTTCTTTATTGAGGGATCCCTTTGTGGTGGCTTTGAAAGGGACACAAAGAGGAAACCATCATTTTGGGGAGGTCCGCTTGATAACAACAAAACAAATCAACATCCAATGTGTCACATGGACTTCCCAACAAGATTCGGACAATTTGTAAACAGGTCTTTCAGGAAGGAACTGGTCCCTAAATAAGAAACCCACCACATGAATCGATTGGGCAACCATTCAGCTTCCCTCTAGGCGGTTTGGATTGGTTTGGAGGCGGTGCCTTTCCGTTTCTACAAGAATGGGCCCAAACCTGCTAGTCCAAACAAACTGAGGGTTGCCTGAACCATGCTCCCATTGATGCTCCCATTGAGGAACAAGTGCCCGTCTCAAAGAATCTGAAGAATCCCCGCGAAGGAAGAATATACCCCCGCAAGACCGGGAGCGAGTTAAGAGGGCTTCCAGCCTGACCAGAAAAAAGGCGCCCCTCTCTCTCTCTCTCTCTCTCGCTCGATCTCTCTCTCTCTCTCTCGCCCCCCCTCCCCGACCCTCAAACTAACCATAAACAAGGCAGGATTTGGGGGAAGAACCCAAATCCTTGTAGAATTTCAAAATTCCCGGTGTATACTATTTATTGTACACATGACAAGAGCTTTTGCAGCCCTGTCTTCCTGTCCCTGCAAAGCCCGGACCCCGCGGGGTCCAGGAGTTGCACTAGGCCACCACGGTTCAGGAACTGGGCCACCAGAGCGGGCAAGCGCTCGCCCTGCCGAAAGCCGAAAGGGAGCCGCACGAGGCCCTCGTGTGGCGAAATCCAGAAATCTCGCTGTCTAGAGTCTCCTTTTGACCCTTAAACCATGGTTGGTCATTAACCCCATTATAATGAGGTCATTGACCACTTTTGAAGGGTGGTCACTATGGTCATTAACCCCATTATAGGATCATTGCTCCATGTTTGATTCGTGGCAGAAGGAGACTCCAGGCACTCACTTCCGATCAAGTGGACTGGCCAAAAACAGGTGCCCAAACTAATTATGATTTACCCCTAAGATGGTCTTGCCAAAAAGAACGAAGTCCGGGAACTCAGGAAGTGAGACTACCTAAAAGAAACCCAACGGAAGGATTCGATTCCCCAACGCAACTACCAAGAAACGTGCTGGTTTCAACCATGTGTTCATTTCGTGGTGTGAGGATTGCCTCCATCCACGTAGCAAGAGGTAGAAGCCCTGGTCTCATTGTGGCAACTGGAAGCATCATTTTGTTTTTGTTTACTTAACATCAGACCTAGAGGAACTGAGGTGACGATCGTTCAGCCTTGGCCCTACCAAAGAAAGAAAGCCAGTCGGAAACTCGAAACAATGTTGGCAACCAACCGGTGATGTTCAGCTTGATAAAGAAGCAACAATCTGGGGAACCTTGAGGGAGCAACCCTCCCAAAAACCAAAAAACAAAACAAAACAGACAACACAAAACAACAACTTGTTCTGGGAAGCCTTGTAGGCAGAGACAAAACTACAACTGGCTCATACAAATAGTGGGGGGGGAGGGGCAACTTGCTGGTGCTCAGGGAGTGTGGGAATGAACCTGCTGACCAGCAAGCAAAGGTACCCTCCACAAAAACACCCGCCAAAATTGTTGAATGTTGGGCAATTCTGTTCGTTCATTGTGAGACATCTGGCAGTGGGTCAAGCATAGGTACCCAAAAGCGAACCTTGGTAAAGGGAACCTTGGAAAAGGGAACCTTGGTAAAGGGAACCTGCGGTCCGCTGACCCACCGCCATCTGGGCTGGAAGCACTGCACCGAAGAAAACCCCTTCGCTGACCCGATCCGCCCGCCGCACTCGCCGCTTCGCTGGAAATCGCCTCGCGGGCAACGACCACGTTCAAGGCCGGGCGCACATCGTCGAGCGCATTTTCCTGGCGCTTGGGACACCCGACTGAGACCGCCAGACGTTCCACCCCGGGGGGGTTATGGGTCTGGTAAGGATAGGCATGGCGCAGGCCCTGTGACTTTGTGGCTTCTGAAACGCGGCTGTTTTGATAAACAATTTTGACGTTTTAACTGACAACTTTAACATGTGTAATCCAGGAAAACTACTGACCAACATGGTTTTCGAATTTTAACCACGGTCCACTAATAACTAATAGGCGTGTCTCCACACCTTCAGCAGTATAGATCCTTCTGACCGAGCTGGCCACCCGCTAGCTTGCTCAGGGCAGTTTTGAGGTATCGCTCAAACAGTCAAAGTCGGACCGTAGTCTTGGGCAACTTTCCACCATATACCCAGGCCACAAATCTTGGCATCATTGTTGGTTAAAGGGCAAAGATATAAGATGGTGCCAAACTTTAACCAAATTCTCAGTCGCCCAAAGGACCCATAAATAAAAGGTGATCACCTTTGAGCACCTTTACTGAAAATGGGAACCCCAAAACGGAAAACCAGATCCGGTCACGTCCGGTCTATTCGCTCTGGGCCTTTGTAAGGAGAAACGAAAAGTGGCCTCCTACCCGGTCCCCAGAAAGCTTCTGAGAACCGGCAGCTGCATCAGTCCTCGTTCTGAACGACGCCCAGAAGCAAGCCAATCACCTGAGGACAGCATACAAAATACACAATTCAATGCAAAATCGCCAGTGGGTGGAAAATGTGGGCTCCAAACAAGATTTGTTGATACCTTGTTAAACTCAATTCAGGGTGAGGAAACCGGGGCCGACCCTTCGAAAGAGAAAAACAACTCCATATTCAGACCAGTGTTCTAAACATCACCCCGCCCAGAGCAAGCTCAATTCATGTTGACCTTACTTGGCGGGAATTGTTGGTTTGCTCCGGGTGTGGCAAGCTCAAGCTGCTGAAGAAGCAACGCCGGCAAGTTGTTGTGGATTGAATCTACCCATCCATCTGCTTAAGTCTGAAAGCATAGAAATATGTCCAGCAATGATCGATACCGTTAAAACTAACAGTTGGAAGAACAAACACCTTGTCGGAAAAAAACCAACACGAGAGCTTAAATGGACGAATCTTTTTACAGTGTCTCGGTTGCGAAATCCGGAAATCGCGCCACTAAATGAGTTACCGTGGTTGAAACCATAACCTAGAGTCTCCATGACCCTTAAACAACGGGTCCATGCCCCCTTAATTTTGGGCAATGACCCCACTTTCTAAGGGTCATGGAGGCTCCAGGAACGCTTGTCAGGCATTTACGCTGGGGAATCGAACCTCGTTCCCTATCTGAGCCTCTGACGCCGCCGTCCACCAGGCGATCTCTCGCCGCCTTCCATATGGCGCTCAGATGAATGTACAAAAATGGCACCTTGGTAGATGGAACCAAAGACTAAAAGCTGCGGTTTGCCCTAGCTCTGGAATTAGCCACACCCATATGGCCAGGGGTCAAAAGCACAATCGTACCCCCAGTGAACATCCCAATCCCCACAAAAATAGGCTCTAAAATGGGTGGTGCACCTACCCCAAAATGGTACCATCGTGGAGGAACCCCAGATTTGGTTCGACTCTCTGTCTTTTTGGCAAAGAACGATTAAAGAATTACCAGACATCCCCAATTACAATCCGGAAACGAGTGACCATCACGGATACGTTTCTAAACCCGATCAACACTTCCCAGCCTTTAAAATGGGTCAACTTCTTGCAACCCGAAGCTTATGGAATGGGCGAACTCCAGCTTCTTCATGGGCTCCTTTGTGTCCAGGTGGCTATGAGCCTCCTCGGTTAATGGCCTTCCTGAAATATTCAGGCCTCCAGCCGTCTATGAGGGTTTCTCTCTCTCAACATGGTGACCTGGACCCGTAAGAACTACACCCCCCCCCCAAAAAAAAACCGGAACTCAAGCAGCAGGTTGGCAACCAGCAGGCTGGGCAATCAGTCACCCTCATTTTCCGGCTGAGACTTTGGAGGATTCAGATTCGGACGCTCCTTTTGGGTTAGGACAACTCATCTCCAGTGGCCACAACTCGGAGAGTGGTGTGGGGATTGTGATCAGAGAGGTCGCTGGGTGGTACAAAACACACGGTGCGTTCATTTCCTCTTCGAGTAATAAGACATCAGGGAAAACCATGTGCCCTGATTGTTGATAGGGACACGACACGCCTCAAAAAGTGGTTGGTGGGCACAAATCCCCAATTAAACGATGTCCACCATTTCGGGTTCGGAATCGTCAAAATGTCATACCCATGTAAAGCCTGGAAGCAATGGTTGAAAGACAAACAAGAATCATGTATTTTCCAGAAAATAAATAAATATTTACAACAAAACAACTGGTGGGAGTGTTTTTGTTGTGGCAACCTACCCTGAAAAAAACGAGAGACGCTCCCAGGTCGCGATTTCCAACACCGATTTATGGTTTATGTTGCTCTCGGATTCAGACAAATCCCAGCTTGTCAATATGGAGGGTTCTTCCAGTTCTTCCCCTCCAAAGTGATGAATGAAACCACTAAACAGGGCCCCCCACCTATTCATAACCCTGACAATCCAATGTATGCATATATCGCCTACATTGGCCGACGCCCGCGTTTTTCAACTACATTGACCGATAAACCCGAATGTAGCCAATTTTTGGGGACATTCAAACCGACAACTTCCGACAAGGGTTCCGACAAGCCTTCCGACAACAAGCTCGCCTCAATTTCGGCGACTCTATCCGACGACACCCTCCAACCAGCCTTGTCCAATGCCTTTCCGACCGCTAACTTAACTCACAATGCAGGAAAATACAAAGGCAGGCCGCAAATTGCTGTACGGACAAAACTTAAACTGCGAATGACTGGCAACAACTACAGGGCCCAAACAGGGCACATAATGATTCGAGCCAACCCCGGCTATCATTGTCGGTAAATGTTGGTTGCCTGGCATGCAACAGAAGGAATCGACTAGCATAGTGTAGCAGATCCTGCTGAGGACTTCCGATTGTAACGTTAACCATTTTGACGGGCTGGCTGGCTTGACGAAACAGTGTGGCGACGAAGCACATGTGCGATAGTTCAAGCTTTTCAGGCCACACCGTGAAGCACATTTCCAGAACTGGGTCACTCTAAGGCAACGCCGGTTAGCAAAGATCACTCAACAAACATAATTATTGCGCATGGAGGACAACAACTCCTTGCAAAACACCTCGCAGCAGGAGATCCTGCCAGCAGTCACTCTCAACAAAACCTTTCCAAACGCTGATGGGGGTTGATACCCCCCCAACCAAAAAGGTAAAGCAGAATGATGCTACATCGTCGTTGTCCACAGTTACACAATTTCGTCAACTTGCCCGTGCGTAGCTTAAATGTGTTGCTTCCTGATTGCTTGCAAGCTGCAACCTCTGGCTTTGCGAGCTAAGTTCTATTATGTTTGATGCGTGCCCACGCAGGGGCCATGGATCATCATGACAAGCTTGTTCGCGGGCCATAAGCCGTCGACCGAAGGCAAGGGGTCAAATTTCCAACAATCACATCTCCAACCAAACACTTGCTGAACACCACGCCGCAACCCCGTCCAGAGCGCAGCCCATCTTAAACAGCCCCTGCTGTTCAAAGCAGGTGTTTCATTTGTTTCCAGGAGGCTCACTTTGAAAGCATGCTAGCCTGCTAGCAGTTCCCAAGCACCATTCGAGCGGCAACTGCTTGCCACGCGAAATTTCACTGGTCAGATAGAAATTAAGGCTCTAATCCTGCCATGCCCCATGCCGCAATGCAACATTCACAGACTTAACAAAAACAGCTTTGTCAAACGAGATGTGCTGGGAAGGGCTCAAGCGGCGGTCTTGAGGAGAACGGATATGACGCAGTCCAAGCCCCATATGTTTTTTTTGCAAGGGCTTGGTTTATCGATGAAACCCAACTAAAAAGGGCACGAGTAACATGTTTGCCTAATGCTCTCCTTGATTAAACACTCCGAATGTCTTGGGGCATGCAGTATTCCAGTTGTCCGACAAACGCTTCTCCGCTGATAAGTTCTAGGCCGGCTTGCCAGGTGACACAATCAATCAATCAATCAATCAATCAATCAATCAATCAATCAATCAATCAATCAATCAATCAATCAATCAATCAAGCCACATCACTTCCAACTCACGGTGCAAACAAAAATCGAGCCTCGTCCGACGTGTCAAAACATGAACACAGTCCGGCAAAAAACATCACGCTATTTCACGCTATTTCACGGTTTTCCGTTAACGTAAGCAAAAATAAGAAGACAATCCGACAACTTTTCACGCCAAATCACGCCAAATCACGGTTTGCCGTTTGCACAAGCAAAGGACAGGAACACAATCCGAGAAGAAGTCACTCAAGAACAACAAAATTTGTCGGGTCATTTACTCCAAATCGCTTGCTAATTTTGGGCATGCAGGTGTGAAGAACATGGTAGGGACATACTTTGGTCAGCCAGGGGGAATAAACGGACCTTGCTGAACTTCTTTTGGGTAGCAACAATAGGCACCTGTTGGGCCTTTAGTAGACCAAGCTTTGAATAGGCAAGACTGAGCTTTTTGCATGGCTGATGCGATCCCAGAGCTGATGCGAGTAGACAACATGCTAAGCTTGGTGGCTCCTTATCCGAGTTTACATAGCAATCAGTATTGCCAAGCTAATAGTACAGATTGCGCGTGCAGCATCATATATCCCATGCTCAATCCGCAAAACGCCAGGCCTGCCCACGCAATGTAGTCATTGACCTAAACCTACAAATCTGAGCTTAGATATTCATCATCTTGAACTGCATGTGTACATAAAGTCTTGCACATGCGTATATACATAAATTTGCACCTGCGTAACATGTGTATGTCTATGTTTTGCCTAGCGGAAAACGCTTTTTGGTAAAATAAACTTGGAGTTTCTTTTTGGTATGCTTGGACATCTTGCTGCGTAGATTGAGCACGCTTGACTGGCCAACAGTTACTGGGTGGCAGTTGGGAGTCGGCTCGGCAGGCTCTCAATCATTCGGCACAGCCAGAAACATGTCCATACTTGCAATCGCGTGTAGGCTGTACTGTTGTAAAATGAATCCCTGCCAGTTGATAGATGGCTGTGCTTTCCAATGCGGCTCAAGGTCGGCAAGTCCGTGCCTTTGGCGCAGAGCATGTTGAATTTGTAAGCTTATCATTTCAAATACGCATAATCCAAGATCAAAGCACGTTTACATGGGCAATAGAGCTCGAGGGTGGCTTTGCGTTGCACGGTTGAACAATTTGCGTACTCAATACTTAGAGCGGCTTTCTCACAAGAGTGCACCAACGCTGCACGCACACACAGTCCCATAAGAATTGCCCAAGTGCACGAACAGAATCATTCCTGCAATTGTTGATTTGTTTGTTTGGCGTAGCCTGCTCATACGGAAAAACACTTGCGAGAGTCTGATGGCGAGCTCTCAACCATCGCTAGCTACAAACGTCATCAAATGTCCATGTCAGTAACGTGGTGTTTACATTTGTTGAAGCAAGTGCAAATGAATGAAAGCGAAGTTGCTACACAACAGGGCTTTGGCAAATAGAGCAAGTTAGCAAACATGATCATTGGACCCATGCAAAACAAATATGCTCAACAAACTCCGCCACATTCGGGTTGAAATTTGACTATCGGACACGAGCTTTGTCAAATCTCATCATTTGCCAGGCCATATTTCGACATTCGACGGGGATTCGGCGAATGTATCATGTTTTTGGCTATATTTCGACAATCCGACAGGGATCCGACGAATGTTGTCGTTTTTTTGCTACATTGCCAATGTACCCCAAAAATGGCTACATTGCAATGTACGCCATATTTGCCTACATGGATTCTCAGGGTAAACTTGGGATTGTTTTCATCCGGGGTCAACATTGGGATGGTCCCGTAACCTTCTCTAATCTCTGAAAAAGTGTGGCGCACTTGTGGCCCTCCTAGAGTGGATAGGCGTTTTGCCACTATAGCTGACCAGGCATTCCTTTGTAGCTTCTGAATTCGGGAAGCTGTGCACATCCGCAGTGACTAAGGATGTGTGTGATTTCGGCAAGCAGGAAACGCTCGGAAAGTCACGTCTCCCGCGGATGCAAACAGAAGGGTGGTGTTTTGGTAAAAGAGAAACCGAAAAGGACATCCACAAATTTTGCGGGGTCCACCAAAACAAGACACACCCAACGGGCCCAAATGCCCTACGGGCTGGCGCGTGCATTTTTCGCGCCTGGCTGGTGCCAAGAGCGCCAGCCACCAGCTGACACAGAGGCAGCCTGCCTAGCCAAAGCGCCCCAGCGGTGCTCGGCAAAAAGCCGGGGGCAAGAGAACTCTAGAAAACAGTTTGGATTTGCGCTGTTTGTGGATTTCACCTGTTCTTGCCGCGGTTGGTCCTTTTTTAGTAATATGTTAATACTCTTTCAATATTTTTTTCCAGGGGTGGATCCACAGAAGTCACATCCAAGCCGGTTTCTAGATAAACTCACTGGCTTTTGTGGGATTCACAGGGATGGAGCACTGCCTCGTCTAGGAATTGACTGGGACCCCTGCAAGTGAAAAAGAATCGGGGAATAAAACTTGCTGGGGCGATAGGCAAGGAATGAGACTTGGAATGACCCCAAACCATCCTATGGCTTCCTTTCAAAGTTACGTGTTCATTCCCATACTACTGAGATCTACTGAGCACCAGCAAGGAAAAATCGTCGTTCTTTGACTCCGGTTCCATGTTGATTAGTTCCTGTGGTCTGAAATCGATAGTTTTGGAGACCCGAGGTTCAGGCCTTTTGCCTTGGCTGTCTTTGAGGGAGGGTACTTCCCGCCATCCGGCCGACATGCCCAAACTTTTGAACCTCCCGCTCAGTGGCTGGCTGCTAGGGTGGACAAACCCGAACCCTGGCCCTTCCCTGATTCGACGAAGAAGGCTGGGAAAGTGCGGGGTTTGGGATTCCTGGGTATTGCAAGGAACCTTGCCATTGCGAAGCCAGTCCTGATTGGTTGTTTCATGCTTCTCTTCAAGGTAATTCCTTTGAACAAGACAAAATGGGCCTGTCCTGTTTTAGGGGTGGGTGTCCTTTGGGGCGTCTTTTAAAACCCCAACCGAAAGCCACCCTCAAAAGGACACAGCCAAATTCGAGTCCCTCGTTCTGCCCGAGAGACCGGTATGAAAACAAGGCTTCAAGAGGCTTGCTCGGAGCTCCCAAAAGATGATGAGAAAACACATTCGCGTAGTGGCAGTGAGAACCCTCGGATAAAATTCATATCCCGTGGATGGCTGCGAATCCGCAAGTCGCGCACCACGAAATGAAGCCATGGTTGAAACCGGAACGTTTGTTGGTACTTGAAGGAGGAATCACCATGCCAGGGCTTCTTTTAGATGGTTCAGCATTCATCCATCCACAGGAGGAAGAAGCGGGCCGGTCACCCACAAAAGTGATCCACACCCTACATGGGGAAAACAGAACCTATATATATATATATAAATATTATTTATCTGCTTCCAGTGAAGGATTCCTACAAAAAGAGGACAACCCCTATTCACAAGCCGGGCTTCTGCTTAATCCAGGGTTCGCATTAAGCAGTTTCCTTTGGAGTCCCTGCAAATCCATGGGCCCAAGCCGGAGACTGGATAGGCGGCTTCGGAGACTGGATGGCCGACCCGCCGAAAATCGCTTCCTACAAACCATACCTGTGGTGGGCGCCTATCTTTGAGGGTACCCCTTTTCGGTTAGGTTTAAAGGAAGACCAAGAGAAAACCATCTACCTGGAGTCTCCTTCTGACCCTTAAAAAATGGTTGGTCATTACCCAAAATAGGGTACCTGGAGTCTCCTTCTGACCCTTAACAAATGGTTGGTCATTGCCCAAATTAAAGGATTTGGTCATGGACCCATTTTCAATGGGTCATGGAGACTCCAGGGAGTTACACGGTCCCGGTAAAACCGAAAGGAAAATAGTTGGTTCTCTACTATACCTGGGGTCTCCATGTCCCATTTTAAAATGGGTCCATGATCCCCTCAATTTAAGCAACCATTTTTTAAGGGTCCAGGTACGGGCTTGCAACTGGGACCCACTGGGGGTGGACCATGCGCGGCTGTTCCGACAAAGTTCGAGAGGTAGCAAGCAACATGAGTTTTCCGGAGCGAGGGGTTGAAGTTTTACCCGCGCCCTCCTGTCTTTCAGGGTGAATTTGCTTGGAGATTCTGAAAACTCAGTTGCCCAAAGGACCCAGAAATGAAAGTCAACCTTTTGGCAGCTTACAAAACATGGACCAACATGGGAACACCATAAAGTTAAAATGGTTGGCTTTGGGCAAGTGAGAACATGTTGAGGCCTCTTTGGTTGGTATTCAAACAAAAAGGTCTTACCTGCTTGCTCGCGGAAGAGCATCCCGGAAACTTAGCCTTGGGACATGGGAAATGGACCGATTCCCGGTTTGCCGATTCTTCTCCCCGTCTGCTCGAGAAACATGGCTCCCCTTGCTATCTGCGAGATTGGAATAACCAACTCATTTCCCTCTGGCAATGGTCTATGAAGTCCAAAGTGCTGGGGAGAGTTGCGGGGGTTTGTCCTGGCGAAATCCGATAATGCTACGTGCGTGGCTGCAAGCCTGCATGGAGAAAGTTTGTGCCGGTGCTTCTTGCCTATGATGTATTCAAGCTGACGCACAATGCATCTGTAAGTGACAGTCTCGTCCAAGTTGCTGTGGTGGGTGCCTTTCTGTGAGGGTACCCGTGTTCAGTTAGGTTTAAAGGAAAACCAAGGGGAAACCATGTATTTGCAGGGAAAAACGAAACACCTGGAGTCTCCATGACCTTAAACAATGGGGTCATTGCCTAAATGAAAGGGGTCATGGGACCCATTTTTGATGGGTCATGGAGACTCCGGGCACCCATAGAAAACGCGTCCCGAAAGCGAGCAGCGCCCCAACCCCCACGCCGGCCAAGCTAGCCCGTGCCTCCGGATTGGGCCGCCCTCAGCCAGAGCGAGAGGCGCCATTTAGAGACCAATCTATTTGGGGGGTGTTCCGGGCAGAAACTTGACTTTTTTGCCAAGCCCCCCCCCTGGCAAAAAAAGAGAGAACCGAACCAAGAAACCAACAAACTGAAAGAGCAGGGAGGCCCTGTTTGGGTGTGGATTCAAATAGGGGGTTTCCATGGCATGGCTTCCCTTTGGCTTGCCTGAAGCCAACCCCAAAAAGGGCACAGTCAAAAAAACACACACCCATTTAGAGAACCCATTTGGGAGCGGTTGTGTACTCATTTTGGGTTCGCTGTTCCTCGGTTTCTTCTTTCTTTTGGGGGAGGTGGGGGGTACCCCCACACCCCGACAAAAGAAACATCAGCAACCAACCAACCAACCAACCAACCAACCAACCAACCAACCAAACAACCAAGCAACCAAGCAAGCAACCAAGCAACCAAGCAACCAAGCAAACAAACAAAGTAAAACAAAGTTATTATTAAAAAAAAAAGAAAAAAAAACCAACAGTTTTTGCCCGCAATGTTGTTCCGAGTTGCCAGTGGCTGCCTTCTCCGCGCCGCAGTTCCCGTAGGCCCTGGCAAGTTTGAGGTGTCACCGCTGTAGGAGGGGGGAGGCTCCCTACGTGGTGGTCCGCCTCCCGAAATGATGGCGTTCCTTTAGATCTCCTTTAAAACCACCAAACAAGGGGTAACTAAACAAACATAGACACACCCATTTTGGCAACCCACTTGGATGCTTAGCCAAGTTAGTAAGTGGTTAGCCACCTGTGTTGTGGGGGGAGCTATAAGCGGGTTCTGACGGTTAACTCCACTTAGGGGGAGTTACAAGCGGGTTATGACCTGGCCACAGCTTACCATCTGGCTGAACACCCAAGTAGGAAACCACACACAGGTTAGCCCGCCTTTTTGAAGACAGGTTTTTCTTTTGCCGGGAACGTGGATTGCTTTTCTGGGGGGGGTCTTTGTTGGGCGATTTGTTTGGCGAGGTTCTCAAGTGGTGATGTGTTTGTGGCACCTGTATTTTTCTTCTGGTTTGGGGGGGGGAGTCACATGTTTGGTCGTCTCCCCGAGCAGGGGCTTCTGGAAGGTGGTGAGCCAAATCAGCTTCCCTCGTTTTGCGGTTTGGAGGTGTAGCCCGAGGTGAATATCACATTTACCCTATGCAACCAGGATTCACATCTCCAAACCAATCCAAACCACTTGAAAATGACCTGACAACAAGTTTCATTCATTACCAAAACAATCGAAACCACTCTGACTAGAATGGTTGTTTCCTTCATGAATCCAGGTTGACATTACACTGGTTGCCAAACATCCAAACGGGCGTGGCTTTGCCGAAGGTTTGGCCGAGAAACCGCAAGGACATCGAGCCTTGAGGATTGTAACACCCCGCGAATCTTCCATTTGGATACGCCACCTGAACAAAGTCAAGCTGGACCCTCAAACTACACAAAAAAGCTCACCCCATAGTTGTGGGGCAATAACCAAGTCTGAAAAACAATGGTGAGGGCTTAGGAACATACTTATATACTTCCAGTGATGAATTCACCGTTAAATCCAACAGGGGAAACTAGCACATCTTTTGTTTGGAAAATGGAAGCGTTCAGCTTAAGCCAGGGACCGAGTCGCGACCGGCAGAATCGGTCCTCAAGCAACAGATCGGTCACCGAGGGATGACCGAGTCGGTACCTACGGGAGGCGAAACAGAAGCGAAAGTGGCTAAGAGCACCGGGGGTGGGTGGTTGAGAGCGTTAGGGTCTTTTAGAGTTCCCTGTCGTTCCTGCACCTGGTAACTGGATTCTGCGCAATGTTTGCAATACTTCCAAAAACCTGAAATACGAATCGGATCCCCAAGTAAACATATGTATCATGGTGAGCTCGTGATACCCCCAAATGAGCTCGCCATAAATTATGCAGAAGCATTCCCACCAGAGCCCCGATCAAACTCAACGAGGGGTTCTGCTTGTAGGGGTTGACATTAAGTCGGAGGAGCATGATATCCCCGCTACCTTACTTAACCTTGAGGGGGAGGGGATGGAGGTCCGGGACCTAATTCCAGTTCTCTAGTCTTCCGGAAAAAGAAAAGGGAAGTCCAGGCGTCACCCCCCTCCCCCAATTTCAATTTGATTGCCCTGTTCAGGCTGTAGCTCATTGCCGTCGAGCGTCGGCTTTGCAAAGGGGTCAACCCCTATGTTCAAAACACTCCGGGAGTCTCCATGACCCGTTGAAAATGGGTCCATGACCATCATGACCGCTTTAATTTGGGCAATGACCAACCATTTCTTGAGGGTCAAAGGGAGACGTTCATGCAACCACGGTGCACTTGCCCAACCTGGACCCTAAAGACTTAGGCACACCGTTCCCAGGTTGATCCTGTGCAGAAAAGCCAAACCCAGGAGACATTTGCTTTCCAGGGGCGAAGTGAATGGTGAATCAAACCGTCGCCCTCTCTGTTCGAAGGTGCGGTCTTACAGAACTAAAACGGAAACCATGTAATGCCCCGGATTTACAAACCCGTCCTCTTGATAGGATTATGTTTCCTTCGAGAAGTGATGCACCCCTACGACAAGGGGGACACTCCAAAATCAAACTCGACCAGGACCTCTGCTTAATATGGGGCTCCCATTATCTCAGCCAAACGGTTAACCTCTTGGAGCCTTACCACAACATGGACAAACATGGGGAAGCCAAATTGGGCTGTTGAAAATGGAGGGTTGGCCAATCCTAATCCATTATCCCTGGGACCAAATCCATGTGTAACCCAAGGTAAGGATTCAGAATTACCTTTGAACAGCCCAGCCAAAAGGTCAAACGGTCTTTTCACTTTGGGCAACTGAGCATCAAACTCGACGCTCCACGGCGCCTGGTCTTTTCTGCAGCTGAAAGTCATATTGTTGCGAGGTCAGGGACGGAACACAACAAACACGAATTTGACGTCTCCTCACGTTTAGATGGATTTCCTTTTACACCAAGAGGAAACCAGCAAGCAGCTGCAGGCCGATTTCTGCGAACAGCTTTACAACACCGTCTGAACAGCCGTCCTGTTAGCTTCCCTCTCAACCAGGGTTCAGCATCCCTCTACTGGAGAGCGCGAAATAAGAGCGGAAAACTATTAGCCACTAAGAGCGGAAAACTATTACTAGTACTACTACTACTACTACTACTACTACTACTACTACTACTACTATTACTAGTACTACTACTAGAACTATTACTTTTTCCGCTCTTAGTATCCCTCTTTTCCGCTCTTAGTATCCCCCTTTTCCGCTCTTAGTGTCTCATTTTCCGTTCTTAGTTAGAACTCTGCCCTCTACTGGGTTGCGTTGGAATATTTCCACAAACATGCTGAGGTTCTTGTTGGTTTCCCTTTAAAAAACCAACCTACCAAACCCAAATAGTTGGCTTCTTGCAAGCGCAAACGACACTGGGACGTTTTTTCTTACCAAGAGTGAATCAAGGTAAATTGTGCAAACCCATGGACGTTTTTTGCCGTACACCCCTTTACTCCCATCGTTGGGCTTTTACAAGCAAGGATGGCCGGTAGACGTGTTTGTCTCGGGATTGTAGAGGGCAAACGAGAAACTACCCTGAACCACCATGGACCTTCGCCATCCTAAAAAAAACATAGTTTCCGCCGTTGACTGGGTATTCGGAACCTCAAACATTTTGGGAATGAATCCAAATTTGAAACACTCACAAAAAAACCGGGTCGGGTCACACGTCAGCTTTGTACTTCTCGTCCGTCAGCTTCGACAACGTCTTGAAGACCGTCGGCCTTGCCCTGATTCCGCGCAAGTGGGATTTCCTGGGAACTTGACGGTGGTTGGGGGATGCAATGGGAACCCCGGACGAACAAACCGCTACTTATTCATGTGGGGAGTCCCTGGTTTTAGTGGGGCTTTATCATTTTAGGGACACACACCCATATTAAACAAGCAGGAGTTTGTTGATCCGGGGTCAAAACCATCCTCTCAGGACTCCAAGGAAACCCTGTTGGATAATTCTTCAAAGGGCTGTACCAATCAAACAACACACACAGAAGAGCCCACGAAAGGTCATCCAAACTCTTTATTTATCACTTAAGTCAAATGCACAAACAGCTTAAAGTCCAGGAGCACGAGGAGCGAGTTGTGCATTTAGCAGCATCAGAACATGTGCAACAAAACGTACATTCACACTCACTCAACCTTGTCAAAAACACGGACGCCACGGGCCAAGAACACCTGCCAACAAGTCGTGCCTGACGTGCGCGAGAGGGCCAAAAGAGCCGCATGCAAACTGGTCAACTGCTCAATTGCCACCTGGCAAACCAAGACAAAGTCAAGGGAACATCTCTTTCACCACCATTGTGCGTGTGTGTCACCATTAGGGTACCTCCTATATAATTACCTTCCTTTTGCCTTCCCTTTAAGTCAAATCCAAAAAGGGTACCAACCATAGGTGACTATTTTGGAAAACTAGATGGCGCTGGTAAATAGAATGAAGCCCATCTAAACCAGTGCCATCTATTTCTAACCAACCTAACCTCAAAAGTACAACTATGATAGCAGCTCATTTGGCTGTGGGTCAAAATCCCGTACCCCCAGTGAACATCCCAATCCCCACTAAAATAGGTTCTAAAATGGGTGGTGCACCTACCCCCCAAAATGGTACCATTGGTTTTGACACACAGCCATTGTTCGTGCGGTAGACGCTCGACAACGCTCCCGCCTGGGCACCATCACGAAGCGTGAGGCGATCACGGTGGGATTCCCCAGCTCCAGGAACTTCCACCTGAGCGGCGGGGACAAAACCCGTTGACTCGCGATCCCTCCCCCCATAATTCGCTGCGTCGAACAAACACTGTGCGCTATCGGGCAAAGACAAAATGGTCAAAGGATTGACATGTCTGTACTATAAGCCCTCCATTTGTTGAAGTCCCCTGGACCAAAAAAGGCGATCTCCAGCTCTCTTCAAAACCAGGAAACATAAGCACATTCTTTTAGGCAATCGGAAGTTTCACATAGGCCGTGCTATCAGCTCGATCAAGCCAGGTGGTGGACTTCTGCTTCGACGCGAGGCAGCCGGCCAAGCCGCCCCACAAGCATGACGCGGGAAATGCGAAGAATCCTTTCCAGACCCCCAGTGGCCATGGGGCAAAAAGGCAAATCCTTCTGTTTGGTAGTGGGTGCGTCTTTTTCTAGGGGACCCACAAAGTGGTGGTTGTCCTTTTGCTTTCCCTTTAAAACCACAAACAAGGGCTACCCTCAAAAAATAGAGAGACACCCAGTTGTTTCAAGGAGGTCTGGGCTGTGTTCGACAGTGAATTTGAATGGATGCGACGCTCAGGCCTAACGATGCCCACCAAAGGATCCCCGAACCGGAGGGTCCCCAAATAAAACAAAAATATCCAGCTTTCCTGGTTTGTGAAAGCAACACGCTGCGCGGCTTGTTGAGTATACCCAGCGTGAGACCAAAGGGGTCATTCCTATGACTACTTTGTCAATTAAGGTATCACAGAAAGTGACCCGATAGGCCGAGTTCCCACGACTATGCGCAACACTGTCAACGTGGGCTGCTCCACTTTTGAGAGCCCTGAAAGGTCAAACAAAACATACGCGTGTGTGTGTGTGTGTGTGTGTGTGGGTGTGTGGGTGTGTGTGCGTGCGTGCGTGCCTGTGTGTGTGTGTGTGCTCTTTGAGGTGCCTTCTTGTGTGTGTGTGTTTCTTTTACAGGGAACCCCCTCGCCATGTTGGGGTGTTGCAAATTTCAACACAAACCCAAAATGGCTAAATCGAGAATAAAACCCGCACCTTGGGCAACTTCCTTTGGACCCCTGGCCCCGTTTTAGGAGAACAACAAGAGGGCTGGGGATGCAAAATGGTCAGTGAATAACTCGCCTGGGATGTACCGTAACTTCTGGATTGCCTTTCCGTTTGGTCATCTTCATTGCCCCAGGAGTCTGAAAGGCGCACTTCCTTCCCTTTGCTGAGTTGCCTTGGCCTTCCAAGTACGGGAATACAATAAACTGAATCTGACCCGCTATATTGCCCTTGGTTCTAGTGTTGAATGGCTCTTCGCGTGGATCCGAGCGGCAAAAGCAAGCTCTTCTCCATGAGTGCCTGGCGGGTCTTCAGGACCCAAACATCTACAAACCACAATTGCTGGGTTGTTGAGTTGCCTTGGCAACTTTGGCAACTCAAATGCTCTGAAGGACTTTGTCAACTCAACTCATGAGATCATGGGCTGCGTGTGGGGAGGTTGGTAAGGATCCTGGACCTGGGAAGTCTGGCGTCTGGCGTCCCTTTGTGCATAACCCAACGCCTTACCAAATCTTCCAATTACCAGGCAACCAGGGCTTTCTACACCTATGTCCTGTGGGTGCCCTGGTTCGCCACTATTAGGATTCCTTATGTTTTCCCTGAACACATCACTGGGCCAAACAGGTGATGTTTAAAACCACCAAAAAGGAACATCTACGAACCCCTGGTAGTGGCTCTGAGGTTAGGGGGAATTGTCCGAAAAAATATATATAAAAAAATCCTGATGAACATCGTGGCAGCTAGACGCGTGGGCAAGCCAAAGAAGCTGTGCCGTATGCAGCGGGAAGGAGGGCCAAATGATTAGAATGAGATGTGTGAGGTACTCGAAAGTCATATCGAGCTATGATCATACGGTTCAAAGTCTAAAGACCGTCGATGGACAACATCCTGCAGCCTCATGCGTTCCTCCTGCCAGGCCCTCCTGGGTTACATACTTGTGCAATCGAGCCAGCACAATCAAAACGGATTGTCCTAGACAGTCTTGCAAAATCTTACAAGTTCGCGAGCTGGTCAAGGCAAGGCTTCCGATTTGAATGGGGTGGGAATGCCCCCTGCACCCAATTATTTGTTTTCGCTGCAGTCTTTGCAAACGACCCCGGGCAATATTGCATTTTTTTGGGTGGTGTGGTGTGGGATGGGGTGGGGTGGGGTGGGGTGGGGCAATGGTTAAAGCTTTGTTGATGCGCTGTAACAAAGCCACGCACTCCAAGATCAATTTATCTTGTTTGTGTTTAGGGGCACGAGCAGGCTTTTGCAATCAGTCCACGCAGCCTTGGCCTCAGCAACTGTTTTTTTTGGGAACCGATACAGTGTCAACTGTTTTCTCCCGATAAAGTCTCAACTGCATGTGACATGTATAATGGCTCTGCCAATAGAAAAGCAGTTCGGCGCGTGTGGCCTGTGTGGAATATGACACAAAAAGGCGCGGGCTCAGATTCCACGGCGCGTCTGTTGTTTTTGGGTCTGCCTTGAACCTTTTAACCAAAAGGGCGTCCATTTTGAGAAGCCCCCAGAAAGCACGCAGGCCAGAAGGTCATCTCAACCCAGAAAAAAAATCTGACCCCAAGGCACAGATGCTTGGGGGCAAGATTGCCAAAACGGCTAAAGGGCAACATAAGGGCAGAGATATTTGGAATAATCTCAAAACCAAATCTAGCAACTTCAAGAGACGATTATGATTGTGAGTAATTTGATTCACTTATACCACAGTAGGGTCTCCAGTTGACTTCGCTCGGTTGTCCTTTGGCCCCGGTCATTCCTTCACCCCGGCAACCGCAACCACTGGAAGCTTGGCCCGCTTTTCAGCGCCTCGGAGTTCGTAATCATGCTCTTCAGCACTTTCTCCAAATCCACCTGAGACTAAGTTGTCCCGGAAGGTGATCACTCCCAAGGGACCAATACATATGGGCCAACATAGGAAGGGGACCCACCAAAAGGTGATGATCTTTTGGGACCATGACTAAATAGAAAACTAAAAGGCCAATGGAGCAAGTGAGGAGACAAAGCGCAACAGGACCAGCTTGCTTTTAAGGGTTGACCGACGAGACCAGAGTCCCCAGAGTCAAACTCAACCGACGCTTTTGTACCCACGGTTCTTTTCCACACGGGTGCAGTGAAGTGCTTATCCACCAAGGAATGATTACAACTACTTGCGCTTAAAACAAAGCAGGTTGCAAATGGAGCCTATTCAGGTACATGGGCTCACTGGCTTGGCTTTCTTGGGGAGCTTCTACTCAGTCTTGGGGAATATGCGTTGCCGTAAACGGAGATCTGGGGTCATGAGTCACCCCCCTCCCCCAATCAACATTTTCTTGCTGTCGCGATAGACAATTGGAATGACCCTTATCAGCCATGCAACTAGTGGTTTCCTTTAAGGGAATCCCCAGGTTCGTTCCCTCATTTTCTACTTATCGCACCAGCAAGTCTTTACTGGGCTGTCCTCGGATCCCCTGCTAAAAGTTTCACTTTTTGCGGGCTCAATGGACACCCAATTCCACGAAACCTACTAAAAGTCCAAAAACCTAATGGCACAGCTGAGCACCAGCCAAGTCTTTTTTCGTCTCAGGTTCGTTCCTTCATTCCCCACAGATCGCGCCAGCAAGGTCTTTTAAGCGACTCATGAGTCATGGAACCGCCACACAGCCAGCCCTTGACCCTCGCCTTCCGGGCAGCGATCACCGCGGCATCCGTGCCGTCGGCGCCCTGTGGCAAGTCGTTCGAAAGGTGCGTGGCTGACCAACCACGGGCGGCTCGTCTTGTTTCTAGTGGGAGGGCTCCCTTCCTGGGGTTGGTTTAAAGGGGAATATTTGTTTGTGCTTGTCTTTTTTTGAAGGCGTCCCCTTTCTGGGGTTGGTTTACAGGGGAATATTTGTTTGTGCTTGTCTTTTTTTGAAGGCGTCCCCTTTCTGGGGTTGGTTTAAAGGGGAATGTTTGTTTGTGCTTGTCTTTTTTTGAAGGCGTCCCCTTTCTGGGGTTGGTTTAAAGGGGAATATTTGTTTCTGCTTGTCTTTTTTTGGAGGGGTCCCCTTTCTGGGGCTGGATTGAAGGGGAATGTTTGATTGTGCTTGTTTTTTTTTGAAGGCGTCCCCTTTCTGGGTTTGGTGTAAAGGGGAATATGTGTTTCTGCTTGTCTTTTTTTGGAGGGGTCCCCTTTCTGGGGCTGGTTTGAAGGGGAATAGGTGTTTCTGCTTGTCTTTTTTTGGAGGGGTCCCCTTTCTGGGGCTGGTTTGAAGGGGAATAATTGTTTGTGCTAGTCTTTTTTTGAAGGCGTCCCCTTTCTGGGGTTGGTTTAAAGGGGAATATTTGTTTGTGCTTGTCTTTTGTTGGAGGGGTCCCCTTTCTGGGGCTGGTTTGAAGGGGAATGTTTGTGCTTGTCTTTTTTTGAAGGCGTCCCCTTTCTGGGGTTGTTTTGTTGAAGGCGTCCCCTTTCTGGGGTTGGTTTAAAGGGGAATATTTGTTTCTGCTTGTATTTTTTGGAGGGGTCCCCTTTCTGGGGCTGGTTTGAAGGGGAATATGTGTTTCTGCTTGTCTTTTTTTGGAGGGGTCCCCTTTCTGGGGTTGGTTTGGAGGGGAAAATTTGTTTCTGCTTGTCTTTTTCACCTTTCTGGGGTTGGTTTGAAGGGGAATAGTTGTGTCTGCTTGTCCCTTTCTGGGGTTGGTTTGAAGGGGAATATGTGTTTCTGCTTGTCTTCAATCGGAAAATTTGTTTCTGCTTGTCTTTTTCCCCTTTCTGGGGTTGGTTTGAAGGGGAATATTTGTGTCTGCTTGTCCCTTTCTGGGGTTGGTTTGAAGGGGAATATGTGTTTCTGCTTGTCTTTTTTTGGAGGGGTCCCCTTTGTGGGGTTGGTTTGGAGGGGAATGGTTGTTTCTGCTTGTCTGTTTTTGGAAGGGTCCCCTTTCTGGGGTTGGTTTGAAGGGGATCCCGCCGAGTATCCCGCTGACCAGAGGAGCTTGCCAGTGGATCCCTGGGGAGCAGCCAGCCAGTGGATCCCGCCAAGTATCCTGCTAGGATCCCGCCTGAGCAGCCCGCCAGTGGATCTTGCAGAGTATCCCGCTGAGTATCCCAGAGCAGCTCGCCAGTGGATGCCGGGGAGTATCCCACCAGAGCAGCCAGCCAGTGGATCCCGAGTATCCCGCCAGAGAATCTCGCCAGTGGATCCCGCCAAGTATCCCACCTGAGCAGCCCGCCAGCGCATCCTGCCGAGTATCCGGCCAGTATCGAGCCGGAGCGGCTCGCCAGTATTCGCCAGTGGATCCCGCCAGTATCCCGCCAGAGCAGCTCGCCAGTCTGGTTTTGCTTAATGTCCCGCCCGGCGCACAGTGGGGTTTACATTTCATGTTGGGGTGCCTTCGTGTTTTGACATGTTTTGAGAGTACCCTGAGGCTCGGACAGGGCGATGCTTTTGTGTTGCTTTTGGCTGTGAATAAGCAACTTCGTTTAATCCCCCGTCGGGTTTCTTTTTGGAAGGGGCTTTGTTAGCGGAGCCGATGTTTGAGTTCTCGAGATCGGCTCGCAGACAAGTGGAGTTTGACACACAAACAGGTGGATACCCAAGCCACTCGAAAACCATGCTTGAATTCACACAACCGTGTTCACGGTCGTAAGCTCGTGAGTGTGGAGGGTGGGGATTGCTCGAAACGAAGTATTATTGTTTTTATTTGGAGGGGTCCCCTTTCTGGGGTTGGTTTAAAGGCGAATATTTGTTTCTGCTTGTCTTTTTTTGGAGGGGTCCCCTTTCTGGGGTTGGTTTAAAGGGGAATAGGTGTTTCTGCTTGTCTTTTTTTGGAGGGGTCCCCTTTCTGGGATTGGTTTAAAGGGGAATAATTGTTTCTGCTTGTCTGTGTTTGGAGGGGTCCCCTTTCTGGGGTTGGTTTAAAGGGGAATATTTGTTTCTGCTTGTCTTTTTTTGGAGGGGTCCCCTTTCTGGGGTTGGTTTAAAGGGGAATTTGTTTTCTGGAGGGTCCACTTTCTGGGTTTGGTTTGAAGGGGAATTGCCCCTTTTTGACACAACTTCATCTGACAAAACAACAACAAATAAACTTGTTCCTGCTGGGGCCTGCTCTGTCAAGGGACCAGCTGGGTCTGTGAACATTTCAAACAGCCTGCCACCAGCCATGCTCTGATGCAGTACCTGGAGTCTCCATGACCCTTAAAAAATGGTGGGCCATGGACCGATTTTTAGGGTCATGGCGACTCTAGGTTGTAGGATTGCTTGAAGAAATTCCCTTGGTCTCACAGCACTCATGGCAAATCGATTCGCCAATCCTTGGTCTGGGGGCGGGCTTGGAGTTCGGACAGAAAGCAACGCCAACACTTGCCAGTGTCAATTATAGGTGTGCTTTTTGGTTGCTTTGCTAGAAAAGTAGATGGCCCTGATTTATCTGTTGGTTTAATCAGCTACCAGGGCCATTTCCCCTAAAAGGACACCTATGGTGTCAAAGTCGCCCCTCCAAATGGGCTTTTGTGACTTTGCAAATCACCAGAAACAAGAGCACTGACCCCAACAAAGACTACTATTCCACAACCATGCTCATCGTCAGACTGTGCTGAAGAACGCCACACGCAAACCTCGATATGTAAGTGGGTAGCCGAACAGATCAAACACTTACTATCAGGCTGACCTTTCCCCTCGGCAATGCGGTCATATTTTCTACTTAGGTATTCCCTCCAAAAGTGGTCCGAATCGCCAACAAAAGGAAATGGATAACCCCTTATCAAAGTCAACCAGCGGGGTTCTGCTCAGGGTCAATCTGACGTCATGGTTTTCGGATCGCAAATGGCGGAGCACCTGATCCTATTCCCGAAAAGAAGAATCACTGGAGTGATTTTAGCTCAACGGTCATGATCTGATACAGTAATTCCCAAACCCAAACCAGAGGAGCCCCAAGTCTTGGACACATCATGGCTCGCTTTGCCTCCAAGCAAGCTTCCACAAAGCAGGAGCAGACATGATGGTCGCTCCTGGTACCCTGTGATGGCAATTCGAAGCACTGGGCAAACAAAGTCCAATGAAACATCATCTCGCCAAAAGGCAGCTCAGTTGACATGCCCAAAAGGTGATGTTCAAATCACCCATAGGCCCATAAGAGGAAACATAGGGACCTATACACCATGGCAGTCAGGACTGTCAACTTCACAATCCGAAGGACCGTACTAGTCAGAAGTCGTTCCATGCGGTTCCCGTTTATGACCAGTGAATACGCATGACAAGCAAAGACGACACATTTCCAATGATGGATCGCAGCTCAAAAAACCAAGAGGGAAAACTAAACAACACCGCAAATCTGGGCTTCCCTCAAATCTGCTAAAAGTTTAACTATTGGTGGGTGAAATGGACACCCCCGACCACTAAACCCTGAAAAGCTAAAAAAGCTAAACCTGGAGTCTCCATGACCCATCAAAAATGGCACTTTGGGCAATGAAACCCTTTTTTAAGGGTCAGAAGGAGGCTCCAGGAAGGACGGCTGGAAGCCGCCGAGATGGCCTCGTTTTCCTCGGCTTCGCTTTCGCTCGCGCCTTAGGAGGCATCGGCGGCAGCTGCACAGCCGGACACTCCATCATCAGCGCCTCGGGCGCTCGGATGGGCGCTGTGGGTTTTCTCAGCCCTTTGGGACCTGGAAATAAAAGGTGATCACCTGTTGGGATGACTAAAAATGGACCACGAGAAAACCAAAAGGCTAAAAGGTCGGCTTTGGGCAACCGAGTTTTACCTGGAGTCTCCTTCTAACCCTTAAAAAAATGGTTGGTCATTGCCTAAATTAAAGGGGTCATGGACCCATTCTTAATGGGTCATGGTGGCTTTTACTCATTTGGCCATGATTCAAAACCCAAAGCCAAATCGTACCCCCAGTGAACATCCCAATTCAACCACTATAGAATAGGTTCTAAAATGGGTGGTGCACCTACCAACCAAAATGGCACCATTGGTTTTGACCCACAGCCAATTTTTCTTCATGGCCTTGAAGTTTCGTTTGGGTCCAAAGCAACCAAACCATGGCCTTGGGGTTTCTGTTTGGTTTCCCTTAGCCAAGAGACCAGTCTGTTTGTTTTACCTGTTGTTCCTCTTTTAAGACTCCTGTCTTTTGCTACAGGATCCACAAAAACCGTGCGCAAACCGTTTCCTGGAACTCCCGTCCAAATGGTCTCAAAAATAGGGGAGCCATCGTGGCGTCCGCCAAACAAAAAAGGGGGTCTCCAAAAAATGGCACCATCTAGTTAACGTGGGAGAGGAAGCCACGGGGAGCTCTAGAAATGATGGTTCTTTAGGGGTCCATACAAATACGGAAAGTAAGAAACAAATTGTACAACCCAAACACTGCCAAATTATATTCCTCAAGGCAAACGACGGAACGGAAGGAAGAAAGGAAGGAAGGAAGGAAAGGAAAGGAAAGGGAAGGAAGGAAAGGAAAGGAATGGAAAGAAAAGGAATGGAAAGGAAAGGACAGGAAAGGAAAGGAAAGGAAGGAAGAAAGGAAATATCAAGTCAGCCGAGTCAGCCAAATCCTCCAACTGCCTGGGAGTGGGGGCAGGAATGATGCAAAAGATCCTCGACATAGGAATCGGACCCCGAACTTTCGCCTTCCCTTCAAATCCCGACCAAACGGGGGTCCAGCATTTGGAGGAACTCCCTCATTTAGAGATTAAAGGTTCAGGGCAAAGGGCGTTCAAACCGGCGGCCCGTCCAAATGTCCTGAGTCTCAATGGCCCATTAAAAATGAGTGCATTTTAGGCAATGGCCAAACATTTTTAAGGGTCAAATGGAGACTCCAGGTGTACAATTTCACGTCGCACGCCAGGGGTTGAGGGGAGTCTCCCGACGGAAAAAAACAAGTGGGTCCGAAGCGAGTGGCTCCTGGACCATTCAAGGGAAGCAAACTTAAGACCAACCAGAGGGGTGCGTTTTTTGGTAGAACACACACACACACAAAATAGTCGTTTGCCCTTTGGTGTCCGGAATCCAGATGGAGCATCTTCGGATGTTGAAATCCCGGCTGTCGAATGGCAGACGTTTTTGTTCCATGTATGCAAGACCAACATCACACTCAGGATCATGAGATCCAAACACCCCCTTCCCTACCCCTCTTGTGCCCCCAGAGTGCGAATATCGGGGAAGCCTTAAAGGCCTTTTTTTGAGGAAATGTGGGGGGGGGATCTGATTGGATCAGTGAGGAATGCATCAGGTCTTATTTCGCTTCCGACCACGGCGCCTTGTGCAGCGTCTCAAAATCGCTGTAGCGGTGGGATACCTTCGGGACACCCAAACGACAAAGAAAACAACGGCAACGGAGCTCGGAACTCCGGAGCTAGGTAGAACCCGGCCCAACAAAGGTCAGGTCTTCCCTCCAACAGCGGTCCAAATCCCCAAGGGGACGCTTCCCGGATCCTAATCAACCAGGGTTGCTGATTCATATGAGTCACAATCAAGACCTGCTACTTGCATGGTCTGCCCAGAACCATGTTTAGGAATTGAAAAGCGGCTGCACGCGGAAAAATGGTTGGGATGGTCCTTCATCTACCCGAATCGATTTTAAGCCAGTGGCTCATTTCGGCAGCCCTGGAAAACTGCAATCCCAGGGTAGAAGCTACCGGCTTGACACACGGACCCCGGTGGTTGGTGGTTGATTGAATTTGACCGAGGCTACCGGTATGGCACAAGGTAGAAGGTCCCTCTCCGCCCCACAAGAAGGGACTCCTTGAATTCAAAGGTGGACAGCCGGGTATTACGCATCGCATCTGCATGAGACTCTCAGAAATGGACCGGCGTGAGAAATGGACCCCGCGTGTCCCATAGCCCAAACCCCACAAGACAGGAGGCCTGTAAAGCTTCTAAGCCTTGGTCTTCTGGGGGTTGGGGTGGGAGTGGGGGTGTTGGGTGCCGATAGCAAACTGGTCCCCGTTTCGGACAACATAGGTCCAACAACGTGAACATGTTTGAGGTGTGGTGTCCCGTTAAACCACTACCTTGAGTCTCCATGACCCATTAAAAATGGGTCCACGACCCCTGTAATTTAGGCAATGACCAAGCATTTTTCAAGGGTCATGGAGAATCCAGGTATTTTGGATGTTTCAAACTGGTCCGCGTTTCGGAAAGGCCATTTTCTCACCCTCTCGCCTCGCACACGCGGCCGAAATCGTCGATCTCGATGACGTAGGCGGTGAAGCGCTGGCAGGGGAACGAACAGTAACTTCCCAAGCCGGGCGATGTTCTACCCTCGCTTCCTGAGGGGACTGGCCAAAAACAGTCCAATATGTTTGTGTCCCATCCAACTCAGGGAGTGAGTAACCCAAAAACTCGATCCACGTCTAGAAAACACAAAAAACAAACTGAACACACGAAAACAAACATACACCCACCATGTCCTTACCGAGCTCCTGGTAGCTCCCCGCTTGAAAGGCAAAAGTTTGGATACCGGGTCCCAGCTCCCTTCGTCCGGCTCCCTTCCAGCCACCAGCTGGAGGGGAAAGCCAAGCAATAAAGAACTGTAGGGGAGTACAGCTGCTACCTTCTTTCGTTCACCCAAGCCGATTCCTCGTCTCTGGTAAACAACCAATGAGGATCACCAATGAGAATGAGGGTTTCATAAGGAACCGCCAAAAAGAGCGCCTTCGAGGTCGCGGAACATGTTTGCCCAAATCATCAAAACTCAATACCTATTCAACTAGCCCCGAACCACGTAGCCGAACACCCGCCAATTCCAACAACATGGGTGATTGCTTGCCCCAAACTTATGGACTTGGTGAATTCCCAACTTTCAAGAGTAGTTTTGTGAGGGTCCAGGTACACCTCAATTTGAGAAAGAACACGATTGGGTTTTTCTTTCAAGATCAACCGAGGGGTGTATTTTTACCAAACTGATCAAAAGGCACCAACCCACCCGCCTGTTTATTGGGGGGCTTCACACAAGTCCCCACCAGCAAAAAGTAGGCTTGACAGGAGAGTCTCCGGGATGTGAGGCTTCTGTGGGAAAGCCAGTGAACACACCTATCACCTATCTGTGGTATCACTCGAATCTGAGATGTCTGGCCACTTGTCCAACACCTCAGTGGGATCTGTTGTTGGGGCCGCAGTAAGGCTTATTGAGGCCGCAAAAAAAGGCCGCTAGGCCAAACTGCAAAGGACCCCGTGGTCGTGATACCCTCAACAGGGGCCTTCAAGATACCTGGAGTCTCCATGACCCTTAAAAATGGGTCCACGACCCCTGTAATTTTAGGCAATGACCAACCATTTTTTAAGGGTCAGAAGGAGACTCCAGGTACATCTTGTTGAAGGCCCAAGAATGTCTCTAGCGGCCGGTTGCTGCTCACAGTCCATGAGCCCTAGGCCTGCATCATGATCGACATCTGCTCCTGCCGGCATTCCGATCCCGGGGTTCTTCACATCCATTTGTGAGTACGTCCCCTGGAGAACAAAAGACATAGGTCCAGTTAGGGGTAGATTCCCTTCAAACAAATAACTATATATATATATATAAAGAGAAAAAAACACAGACGTCCCCTGGAGAAAAAAAAGAGACATAGTTCTAGTAGTGATACATAGATTCCCTTTAAAACCAACCCTTTGAAACCAACCGGAGGCAGTAACAAATATGATTGGGCAAATGCAGGACATCAGGAAGTTTCCATTTGGGGTATGTAAGTTGGTTCTTAGATGCTTGTTGAAATTGCATTTCCGGGTGCGCTGTTTGCAGGTGTTGGTATACCGTGGGACACGACTACATCTCAGCCAAAAAAAAAAAACATTGCCAGACCATTGGCAGAAGGATTACACACAAGCCACCTGAGCATGCCGCGGATAACCTCTGGTTGGTTAACTCAGGGACGCACCTCGGCCACGCGAAGTCAGAAGACACTCCCGAATGGGTTTGGGAAAAACTCGCCTTTCAGTGCCACTGCCAAACTTTTCGGAGGCCGTAATGGCTGGACGGGAGGCTATTTTTTGGGGGAGGGCCCTGACTAGAAGGCACCTCAGTTGTAGACATCCTTCGCTTAGGCAATCCTCAGGGCTGTTTCTGCATGATGGACGCAAATTCACCGATCAGAAATGGAGGGCGATACCACAATATGAAGACATATACATATATAACCAGCTAGTTCCTCGCACTTGTTCAAGGCTTCGTTGGCTACCTACTGCACGGGTAAATGGCAGCCCACTCCCCCAGCACTCCTCTGTCCGCGTAATGCGCACACCCAGACTGGGCAAGGCAACAAGGCCCCTTCCAACACCCCAAGGCTCCTTGCAATGTGGATCCCAGGCACAGCATGTTGATCTTATAGCCTTAAGAGATCTTCCGGCAGCCAAACACGGAGAACAACACAAATAATTATGTTATCAAACATTCATCATTTATTTTGGCATCATTCGGCTTCATCACTTGTTTGTCTTTTCATTATGGTTTCATCATTTCTCGCGGATCAATGACGTTGTCAGCGTGTTCTGCACATCTATAGTAGTACGCCAAAAACAGCTACATGTTGCATAGCAATAAATACACAAACGACCCACAATTGGCGGAGACACAATGAATTCTGAAGAAAAACGATGAACACATGGTGAACACGTACGACATGATCCAGAACCAAAACAGATCCAGCCAGAACATCAGAAACATACCAAAATGCCAAAGGCAGTCATTCACTTCCTGGACCCAGACTCTTGACCGACAAATGAAGAAAGCCCAGGCGCGGAGTGAGCAGGGGAGGGGGCTAGCCAAAGGGTGGGTTCGCGTGATGAATGCACTCGAGGTGGATGCGCCCTGTTTGTCTTGGGTGTTTGATTGGTCAAGTTCCTAAGAACGGGACACTTGTAAGAAGTGGGTTATTACCTAGGTGACCAACCACTTGTGACGGAATCCCCATTCCCTTCGCCCGTGAGCGGTTTCCCAGGGGGTTGGCCCGTTTGTTGAGAAGGATCCCTGAAGAGAATGGGAAAGCTACGGCTAGGAAGAGTGTTGCAGCAGAAATTCACGGAGGGGCCAACTGCTGAGTGTTGCCCAGTGATTCCATTTAACGGTTTTAGTAGATAGCTCCAAGGCAAACCCCAAAACCCCCAGCATGAAAACTCAGTCCAGTTCGGACCCAACAATACGCGAACCTTTCTGGGCCCAGGAAGAAGGGGAACCCAAATCAGGAAAACCAAACAGTCGTTTCAGGTCGATTGGCCTTGGGCTTTTGAGAAAAATGCCCAAAGACTTCCTTCTGAAAAAAGGGATCCATTGCGTCAAAACCAGAGACTCCCCCTCCGAGGGCTCGAGAGAGATCTGGACTTCAGCTTTCAACCATCGGGGTTGATGGTAACAATGAGATATGTTCAGAGTCTGAATCTACTTCGTCTACCCTATACAGCTTTCGAGGAGACCCTAGAAAAGAGAAACCAACAGGAAGCCCAATTAAACATTCTTACATGGCTCTCCTTTCAAACAAACCCACATTTAAAACAATGCTGCCAGATTCTGCTTCATACATAATCAGCCTCGAAATAGTAAAAATATTGGGGGGGGCCCTAAAAAGGGTAGTTGTTGCTTTTGGTGTCCCTCGCCAAAAAAGGAATGGTCCTGAAACGCAATTGCCCCTTAGGGACTCGGAAGTAAATGGTTCACCCTTTGAGGCCACCAGAAACGGGAAACTAAGAGGTCAAATTGGGTCGATTCGCTTTGGGCTTTTGTGAGAAAAAGGGAACCTTCCGCCAACAAACAGGGGTCACTGGATTTCCCCTTCACAAGTTGCCACTGTTGGAGGTCCAAAACAGGAAAATGAAAAGGGGACCTCAACCCTCAGACTACTCACAAAGATGGACTTCACCAACCATAAATTTTGGGGTGCAACAACCCGTTTTCTTCAGCTTCAGTTGGAGTTTTGAGGATTTAGGTACCCGCCAAAGATAGCCCGCACCCCAGGCTGCGCGGGAGTTTGCCCGCCATGGGGTCGAAGTGGAGGTGGAGAACGTGGCGTCGAAGTCGTCCATCATCTTCCTTGAAAGGCGAGCCGTTTGCCATAACTTTAAAAGGAAAGTCAATCAACCATACCCTTTTGTAGCATAATTAACCCATTGCTAAGTTGGAAATTGTTCGGTCCGGGATACAAAAAAAACAAAAGAAAAAGGGCACCACTGGGTGTCTGGGTGACACAAAAGCGCAACGTGAACTCGTCAAAAGGAGCTTCTGCGTGGGCTCGCGAATCGTGGTTGCCCAAGGGTCGGATGGTCACAGTGTGGTGAGGTGGCGTTACCCTTCCTGGGCGAGGAACCTCACGAAACCGCAACTGTCTGTAAGCGAACATGATCTTGGGGGTCCTGACTTCCTGAATGGATTGGCCGAGAAGAGAAGCAGTCTGTTTGTTGACCACCAAAAAGTAGAAAGTCCAGGGACTCAGGGAGTGAGGGTATGCGTGGCTTCAGGAACCTGGGTCTTCGGATTCTGTTTCATATTTTCTCAACCATGAACAAAAACACAGCAGACAACAAAGTCAAGTCGAGAAGCTGGGGAAGTGAGTCTTTGAGACCAGGCAAGCAACATTTCTAATGTGTTTTCTGGTTGGGTCTTGAACGTCTTTATGGGCGACCCCCTGTTCGCAAGAAAGTTGTAAGGGCATGTTCACTTGTTCTTTGTCGGAGGGTGTGGAGCTCATATCCAGCTTATGCAAGGAGGCTTGGGCAATATGAGCAACATGTTCTTGTTTATGGCTGTGTCTTGAAGGGGCGATTCCCTTCTTGCTTTGGGTTGGTTGCAGGTGCGGAGATATCTACCAATCTTGCAAACATATACAAGGGGTATAGCTGAAATGTAAACTCCCTAACTCCAAACAACCCACCTGACAATGCATTTGATTCTCTGCGTGCCTTAGAACTCGGTTTGCTCAGGGACGCTACCAACCCGCCTCCCAAACGCCCCCATGGCGAACATGTTTTGCAGCAACTCATTGAAATCATGGACCCCGAAGCGAATAATAAACCTTCACCGCAGTCTCCAGATATGCTCGCCATGACAAACCAATCTGCTGGCAATAACTCGCACAGAAGTCTTGGCCAAACGGATCCGACGGCATAAGTGTTCGGATTTGGCTGAAAGGCAAAAAGGAGGAAAGCCCTTTGACACAAAGTTGAAGAGGTACCCGAAGTCGACCTCGGTGCCTCCAACCTTCATAGCGCATCTTTTTCAGGTTGGACCCCTGAAATCGGTTTGCCGTTTTGTTCCCCCTTGCTTCCCCCCCAAAAAACGAACCCACATGGCTTTCCCAGTTCGCATTCGAAAAGATGACCCGGAACACGTTACACGCCAGCCTGCAAGCCCAAGGATCCGCATTATATATATTATATGTAGTATATTAATTTATACCCGTATGAATAGGACGAGTTCATTGATCCGGGATCAACATTATACATTTACTCTTGGGAGCGCTCTACTTGCCTCGTAGTCGGCGTGAAAACTCGTGAGCATCTAGCTTTTGTCTTGGGGATAGCACATAAACTATATATATATAAGTTGTTCACTAGCCGACAGGGAATAGACGGGGCCATGTTCACGAAAGGCAAAGCCTTTGGCAAGTTGTTGTGCGGGGGGGGGGGGTCGCCAGAATATCGGAGGTACTTTCTTGCCCAAGGTCGCGTGAGGAAGACCTATAGAGAAGGACTATAAAGGGAAACCCAACTCGAACGATCTTTCCTGACCGGAGTTGCTTGGCTGACGCCAAGTTGGCAACAAGGGATGCTGGAACCTATAGCCAAGGACCCCACAAACCACCCGCGACCCAGAGATCTAGGGATGGATAGTCTGAAGAGGTCTCTTTGGGGATGCTTTGGCCATGGGGTTCAACCACCATTAGAACAAAGGTTGACCCAATTTTAGATGATGACAATCCTTAGGTGAACAATGGTGGGTATATGAACTCCCATTGTTAGAACGGTGGTTTGAAACCCAGGGCTGGGCCTTTGCACAGTGAAACCAACTCAGAACGGGTGGACTCAACACTGAGTCTCCGCACGCTGCACTGAGATCGATCGCCTGCACGTGAGTTGCGAGGCGCTTGTTGCACTCAGGGGCCCTATGACGCACCACCAAAAGACCCAACCGTTAGGGCCGTGGTTGGTCCGTGTCTTGCCTGTCTCAACAGTCAACACAGAAGTTTGTCATTTTTGGACAAAAGGCTAAGCCCCCAACCACTTCGGCAGGGTCTCTGGGGCACTTGTAGGGTCGTTGACGTGCAGAGGCAGTTGGGAAAGTCAGAGCCGGCTGCGGCAAAAGCCCGTTGTTTTCCATTTGCTTCAGTCACCTGGAAACAACCAACATATTTCCCGCAGTGATAGATTCCTCTTAAACCCAACAAGGAAAAATTGACAATATTCTTAAGCAAATGGAGGTTGTTCTACTTCCTGCCCCCTGTAGCTAAGTTTCCCAAAAGCTCACTTGCCGAGTGTACTGGCCCAAACAAGTAATTCAACTTGAAGCAAAAGCCTGGGCATCCGAAAGACATCACTGCTGCACATATGTGCCGATTTGGTTTTTCAATCCGTGGTTCCCTTGGTTGCTTCCGGTAAATGGCATCCCCTGGCTTGTTTTGCAAGCTGATCTCCTCAAAAGGTGAGAAGCTGAAGGATGTCTTGCCCCAGTCTTGGCAAGGGAAAACCACCTGAACATCCCTGGGATGTTCAAGGCCTCATTCCTGTGACACCGGGTCTGAGGGTTGGCGTTCCCGTTTCAAGGGAGGAAACCCTAAAGGCTTACACCCCTCCCCCACCCCCGGCCTTTTGGGGGATGTCTACCTTCCTAAGTCCCTCAAGCACACTCCACCAGTGGACAGGCAACCAGCCATTGTCAACGGGTGTGAAACCCCTTAGTTGACCCAGAAAGGTCACCTTGCGATTCATGTGGCTACGCATATGGGACCAACAGCACGCATATGATTTGGGCTCCGAAGCTTTTTTTGTTCACATACCTTGAAATCACGCCTGGGGGTCCTGGTGTTTGTTGAACTCACCGCTGGCGGTTCCGTTTGTTTCCTTGAAATTCTCGCCCGGGGGCTCCGGTGCCGTGAGTTCCAACGAAAACTAGCACCGGGACCCCCAGGCGCCAAATCAAAGCAAACTAACACCGGCATAACACCGGCATTTAAAAAACAAAACAGGGCCCGCAGGCGTAAATTGAGAACAAAACAAAGCAACAACAAAAACAAAAAAACAAAACGGGACCACTCGCGTGATTTCAACAAAATACCGGAGCCCCCCGGCGTGAGTTCAAAAGAAAAACACCGGGGTCCACAGGCGTAAGTTCAGAAAAGAAAGAACAAAACACCGGGACCCCAGGCCGAGACCCCAGACGTGATTTCACAAAAGAAACACTTGCAACACGGAGCACCAGGTGTTAATTCAAAAGGCAAAACACCGGAATCATGCTGTTTCTCTCTGGACTGAAACTGAGAATCTACAGTACAAACGGCTGGTGTGAATTCAAAAAGAACACAGCGGTTCCATGTGATTTGTCCTTGTGTTGAACCACCCTCACATGAGCCAGAGTCAAAATTACTTGCTTCCCCAAGAGGACATGGGGAAACTAGTGGCCCCCGATTGCTCTTGATGACCCATTGACCCATCCACTGCAGAAAAAGCCCGGACCGCCCCGACCCCTCACTTGGTTGACGTTGGAAGGTGAGCAAAAAATTAGATTTTCGCAGTTTAGTGGGGATTTCCCACTCAACCACAATAAGCAAAAATGTAACATGTTTCCCAACAACAACCATGCTCAGAGGCCATTAAAACCACCCGTTTTGAGGACCCAAACAGTCGCCTGCGTTTTTTGTTGTTGCGAAATGCAGCGAGTGCTCTCATGTCCCCGACAAATGGACCGTCTGCCAAAACTTCGAACAAGCCTCACATGCATTTGGGTCTGTCTTCTTGTCAGGGCGCTGCTGTTTGGAAACAGGGCAACCAAAAGGAAAACCACTTTTATGTGTCTTTTTGGGCGGAAAGACAAACATAACGCACTCATTTGGGTCCGAAAGCAACTCCTGACCCGGCCCACCGCGTCCTGCTAGTTGGAGGTCGCGCTCACGTGTGCATCGACTGTCTTGGCACTCTGTGGATATGAAAAGTTTAGACTCTGCGCCAATGGCTTGACAGTGAAACCTGGTGTTGGATCGAGGGTCTGCCAAATGCTTAACACAGATTAACAGGTTCCGTCTCTCCTGGGGAAGACAATAAGCAAAACAAAAAAAACTGAGGAGCAAAATCTTGGCTTTCCAAAACAGCTCTTTACGACGAGCTGTTATTTTTGAGTCTTGTTCTCGAGCTGGGCTGGGCATTTCAAGGCTCCCTATGTTTTTTTCCCTGCAAACCATCATCCTGCCAGCACAATTCGCCACAATGGGTCCATATAGGGATCCCTCATTTATCTCCGAGCTTTGCGTGTCTGACTTTGGGACACAAAACCTCGGCCAAAGGCTCCCTGCGCGAGCAAACGTCGTCACTGCGAAGGAGCCCTGATCTGCATGCGGTGGCCAAACGAGCTTACTTCCATAGGTGACCTTTTGGAAAAGAGATGGCGTAACTGGAATAGAACCAATCTTAACCAGGGCCATCTATATCTAGCCAGACGAAACTGAAAAGGACACTGATGCTTACTTCAGCTTCCCTCCAAGTGGTTTGGAGCCCTGTGGTTTGGAGGTTTCTCATTTCCCCTCTACAAGAACCAGCAATCCAAATGTCCAAGCCGCAGGTATCTCAGCCGGTTTGGAGCCTCGGGTTTTGGCCAAGGGCTGCTAAACAAACGGAATGACCATGAGTGAGTTTGCATGGATACAACCAGCGTTCAAGGAGTCTACCCGTCTACCCCACGCTTGGAACCGAACCATTTGGCCCACATCCGTGCGCACAACAACTCCATGGGTGTGTCTTTTATGAGGGTACCCGCTTCGGGTTTTGTTATTGTTTGCTTTAAGGGACTGTTAAAGGGAAACAACCAATTTTGGGATTTCCCTATTTGGAGACAGAACCATCTCCGCCTACCACATGGCATGGGCTCGAGTGGTTGTGCAGGTTCGATGACTTGGAGTTGGCGTCGAAAGAGGAAACACAAGGAACCCCGCAGTTTGAGGGGTGCCACTAGGTGTGCCACTAGGTGCCATTAGGTGCCACTACTTTCACACACCCATTTTGCAACGAGTCCATGAAGTTAACAATCTGAATCAGTCTCCGGGAGCCCTGAATATGGACACTTACAAATGCCGCTCCATGTTGCTATTGCGCTGCACAATCAGTGAACCACATTTGGCTGGTGAGTTTTAAAACATCACATATTGACCCAAAAAGACAACCGTTAGAAAGCAGACCAGTGAATTCCTGTTGCTAGGACCCTCAACATGTCCTGAAACATGGGTTATTGCAACCCAAAACTATGGGGTGAGTTTCAGCTTCTTTTGTGGCAGTTCTTTGGGGTCCAGGTGGTTGGAAGGAAGCCAAACCTTCAGAGAGAGAGCCTTAGGACGCGGAGGTTTGGGTTGGGGGGTGCCCAGGTTTTCCTCCGCTTTCCGGTGGAAAACCGAAGGCTGAGGTCCGCTGTCTGGGGTCCGCGAGCTCCAGAAATGGGTTCAACCGCTGACACGGGCGGGCTGGAACATCATGTTGGACCACAAGAAGCATCCCAGGCAAGCCTCTATAAGGTGGACAAATGTGAACAGCAATTCATCCTGCGAGATATTTTGAAGGGGCTGCTTTGCTGACCTTCCGTAGCCTATGCGGGCTGCCATCTTAAATCTTGGATCACTGCCCCATCACGCGTTGCCTGAGTGGGATTTCATCAGCATATGAGCCACTTGGGGATACTCAGGGGACTTCAAGTCAACTTCGGAGTACGCCGGAGGGCCCTAGTAGTCAGAGATACCCCCAAAAGTAGATTGTGTCCTTAGTAAAAGGGGCATCACCCCCAGCTGGGTACTCCAGATTGATCCGAAGTCAACAATTGAGACATTGGCCACTTCAGTGGGGCAATCCAAGCTCTCCCATGGCGAACTCCGAACAAAACACATTTCTTCCGCCAGCCCTCGAGGAATTGTTTTTCTGGGCCATCCGATTGCGCGGACGCGGCCGGAGATAACTTAAGCCTAACGCCGGGCGCTTGCCTAGACGAAGAACTCTAATTTCGCTCGAGAAATCATGGTGTGTCTGTGTTTAGGATTTGGAATCCTCCCTGGGGAAAAAGTGGTTTCCTTTTGGTTAGGCATTCAAACCACCAAACGACAAAGCACATACTCTCAAAAAAAGGCACCGAAATGACCACCCCTGCATGCTGAGAGAAACCAATGGTTTCATGAGGTCCAAGCTCGTTGTCCAAAGTCGGACTGTAACTCAGTGACGCTTGGCACCTGTAAAAAGATGAAGCGGAGCCATAGACAGAGGCAAAGTAGACAGTCGATGGTGTCTTTCTCATAAATCCGCTGCGCAAACAACAGGGAGATGTCACAAATGAATGATTCAACTAGGGGAAGGCTTCCCTGAGCGAATCGGGCTCTCTTTTCCAAATGATCCCTGACATGTCTGGGCTCAATTTTTAGTTGGGGACCCTTGGTGGACATTCAAATTAGGTTCCCTGGCCACCAGCCACTAGCCTGAGCTTCGTCCTTGAACTTCAGCCCCCCATCCAACCAATGGAGAAAGAAACCGCCCCCCGACTGCGAACCAGGGTTGCAACAAATGGCGAAATCCGCAAATCCTTGGCCCCGGCGTCTCTGGCGCCTCCCTGCTCGATAGTGCCAAACTATGAGTTGCGCGATTGTTTCAAACGCTGAAATGAGGCATCAGGAGCTCGTTTTAGCTTGCTATGACTTGCCAAGACCAAAGAAGGGAAGTGCTCATCAGGCACGCATAGCTACTTGCAAGCGATGTCACTGGCAGAGAGTTTCGAGCCGATTAGGCAGGCGCCCAGCGATGAATCGATGTAACCGCCGGGACCGAAGAAATCTGTCACATCCTGGTCCCGACAGCTCCTTCAACTGCCACCTGTTGTGGCGCATAATTAGGTCGCGTCTTCCGGGCCCTGAAAGAAAGTTTGCGTGTGCTTGGCTTGCCCAGTGATTCCATTTTCCTGTATAATCACTTCTTCTTATTAATCAACCTACCCCGAATAATAACACTCCCCCGAGCCGCGGCAAACATCGGCAATACTAAATGTAAATTGGCCAATACTAAACCAATACTAAACTCCTGAGACTACACATGCTTTCCACCAAGCTCCCAACATATGCTTATTCCAACCAAGTTATACTATTAGTAGGGTGTGTTCGCCCAACAACCTGAAAACAAGCAACTAGTTTTATGAAACGGACCATGGGACACTCCCTTTCAAAGTTCTTACTTCAAAGTTGCAATCTGAGCAGTTTTTGCTCCAAATCAAAGAAGATCCACTTTCCAATACAAGTCCAATACTAAACAGCAAACTATGAACTGGGATCTAGGCCCAAACCGGCGACCCCTAATAATAAGACTTCCCCCCGGTTTTTTTTTTGGGGGGGGGGACGGTTTTGTATTTAGGGAGAAGCGATTAGGAAGCATTGCCAAGGAAACCAGCCTCTCTCAAAACCAAACCGATGGCTGGTGAACTGCTATAACTCGGTTGCTTTCTGCTCCCCTGCTAAAAGTGTATAACTTTTAGTGGTTTAGTGGAAAACCCAAATTCGTTGGCAAAAAGTTATTCAGTCCTAACAGCCCTTGGCAAAATGCACCAAAGATAAGCTGGGATCCACTGGCTTGGGTTTTGGACCTTGAACTTCAGATTGACCAAGGCTCCTGACGGTTTTTTGTCAAAAAGGATCTGGGGTGTAAGGGGTTGCGCCCGTTCGAAGTGCGAACGCGGTTGGGTTCCATTGGTATCCAAGGGAACCAACAGCAGGAGGGAAAAAGACCATCTGGTTACCAGCACCCGGGTCCCATCCACTGCTTTTTAATTATCGTACCAATTGGAGTTTGGACATGGGTTTTAAGCAGTTGCTGGGGGGTGCTACCTACCATTGTGGCAAGCGGGACCGTCGAGAAGTGGAGCATCCATTTCAACCAGAAGTGATTCTCGGTCAGCAGCCTTCTAATCTAAAGCCTGCAGGTGAGGACCCTGGGTTTGCATTGTTTTTTGAGGCTCGGTATTGATAATGTCGGGGTTGATTTACAGGGAAAGCAATGAGCCACCGTTGCCATTTTGAAGCGCCCCCGATTTTGAGACCCCGTTCAAGGTTCTCTACCTTGAGAGCCAGTGGTTGACTTCTCCACAGGGCCGTGTTTGACCCTAACGAAGCTTGCCTTCCCGGCCCCGAATCACCGGTGTCACCGTCTCAGGCCATTCGCTGCGGTGACCGGGACCCGCTCGAGGACCGGCGATCTGCGGAGGTCTCGCGAGCCTCCCGCGCGGAGCCTGCGGAGCCTGCGGCTGCAACGCTGCGCTGGGCATAGGTGCCCTGTTTGGAAAGTAGATGGCCCTGGTAGATGATTGATCCGCCAGGTAAACCAGGACCCTCTATTTTTCGCCAAACTGCCCAGAAAGGACACCTATGGCGCTGGGTGTGAACTCGGCTTGCCCCTTATTGGTTCGGTGGTTTGGGGCCCGAGGGTTTGGAGCTTGGACTGCACCAATAACCAGAGATGTTCATTCCCCAAATCACTAGTTGGGGGTTACATGATATAGGGGGCCTAAACAAGAACAAGACTCTTGGTTTCCTCTGCGCATCACAGCGCTCAGTTGGATGACCAACCCAATTGCAAAGTGGTTGTATGGGTCGTCTCCCCCAGTTGCAAGGGGGTGGGGGACCAGAGGTCACCCCCATCCCATATTTGAAGATCTCCAGAGGTCACCCCCATCCCCCAATTCCATTGGCAAGGGGGTGGGGGACATCGAATCAAATGTGCAACCAGATCTGCTCAGGCTGCCCTTCACTTTCTGGAGAAAGCCTGGTAGAGACACGGGTGTGTCCGTTTGGATTCACTGTAATGCAACCCCGAAAAAGGGCACCAACAAAAACACACCCACATCTCCTTTTGAATGTCCCAGCTCCTTCATGGTGCTGATTCGTTTCCGATTCCTATCCCCACGACATCATTTCAATCGTCCCCTTGGAATCGGGAAGGATATCAAACACTTTTTTCACAATCAAAAAGAAACTTTGTTTAGCTATCAAAAAAACTTAATGCACTCAGGGCTGCATTTACTGAGAAACGTGTGTATCAAAAGGAACACGCAGTGCACGCGCACGGACACGGTCTCATCACACGTGCTGTAGCTGCGGGGTTACTCTTTTGCGATGGTCTGGGCGAGTAGCGGGGGGGTTGGGGGGGGCGGCAGCCCCCCCATGATGATCGAAAAACTGATGATTCAACTAGGGGCAAGAAATCTAAATAACCAGCGAGGAGGCAAAAAATCTAAAACTGCCCCTTAGATTTTTTGCCCCTAATTGAATCATTCGATCGTCATGCGGCAGCGCCCCGCCCAACTTCCCCCGCACTTATCGATTTTTTGCCCCTAATTGAATCATCACTTTCTGGATCAGTAGCGGGGGGGTTGGGGGGGCTCCCCCATGATGATCCAGAAAGTGATGATTCAACTAGGGGCAAAACATCTTGAAGTGGCGGGGAAGTGGGGGGGGGGGGGGCCTACCGCATGACCACAAATGTAAAAGTAGAGGGGGGGTTTGGGGGGGGGGTGTGGCAGCTCGATGATCAAGAAAATAATGATTCAACTGGGGCAAAAAATCTGAGAAGTAGCGGGGGGGGGGGGGGGCAGCCCCCCAATGGTGATCGAACAAGTCCCCCCCCATGATGATCGAAAAACTGATGATTCAACTAGGGGCAAGAAATCTAAATAACCAGCGAGGAGGCCAAAAATCTAAAACTTCCCCTTAGATTTTTTGCCCCTAATTGAATCATTCGATCGTCATGCGGCAGCCCCCCGCCCAACTTCCCCCGCACTTTTCGATTTTTTGCCCCTAATTGAATCATCACTTTCTGGATCAGTAGCGGGGGGGTTGGGGGGGGCGGCAGCCCCCCCCCATGATGATCGAAAAACTGATGATTCAATTAGGGGGCAAGACATCTAAAAACCAGCGAGGGGGCAAAAAATCTAAAAAGTAGCGGGGGGGTTGGGGGGGGCGGCAGCCCCCCCGCGATGATCGACAAAGTGAGTATTCAAATTGTGGCCAAACATCTAAGAATAGCGGGGGGGTTGGGGGGGCTCCCCCATGATGATCCAGAAAGTGATGATTCAATTAGGGCAAAACATCTTGAAGTGGCGGGGAAGTGGGGGCTACCGCATGACCACAAATGTAAAAGTAGAGGGGGGGTTTGGGGGGGGGGTGGCAGCTCGATGATCAAGAAAATAATGATTCAACTGGGGCAAAAAATCTGAGAAGTAGCGGGGGGGGGGGGGCAGCCCCCCAATGGTGATCGAACAAGTCCCCCCCCATGATGATCGAAAAACTGATGATTCAACTAGGGGCAAGAAATCTAAATAACCAGCGAGGAGGCCAAAATCTAAAACTTCCCCTTAGATTTTTTGCCCCTAATTGAATCATTCGATCGTCATGCGGCAGCCCCCCGCCCAACTTCCCCCGCACTTTTCGATTTTTTGCCCCTAATTGAATCATCACTTTCTGGATCAGTAGCGGGGGGGTTGGGGGGGCGGCAGCCCCCCCCCATGATGATCGAAAAACTGATGATTCAATTAGGGGGCAAGAAATCTAAAAACCAGCGAGGGGGCAAAAAATCTAAAAAGTAGCGGGGGGGTTGGGGGGGGCGGCAGCCCCCCCACGATGATCGAAAAAGTGAGCATTCAAATTGTGGCCAAACATCTAAAAATAGCGGGGGGGTTGGGGGGGCGGCAGCCCCCCCAATGATGATCCAGAAAGTGATGATTCGATTAGGGGCAAAACATCTTGAAGTGGCGGGGAAGTTGGGGGGGGGTGGGGCTACCGCATGACCACAAATCTAAAAGTAGAGGACAAGTGATGATTCAATTAGGGGTAAACAATTTAACAAGTAGCGGGGGGGTTGGGGGGGGCGGCAGCCCCCCCATGATGATCGAAAAACTGATGATTCAACTAGGGGCAAGAAATCTAAATAACCAGCGAGGAGGCCAAAAATCTAAAACTGCCCCTTAGATTTTTTGCCCCTAATTGAATCATTCGATCGTCATGCGGCAGCCCCCCGCCCAACTTCCCCCGCACTTTTTTCGATTTTTTGCCCCTAATTGAATCATCACTTTCTGGATCAGTAGCGGGGGGGTTGGGGGGGCGGCAGCCCCCCCCCCATGATGATCGAAAAACTGATGATTCAATTAGGGGGCAAGAAATCTAAAAACCAGCGAGGGGGCAAACAATCTAAAAAGTAGCGGGGGGGTTGGGGGGGGCGGCAGCCCCCCCCACGATGATCGAAAAAGTGATCATTCAAGTTGTGGCCAAACATCTAAAAATAACGGGGGGGTTGGGGGGGCGGCAGCCCCCCCCATGATGATCCAGAAAGTGATGATTCAATTAGGGGCAAAACATCTTGAAGTGGCGGGGAAGTTGGGGGGGGGGGGGGCTACCGCATGACGATCGAAAAAGTGATGATTCAAATTGGGGGCCACAAATCTAAAAGTAGAGGGGGGGTTTGGGGGGGGAGGGGTGGCAGCTCGATGATCAAGAAAATAATGATTCAACTAGGGCAAAAAATCTGAGAAGTAGGGGGGGGGGGGGGCCAGCCCCCCAATGGTGATCGAACAAGTGACTATTCAATTAGGGGTAAAAAATGTAAAAAGTAGCGGGGGGGCGGGGGTTGGGGGGGGGCGGCAGCCCCCGCCCAGATGATCGAAAAACAGATGATTCAATTAGGGGCAAGAATTAAAAAAAAAAAAAAAAAAAAACAGCGAGGGGGCAAACAATCTAAAAAGTAGCGGGGGGTTGGGGGGGGCGGCAGCCCCCCCCAGGATGATCGAAAAAGTGATCATTCAAGTTGTGGCGAAACATCTAAAAGTAGCGGGGGGGGGGTTGGGGGGCGGCAGCCCCCCCATGATGATCCAGAAAGTGATGATTCAATTAGGGCGGGGGACGATCGAAAAAGTGATGATTCAACAGGGGCAAAAAATCTACATAGTAGTGGGGGGTTGGCCCCCCCATGATGATCGAAAAGGTGATGATTTGAATAGGGGTGGCATTTCAATTGAAAGGGGGGCAAGAGGAACTGAGGATGCAGGAAGCCACGGCCAATAACCAACTGGGAAAGCAGAGGATGCAAAAAGCCAGGAGAGAAACTGGTAATGCAGAGGATGCGAAAAGCCAAAGCCGCAAAAGCTGCATAAACCCAACAAAAAGCTGCAAAAGCCAAACAGAGAGGAACTCAAAAGACCAAAGGATCAAGAGACCAAAGGACCAAGGGACCAAGGGACCAGAGGACCAGAGGACCAGAAATGCAAGGATGAAGGGACCAAGACCAACAGAACAGAGGCCAAAGATAACCAAAGGAGCGAGGGAGCAGAGGATCAAGGGCTCCAGGACCGGGACCAAGGGACCAGGAGACCAGGACCAGGCACCAAGGGACCAGAGGAGCAAGGACCAGGAAAGTGGAGGACCAAGGGACCAAGGTGACCAAAGGACCAAGGGACCAGAGGACCAAGGGACCAAAGGACCAAGGGACCAAAGGACCACGGGACCAGGGGTGTTCAAGGAACCAGAAAACCAAATGCCAACCAAAAGAACAGAATATACAAGCAGCAGAGTGAGATTGTGGGAAGTTGTTTTTTGATTGCTAAAAAAGTTTTTTGTTGATGGCTGAAAGTTTTTTGTTGATTGCCAAACAAGTTTTTTATTGATGGTCATCCCCTTGGAATCAATTGGTCGTACCAACCCACCTCGCCGACTGCGCAAGGGTAGAACAGGGCTTCGATGGCCCTCCAAGGATAAAGGGAAGGGAACTGGAACACCAGTCATGTAAATTCCAAATCCCATTTTGAGACACATGTGGTTTTCCGCCATCCCGCTTCGGGTTTCTCACTTGCGCGCACTTCAAGAGACATCTCCCGAACTTCCGGCACTGCTTTCTTATTGAGGCTACCCTTTTTTGGGGTCATTGAGGAAACCGAGCGCAGAAAACCGGACTGAAACATAGTAGTTTCCCGTCCACATCCTTAAGACCCAGACCCATACTTGAGGACCTAGATGTTCAACCAACTCAGTAAGTAGGTCATAACCATGGTTATCAGGGGCCCGAACCCAGTTGCCCAAGTAATATAACCATGGTTACAACCTACCTGACATTGGTTCAACATCTAATCTTCGAGCAGTTCTATTGGAACCAACCCACGGTCATAACCTACCTGAGGTTGGCTCCACATCCAAACCTTCCCCCAACTTTGCCCGAAAAGCTCGGGCAGCGGATCGAAACGCGTGCGCCTTCGGGCTCCTTCATGGCTGTGATCTGCGACTCTCTGGTGGAGCCCATGTCCACCTAAAGATCTCAAGCCACCGCGCGCGAAAGCGAAGAACCGCATGGCCGGGGGGGTTGAATGGGGTTGCAGCTGGTGATTGAAATGAATACCAAAATCCGAAGGCCTGCAAAATGACTTCTATGGCGTACCCCTGCAAAGCTTGCTAGCGCAAGAAGACTGCGGAAAACTACATGTTTGGGGCTTCCCTGTTGAGTCACAGTTCAAACCTACTGTGGATGGAGGAAATCCATGTCACACCACCTAAGAAACCCAACGGAATGATGATTCCCCTGCAAATACCGTCACAAAAAACGGTGTCCCATGGTTTCAAAGTGGTGCGAAATATGGACTTCGTCCCTCGCTAGTTTAGCATGAAGGCGTGTTCTACCCAAACCCAAAGAATTCAGCAGGCGCGGGTCTTTGAAGTTGGTTTCGGTTTCGGGCGGCGGCTTCCCGGTCTGAGTGTCCCGACAATCTGGAAGGAGTCCAGGAACGCCTACGCGAAGCGCGTCGAGGATTCCCATCTGATCATCACCCTTCCGGTCCAGTGGACTGAGTTGCCAGGAGAGAAATGGAAACGTTAAACCCACACTTTGTGGAAACCCAAAAAAAAACCCACACTTTGTGGAAACCCAAACAAAAACCAAACCCAACATGGAAACCCAAAAATTCGAAGGAGGGGTGGTAGAATCCCCATTTCACTTCAAGAAAGCCCAGGAAGTCTAAGACTGAGAACATCGTCATCGCGATTGCCAAGGCCGAGGGCTCGATCCGACGGATGGGGCAGAGAGCTCCGACAAGATTGCCCAACAAATTTGACCGCGGACTGCCTAAAATCCCCCGGCTGCAAACAAAAACATGGCTTGACCAAAATCGGAACCTTGGTAAACCCGCACATAAACAATGTTCCCCAAGATGTCCCGGCCGTAGACTAGCAACACCTGGGGCTCGTCTGTTTTTGCAGTTGATACCCGGCTTTTATGGTTTTAAAAGGAAACCAAGAGGACCGAGGCCATTTTGGGGGTGCCCTAAGAATGACCCGCCCACATTTTGTCAGCTCATTTAGGCTTGGCCGGCGAAACCACTGAACTGCAAAGGGAGCCTTTGGGGAGCTGGTGCCTGAAGATTGTTGAGAGGGTTGTCCTATGTTCGGGTTAACCATTGTTGCTTAAATCACGAAAAGGATCGGCAATTCAAAACAGATCGGAACAAACCACCCAATTCTGATGAGAACGGTACTCGACAAGAATTGACAGTAAGTCATCCCTAACCCTGGCCCTGCCTGCTCCCAAAACCTTTCCCCATAGCTTGCTTGTCTGTTGCTCATAAAAAAAGAAACAACATCGGGATGCCGCGCATCGCCTTGCCAGCATCGTCTTTGGTTTTTGGTGATGCTGGTCTTCGGTCGGAGTAGGTTGCTCGTATGTGTGTCAGTTGATCGTCGCAAAGCGATCCCTCGGTGACTCCGCCCTTGTCATGAAGTCTGCTGGGGCTCTCAAGCGGTTTGCAAATGGTATGCTCTGAAACATAATCATCGTAGGTTTATCTTGGCGTGCAAGTATTTATGTGTTGTGTTGCGCGCGCAAGGCATTGGTGTCAAGGTTGCCTTGTGTTGCCCAGGGCCTTGCTCATCATGTGACTGATGTTTTGTGTGGCCACTGCGTCAATGTGTGCGCGTGTCTCGTATTCTCACTTCCTGAGCGGATTGTCCAAACAAGTCTGAACTGTCATTTACCACTAAAAGGGTCTTCCCAAAAGGTATAAAGTCCAGGACCTCAGGAAGCGAGTATTTTAAGGGTACCTTGTCTGGGCTGTCAAAAAAAAAAGCGACTGCACACATTGGGATTTTTCTCCGGGTTGCCCAAGTTGGAGAGAAAACCTTTTCTTTGTTTAGCCACGGTTTCCTTTTTGAGTGATTCATATCCCCGGCAAGTCCCTGCTCTCTGGGATTTACCCTCTACCTCTGTGAGGGCCTTAGGGGACTTCTGAACCAGGTCATCCAAGTAGGATAGAAATTCTAACTTAATTTTCACTCCAAAGATCACTCGACCCTTTTCCGATTGAATCAGACTGAGTTAAAGAGATACCAAACGGAAAACAACGATTGATTTGTGGGGGGGGGGGGTCAGGGCGGCACCACCAAACCGCCTGTCCGAAAGGCTGGGATGTTCCCGGTGGCAACCATATTAGGTTGAAACACAGACACATTCAAAATTAAATATCAGATGGATGGCTCGTCTTTTTGATGATACCGGGTCGAACCCTTCCCTTCAAACTGGACTTGATTGCTTGACGCGACTTAGCCTGCCATAGCAAGTTGCTGGTTGAAAGGAAAATACGGGAACAAGAAAAGCAAATAGTTCAAGTTAAACCTAAACCCTCAACAATCCCTTAAAAATGTGTGATTGCCCCAACGGTATGGTTGGGTAGTTTGAGGGTCCAGGAACATACAAGCTAAGTCTGGCCATGATTGGGCCTACCAAACCTCCAAGCAAATGCTCAGAATCCGCCTCATAGTCCAGCGTATTGTTCGCATCGAACACGGCGTGGTCAACCTGGCCGTGTTCTTTGGGGGGTGCCAACGCTCAACTAAACAGGGATCCTTACATTATACAGCTGAACATTGCCTTGTAAATGCTGGTTTCCCTTGATTTTTGGTGGACAAAGCCATGTTTCAAATGGGCGTTTAAGGAGCCATGCTAAACCTGCTGCAGAGAACAGGGTGTCTCGCGGAAAACAGGGGACAACTTCCAGAAATGGGGAGTTCTTTTTGGTGTCCCTTTAAGCACCCTCTTTAAAAGGATGTCCTGTTCAACGTTTCAAAGGTGCATTAGCAAGTGCCTGGAAAGTGGCCGCAGCAGGGTGGCCATACTATGGGGCTGTGTATTTGTTTGAAACAAAGATAGTTTTGCGGATACTTCAAAGGACACCTCAAGGGAAAAACAACCCTTTTCGTGCGGCCTCTCATTTTTGGATAACCCCCATGCTTTTGAGGTGGTGTGACAACTTTCCAGCCTTGTGGTAGCAACAAGCTTGGCTTCTTGGGTATGTTGTAGCCCCCGACGAAACAAATACACGGTACAACCCCCGGCTGTGCAGACTGAGGTACTTTCTTTGGACAGCCTAGCGTTGCATATTTGCCAAGGTGACCATTCTGAAGAACAAAAGCCTTCCTTGAAAGGGCATATTTGGGTGAGCCATTTGCTGCGGGAGAACCCAAACTGGGTAGTTTTCCTCTTGGTGTCCTTTGAAACCACAAAAAAGGCTTCCCTACAAAGACAGACCCATATCTTTCGTGAACAGGTACATACTCCAGTGATCTTACCAACCCCCTAAAAGGGCCACGGTTCATAAGTCGTGACAAGCCAAATATGGGCAGGGGGAGGAGGAGGGTTTGGGGTAAGGGTTTGGGGAAAGGGTTTTAGGGGGTTTGGGGGGAGGGTTGGGGGGTTTTGTGGAGGGCTTGGGGGGGTTTGGGGGGTTGATGATTTCACACCGCAGCTCGCCATGATCCAAGCAGCCTGCGCTTGCCGTATAGACCCTGGTTTGGATTGATAGACGGGTGCCCCACGTTACAGGCCAACCAGATCGCTTTTTGCGGGACCAGGAATCATCCGCAGGATGCCCTCTACAAGGTGACCCCTATTCATCAACCAGTGCTTCTGGGGGGGTTGAATATGGGTATGAATCTTAAAAAAACCTTTGGTGGACATCATTTAGGCAGGGATTCATGTCCACCCACTTCTGAGGTGGTTCCCTCTTAAAACTCAGTTGAACAGCCTCCCCAAACCAAAGCTTAAAGTCTGTGAGTTCGAACAGGGTGTTATTCCACACACAAATCCCTAAATGTCCCCCATCAACCACCCCCTCTGAAACTTTGCGTCTGGCACGCAAAAATAACACCTCCAGCTTCTGCTTCATATATGGTTGGAGGACACCTCAGAAAAGGCCGTTGCCCGATAAACCGTGCAAGAAAGACAAACACAAAGTGAAATCACTTTGGGGCAACGCCCCGTTCGGGCGGGTTCTCATTAGTTCGATCGGTCATTGAAGGTGAAGCCGCAACAGTGAACCAGAAAATCGCCACCGCCGGGCGCGCCAGGATGTCGATCTGGTCGCTGGTGAGAGGTGCACCGTGAACGCCGACTGGAGAGTTTCAGACAGCGAGCGCGAGAAACGACCGCGTTCGATCGGATCAGTTGCATCGCCTCCCCTCACCCCGTGACTCCTCCAACTTCTGTTTGCTTAAGTCGCCAGGCAAACACACGCATCTCCGGTAGTGATATATTGCCTTAATGAATTTGACCTTACTTGGGACTCAGATTTATCAAGCCCTCAGCATTTGGACGGGGGTCGGGTGGTTCGTGGCTTCAGTCTCTTTTGATATCTTTCCCTCTCTTTCTCTCTTTCTCTCTCTTTCTCTCTCCCTCTCTCTGTTTCTCTCTCTCTCTCTCTTTCTCTTTTTCTTGTTTCACGTCTGCCCGTTGCCAATGATCTATGTTCTTCCATTTGCATTGTAGAATATTTGAGATTTTCCCTGGTTTTACTGGCTTCATACTGTGGATGGACGAAATCCTGCACCACTTTGAAACCATGCAAAACCCATTGCTTGTTGGTATTTACAGGGGGAATCAGCATTCCGGGCTGTCTTAGGTGGTGCAGGATTTCGTCGATCCACGGTATGGCACTGCTTGCGGTAGGTCTTCTTGCCCATTAGCATGAGGGTGTCTGGGCATGGGGGGGGGGTCCCTTTCGGTTCTTTGTGGATGGCGGGATCTCTTAGTAGGACCTCCAGTAGAGAGGTTAGAATAAGGTAGTCTATTTTAGTAGGGGAACCCTCCCCAAAAAAAGGTAAAAGGGATCTACTGGGCTCGTTTGGCGTGGTTCCCCTTCATGTGATTCTGTCAGGTGTCAATTATCATGGACCCTGAAGCTTCCTTCAAAGGAACCTTTGGGTGAGCCCCCTTGTTCGCCCGAAGCTAACCATAGACAGTAGAGTATCAGCATTTTTTCAGTAAGTCACATGCAAAACAATCATCGGATAACACTGAGCCTCAATGGCCAGCTCCTGTAATGCGGTGACGCCCTGGATGAACAAATGAAATGGAGTTCCTGGACCCTCAAAATTCAAATTCAAACATGGGCCAGTGCAACCCCAGATCCTAGATCCTGGCTGAGCTCTCTGTAGTTTGAGGATTATTTTATTCCGGTTCCACGGCGCGACAACTGGTCAGTAGACTATGTGCGCCATGCGAACTTCCGAATCCAGAGGCACACTCTATTTCAAGGGAAGCCCATGAAGAGTTTTCAAGGGCCCCTGAAAACTTGGGGGAACTATGGTGGACGCCCTACTAGGTCCTCCAGTAGAGGGGTTAGAATAAGGGTGCCCTTTTTTTGCAGCAGTCTATTTTAGTAGGGGAGCCCAAAAACCCTCAAAAAAAAGGTGAGAAAGGGCACCTAGCTGGGGGACCTAGCCTAAAGACTGCAAGTAATCCATTCCAATTTCTGGTCCCGCAGGCCATTGGTCGGTTCTTCGAAGCCCCGAAGACGTAAACATCAGCAAAGCCCATGCCTAGTCCAGCGTTCCAAGGAAGAGGATCGGGACTGTGGGAAATGGACTCCACGCATCTTTGATACAACAAAGGCTTCCCAAAGAGCAACCCCCCGTAGAAGGGAGGGGATCCCCTTGTACAGAAGTGGAAATAAACCCCTGGATCCCACAACCCTGGATAACCCTGACAATCCAATGTATGCATATATCGCCTACACTGGCCGACGCTAGCGTTTTTCAACTACATTGACCGATAAACCCGAATGTAGCCACTTTTTGGGGACATTCAAACCGACAACTTCCGACAAGGGTTCCGACAAACCTTCCGACAACAAGCTCGCCTCAATTTCGGCGACTCTATCCGACGACGCCCTCCAACCAGCCTTTTCCAATGCCTTTCCGACCGCTAACTTAACTCACAATGCAGGAAAATACAAAGGCACGCCGCAAATTGATGTACGGACAAAACTTAAACTGCGAATGACTGGCAACAACTACAGGGCACAAACAGGGCACATAATGATTCGAGCCAACCCCGGCTATCATTGTCGGTAAATGTTGGTTGCCTGGCATGCAACAGAAGGAATCGACTAGCATAGTGTAGCAGATCCTGCTGAGGACTAACCGATTGTAACGTTAACCATTTTGACGGGCTGGCTGGCTTGACGAAACAGTGTGGCGACGAGGCACATGTGCGATAGTTCAAACTTTTCAGGCCACACCGTGAAGCGCATTTCCAGCACTGGGTCACACTAAGGCAACGCCGGATAGCAAAGATCACTCAACAAACATAATTATTGCGCGTGGAGATCCTGCCAGCAGTCACTCTCAACAAAACCTATCCAAACGCTGATGGGGGTTGATACCCCCCCCAACCAAAGAGGTAAAGCAGAATGATGCTACGTTGTTGTCCACAGTTACACAATTTCGTCAACTTGCCCGTGCCTAGCTTAAATGTGTTGCTTCCTGATTGCTTGCAAGCCAAGCTGCAACCTCTGGCTTTGTGAGCTAAGTTTCTGGCATGTTTGATGCGTGCCCACGCAGGGGCGATGGATCATCGTGACAAGCTTGTTCGCGGACCATAAGCCGTCGACGGAAGGTAAGGGGTCTAATTTCCAACAATCACATCTCCAACCAAATACTTGCTTAACACCATGCCGCAACCCCGTCCAGAGCGCAGCCCATCTTAAAAAGCCCTTGTTTTTCAAAGCAGGTGTTTCATTTGTTTCCAGGAGGCTCACTTTGAAAGCGTGCTAGCCTGCTAGCAGTTCCCAAGCACCATTCGAGCGGCAACTGCTTGCCACGCGAAATTTCACTGGTCAGATAGAAATTAAGGCTCTAATCCTGCCATGCAACAGCTTTGTCAAACGAGATGTGCTGGGAAGGGCTCAAGCGGCGGTCCAATGCTCTCCTTGATTAAACATGTCCTCGCCAGCTTCTCTCCGAATGTTTGGGGCATACGCGCTAGTATTCCATTTGTCCGACAAACGCTTCTCCGCTGATAAGTCCTAGGCCGGCTTGCCAGGTGACACAATCAATCAAGCCACGACATCACTTCCAACTCACGGTGCGAACAAAAACCGAGCCTCGTCCGACGTGTCAACACATGAACACAGTCCGGCAAAAATTCACGCTATTTCACGCTATTTCACGGTTTTCCGTTAATGTAAGCAAAAATAAGAAGACAATCCGACAACTTTTCACGCCAAATCACGGTTTGCCGTTTGCACAAGCAAAGGACAGGAACACAATCCGAGAAGAAGTCACGCAAAAACAACGAAATTTGTCGGGTCATTTACTCCAAATCGCTTGCTAATTTTGGGCATGCAGGTGCGAAGAACATGGTAGGGACAGACTTTGGTCAGCCAGGGGGAACAAACGAACCTTTGCTGAACTGCTTTTGGGTAGCAACAATGGGCACCTGTTGGGCCTTTAGTAGACCAAGCTTTGAATAGGCAAGACTGAGCTTTTTGCATGGCTGATGCGATCCCAGAGCTGATGCGAGTAGACAATCCGGATGCCGAGTCTCCAGCATGCCAATGAAAACTGAAGAGCACTGAAGACATGCATGCTAAGCTTGGTGGCTCCTTATCCGAGTTTACATAGCAATCAGTACTGCCAAGCGAATAGTTGACATACAGATTGCGCGTGCAGCATCATATATCCCATGCTCAATCGGCAAAACGCCAGGTCTGCCCAATCGCAATGCAGTCATTGACCTAAACCTACAAATAAGAACACTGCTTTATGTTCTGAGCTTAGATATTCATCATCTTGAACTGCATGTGTACATAAAGTGTTGTACATGTGTACATACATAAATTTGCACCTGCGTAACATGTGTATGTCTATGTTTTGCTTGGCGGAAAACGCTTCTTGGTAAGATAAATTTGGAGTTTCTTTTTGGTATGCTAGGACATCTTGCTGCGTAGATTGAGCACACTTGAATGGCCAACAGTTACTGGGTGGCAGTTGGGAGTCGGCTCGGCAGGCCAATTTGGCTTGGCGCTCCTCATCTCAATCATTCGGCACAGCCAGAAACGTGTCCATACTTGCAATCGCGTGTAGGCTGTACTGTTGTACAATGAATCCCTGGCAGTTGATAGATGGCTGTGCTTTCCAATGCGGCTCAAGGTCGGCAAGTCCGTGCCTTTGGCGCAGAGCATGTTGAACTTGTAAGCTTATCATTTCAACTACGTATAATCCAAGATCAAAGCACGTTTACATGGGCAATAGAGCTCGAGGGTGGCTTTGCGTTGCACGGTTGAACAATTTGCATACTCAATACTTAGAGCGGCTTTCTCACAAGAGTGCACCAACGATTCCTGCAATTGCTGATTTGTTTGTTTGGCGTAGCCTGCTCATCCGGAAAAACACTTGCAAGAGTCTGATGGCGAGCTCTCAGCCATCGCTAGCTACAAACGTCATCAAATGTCCATGTGAGTAACGCGGTGTTTACATTTGCTGAAGCAAGTGCAAATTAATGAAAGCGAAGTTGCTACACAACAGTGCTTTGGCAAATAGCGCAAGTTAGCAAGCATGATCATTGGACCCATGCAAAACAAATATGCTCAATCAACTCCGCCACATGCGGGTTGAAATTTGACTATCGGACACGAGCTTCGTCAAATCTCATCATTTGCCAGGCCATATTTCGACATTCGACGGGGATTCGGCGAATGTATTTTTATTTTGGTTATATTTCGACAATCCGACAGGGATCCGACGGATGTTGTCGTTTTTTTGCTACATTGCCAATGTACCCCAAAAATGGCTACATTGCAATGTACGCCATATTTGCCTACATGGATTCTCAGGGTAAGGTAGACCCCAAGAAAGTGGCTTAGGCCCTGAGTTGCGAGAATCTTTTTCACACGCGCGCCAAGCAAGCCAAAGAATCTCCCGGCATGGTAACCCCAAACCCCCAACCCCCCAACCCCCCAACCCCTGCTTTTCATGGTTGAAAGAAAAAGCTGGCAAGTTGGGAGCTGGGTGGTGGGTTCCCTGTAGCCAGGCTCTTGCACTGCAAATTTGTTGTGTGAGTTGCACCCGATTCACCAAAGCCCATGGAATTCTTCCCAGACTTCTGGTGGGTTTGAAGAAACCATGGTTTCTTTGTTGATCTTTTGCGGAATCAAATCATTCCGTTGGGTTTCTGAAAGGTGCGAAATAGATGTCGTAACCATGCGACGGACGGCACGATTCAACGAAAGGCCCCATCCGGCTCCTCCTTGGCTGGCTTCCAGCGATGCATTCAGGGACTTCAGGGTCCGCCTGACCAGGACTGGGCATGTCTTGGCCTTGGCATGAGTCTTGGTTGGCCTGATAATTTGCCTTGTGTTTCTCTGGGCTGCCCTCAGATCCCCCGCTAAAGAAAGGCGAAAAAGCTAAGGAACCGGATGGCTGGGAGCCACCAAGTTCTCTTCATTTTTTTTTGACTTCTTTTCGGCTTATTCGACCTTAGGACTTCCCCGCGGTGCATGGTGGCGAAATCCGGTCTCGAGTCTCGAACCACGAAGTGAAACCATGGTTGAAACCATGGCTTGTTGGTATTTACGCTGGGGAATCGAATCTTTTCAGGGTTTCTTAGAGTTACTTGCCCATGGCCGAACAGATCTTTGTCAACATCTGACTCTGGGATTTCAGGCGTTTCTGCCCGCATCAGGTTAGTAAAGGCCAAGGATAGTGGATATGACCAATGACGACGCAGAGTTGGGGGGTCAAAAAAAGTGGGTCCGACTTGTGAAGTTTGCACGGATTCTTTTTCAGATAGGATCAGTGAAACGCTAGGAGTGTGTATAGGCGCTTGAATTCATCTCTAATTGTCAGGAACCCTAGCTGCAAGGGTCCGGGGTTCATAGCTATTGATGATAAAGGCAAAAGTTGCCAACATTGCCAAATGAGTTGCCACTATGGGCCTTCGGGGTTGGACACAGTTTGCATCTTGCACACAATGGTTTGTTCAAAGATGATGTTGCAAAATGTCTAAAATTCTCTAAATTTGCATTCTTCAAACACCAGAGTTTCAGACATCTTTTACTGATCCAACACTAAAAGTGAGAAACTAACTTTCTTTTAGTGGGTTGAATTCGGAAACTACCACCAAACACCAAAGGTTGCTAAAAAGCGAAGGAATCGGATGGCTGGGAGCCACCAAGAAAAGGTGATGTTCTAATCCCGGTACAGATGTCGATTTGGGAAATGGATGGCCCTGGTTTCCGACAGCTCAACCAACCGCCATCGATTTCCTGCCACCAAATCTGAGTTGCCCCAAGACCCCAGACATACATGGGTGTGGCTCAAAATTAAACAGGAGGGGTTACGCAGGCTTTGGTCCATGTTTCCACTTACCAGGGTTCCATTTTGGTATCGGTTTTTTGAGCCACAGCCACATGGTGATCTCCTTTTGGGACATAGACAAAAAATGAGCCGTGCCGGAATCCGGTCGATCAACCTCACGGCCAGGGCCCCCCCCGGTCAGTGGAAGCTGGCGCTGGCTCAAGCCCCCAGCGAAACGTCGCTCAGCTTTGGTGAGTTCTCAAACCCACGAAACCAGCCACTGCTTATTGGACAGTACTTGGGGTTTTGGACATGGGAACAAGCAGTGCGGAGATTTTGGCACCTATGTTTGCATAAAATCGGGCCACGCCAAAGATCGAATGGTCATGGAAGGGGGTCGTTTCACCTGCATTTAAGTGGCCACGTCCGGAAAAACGAGTATTTCCACTAGTGATAGATTCCCTGTAAGGCCAACAGGAACACAAACATATGTTTGTGAATAGCAAATGGAATACAAGGAGTGCGTTTATCCACGTTTATCCCGCATCAGTTGGGTGGTGTAGATCAGGTTCCCTCTAACAGGTGGTTTGGATTGATGGTTTGGTGGTGAAGGGGTGGTGTCCCATTCACCCTCTACAAGAACCAGGAGTTCAAACCCCCAAACCACAAATCCCTATATAACCGAGGGTTCCCTGAGTCGCTAGGTCCTCCAGTAGAACGGATAGAATAAGGGGACCAAGTTTTTCTGTCTATTTTAGTAGGGGAACCCCACCCCAAAAAAGAAAGGGGTGAGAAACGGCACCAATTGCTGGGGTTCTTTGGGATTCCCTGAGTAGACTTAGAGCCCATGGAGAGAAAACAAAACTCTTTCCACGCGGCCTCAGGTTCTCCTTGGACACGCGGCCCGTCATGGGCTTGGCGCTGGCTTCACACTCTGCCTGACCCGCCCCGAACACGGGGTGGGAGCTTCTTGGTAGGCAAAAACAGCAAAAAACAAAAGGGCGACATGTTGCGCAAGCACCTGCAAACCTTACCTGTTGCAATTCCCCACAATCTACTCTGCATCTAGAAATCCCACATGTTGCAAAGTTAACCGATGTTTTAACATGTTCATCTTACCGTTACCAAAGGGGAGATCGTAACCCAAGTCATCAAAGGGCACTTCTCCGTGTCGGGTCCTCTTCAAAGTGCGATTTGTTTCTTGGAAAGAGAGAGGGCAAACAAGGATTGGCTTGGTTAAGATTGAGCGGGGTGATATAATGTCCGATTCATTCCCCAGATAGCGGAAAGCTATAGGGGTTCTAACTTGTAATGAAGAGGGGAAGTGAATTGCAAGATTGACGGCCGAGTGCTAGGGGGTGCTGGTGCAGGTGCTGTTTGATGCGGTTTTGTGTGGTGGTGCTAGCGACGCTGCGTACGCATTTGCGGGATTGGCGGCCGGGTGCTCTGCAGGTGCAGGTGTTCGCTATCTGGGATCTATGCTGGTGTCATGCTGTATATTCACCCCCCCCAACATGACCATGCATCATCATCGTCATCATCATCATCATCGTCATCATCATCGTCATCGTCATCGTCATCGTCATCGTCATCGTCATCGTCATCGTCATCACCATCACCATCACCATCACCATCACCATCACCATCATCATCACCATCACCATCGTCATCGTCATCGTCATCGTCATCGTCATCACATCACCATCACCATCACCATCACCATCACCATCACCATCACCATCATCATCATCATCATCATCATCATCATCATCATCATCATCATCATCATCATCATCATGTTTCTGTAGAGGGCAAACATGTTACCAAAGACTGATCCAAATAAACATAGTGGACTTGAAACACTTAGCAACTTGGAGGCTCCCTTTGTGATTTCTCCAAGACACAACATGTTTGGGGGTGTGCCACTTGCGAATCGAAATGGCTTTTGAAACCCGGTTTCCCTTTAAACCACATATAGTATTTTCTTTTGCCGGGGCAGGGTAGGTTGTCACTTTAGTTGAGGGGCTAGCATCTGGGCAGAATTCAGCTTCCCTCCAACTGGTTTGGAAGTGCTCCGGGGGTGGTGTCCCATTAACTCTCCACAACCAGGGGTCAAACCAATTCCAAACCACCAATACCAATTCATCGACTTAATGAGGTCAAACTTCTGTTTCAACATAGGGAGGCCCTCTTGGGATGGTCTTTAGGGGCTTCCCAGCAGGAAACCACCAATATCCAAACAAACCAAAGCCTTACCAGACCCTCCGCTCGCTCCGAGTTCGCGAAATGCCTCTTCCACGAACTTGAAGGCCTGCAACAGGCTGGCCTGCCGCAACTCCAATCGATCGCTCCGCCAACGCCCGGGCCATCGCACCTTTGATTCCACCAAATCGCTGTTTTCTCTCACTTCCGCTCGAGCGGACTGGCAAAAACCAAGGTGAAACACATGGCTGTGGTTCAAAAAAGTGGTACCAAAATGGCACCTTGGGAATTGGAACCAAAGCCTAAAACCTGCGTAACCCTAGCTCTTTAATTTTGAGCCATACCCACATGTTGATCGCCATAAGGGTAACCCCAAAAGTATGCAGCTCCGAAACTAGGCAACCAAGCTCCGAAACCCTGTAACCTGATACAAAACATGCCGAAGGACCGCCAAATCAAACGGCAACATAAAACTCACGGGCCTTACTCGGGCAACAAAAAAACGGCCAACAAAACCAATAAACCATTTAAAACAACACGTCAGCCATAGCAAACTACGGCTGAGCCCAAAATAAATAAGGCAATGGCAAGACCTTATGCAGCACAAAATTTAGCCGAACAACACAACATGAGGCCTTACTGAGGCAACATGCGGCCAAATGAAACCAAAGGCCATAACATGTAGCCACTTTACAAAGACAAAGCATAAGGCCAAGACGGCGAATCGTTTACAGCTTGAGCAAAGAACGGCATAAAGGCAAGGCAGGGGTCGGAAAAAAAGGGGAGAGGCTAGCGGGAACTGCAACCGCTGTGCCCATAGGTGTCCTGTTGGCAAAATAGATGAAATAGATGGCACTGGTAAATTATTAGAAGCAACCTGCAACCAGTGCCATCTTTTGTCAACCAAGCGTTTCTACACAGGCCACCTACTGTGGATGGACGCTATCCTGCACCACCTCAGAAACCCTGGAATGATGACTCCCCTGCAAATACAAACAAACAATGGTTGCCCATGGTTTCTGAGGCCTGAAAGACGATCTGAACAACCAAGAACTTCGATATGGAGCAATGACGCTTGTCCATCGACCTATGACTGTAACAAATGATGAGTCCGAACTGATTCTCCATTCCTTGCCTGGACCTTCAAACTCTGGGACATTTCTGGGTGGTTTAGGAGGCCCCTACTTTGTTTTCAGGAGGACGAAGGTCCCGGTGTTGTGGAAATCCCGCTCCCAAAAAAATCTGATCGCACTGGGTTACATAGACTAAAACCAGCGGTTCCCTGGTGAATAAACTTTGACCCATACCCATGACCATAAATCTGCGGAACTAACCGTGCCCAGAGAAAAACAACAAAATATAATTCAACCAAAAAAAAACTTGCATCAAATCCGATAGCAGCAATCGGCCAGCAGCGTAAGGTTGTTGTTCATCCGTGCGAGGCCGCTGAAAGGCTATGGTGCTGAAAGGCTTTGCGTGGGCTAGTTTGCGGGTCCAACCCTGCTTGGTGGTTTTATGGGGACACCCTTTGTGAGAAGCTCAAAAAGGCACACCCAGTGTGTCCTTTGTAGGGCGACTCGGCCACAAACAAACGAAAAAAACCACCAGCCAGAAGGGGGTCCTTGGGTTTTGCGGGGTGGGTGAGGTACTGTACCACACCTTGTTGCGCCAAATGATGGTGCAGATCTGCTCCATCAAGTCGCAACCTCACGAAAAACCATTCGCGCGACGGGCCAGCCAAAATTCTGGGAAGTCCACCCCAGTTCACCCCAGGGGAATACTTAGCTTTATGCGAACGCCGGTGTCAAACAAACTCCTGGTCATGGGTCAAAACCCCGTACCCCCAGTGAACATCCCAATCCCCACTAAAATAGGTTCTAAAATGGGTGGTGCACCGAAAACCTCAAAATAGTACCATTGGTTCTGACCCACAGCCTCGTTTCAACTTGGTCTTTGGAATGGCAAGCACATGGAATGGCAAGCACATTCAGAGCAAAGGATCCCTGCTTCTCACCTGCAAGAACTTGCTTGCAGGCACCCCCAAGCTAGGCTACCTGCAGCTTTCCCGGGGTTCTGGAAACAACTTTGGATCTTGTCCTCAGCTTTCCTCATGTCCAGAACGTTCAAAAGCAGACACCACACCAACTGTAGCATGCCAGGGCTTTGGCACAAACCTAGATTGGAATTCTGATATTCTCTGAATCCTCCCCCTCCTCCCCTCACCCCGAAGTGCAATAACGCATGCTCCGCCCCAAGCTAGGCCAATTTGGGGGCCCTGGCTCCTTATCCATCATCCGCCTAAACCATACTCTGAGAGTTTGTAATCCGAAATCCCCCTAAGGATTCAGGTTTGTGTTTGATGAGGTGCGGTTCCTGTGGCTCTCGGACAGAACCACAAACTTCTCCGATCTTCCGCTGGAGAAAGACGAAAAGGACGTCAGATTTTGAGACGGCGCCCAATGGCTTTCTGCCGGAGATGGATGAGTTAGCCACATGGACGGCCACAAAATCAGTGCTCCTAAATCGAAAAGGGAACGCCAAGGCGCCATTCTTGTGGGTGGATTCGCTGTCTATGATTGTCTTGTTGAGGACTTTGTTGGGTCCCCGACGAAACGTGGCACGCTTCCATTCTGTTTTCTTGTTGTCTTGAAATCTTCATGACATGGAACCACGATCCCAGAAATCACAGCCTGCCAAGACCCGCTCTTTCGATGGAGGGACCTTTTTAGCTGAAGGCCAGCTTAATTGGCGACCCGCAAAAGACAAACGACTCAAACCCCGGCTCGGCGTTGCCTACGTCTCAGACCCTGACCTCTGGTGGACTTCCAGCAGAAAAAAAAAAAGGACTGGCTCTTGGCGCCGGGTAACGTTTTTTTTTACGCAAAAGCCCCCCCCAAACGAAAAATCGCGCTCGGAGATCTGGGCGACCCCAACGCAGGCCTCTGCCCGGGGTCCTGGAGGTTGCTTCATGGCAGCTGGGCTGCCCTCAGATCCCCTGCCAAAAGTGACTAACTTTTAGTGGGGGAAAAATGGAAACCCCCCACGAAACACTGAAAGTTGCTAAACAACTAAGGAACCGGATGGCTGGGAGCCACCAAGTGACCCTTCGAGCCTAGCCTTCTGTCCGCGTTGCCATGGAACCCAGAGAGTCCTTTTCAACCGAACACTGTATTTCAGCACCCCTCTGTCAGGTTCCATGTTAGTCGACAGAAGGGGTACCAACATATCCCACCAAAAAGCTAGAGACACCAAAGCACCCCCAATGTGTGGTCACGGATATGGCTAACAGGAGCACACCCAGATGTAGTAGATATGGAGATCCCACGTATCTCCCCTACCTTAAGGGAGAGGAGAGGGTGAGGGATACCCCAATTCCATTTTTCTAGTCTTCCCCACAAACGGGAAAATGGGACCACAAATGAAGTTCCAAGGGTCCCCCAATTCCATTCTTAAGGAAGTGGGGATGTTTGGTTGCTCAATGAGGCCGCGACATTTACCTAACGAGTTGCTTCATAACTTGATGGGCCGCCCAGTTGGTAGGTGGTTAGTAGTCCAAGTTGTGGCACACATGCAAGATCAACTCCATTTGGGTACTTGTATGGAACCTGACAGGGATTGTCCTTGTAAAGGGACCCCCCTGTCAGGTTTCATGTAAATTGTTGAGAGGGTAACTTCTAGCTATAGGTTTAGGGCTGAGCATCGCCTAAGACCCTTTTGATTCAGCGAGTCAAGCAGGATAGAAGAACCTAGCCCTACCCGAGAGCCCAACACCCCCGCTTGAGTTGCACTCTTGTGTATATGTTAAGTCCAAGTAAGTCGTTAGTAGCCGAGGTATCAATTGCTGGGAGGGTAATTCTTGTCTTTGCTCAGACTATTTATGTCAAGGGCAAAGATATCTCCGATGGACCAAACGTGGACCCATAGTCGGTGCAGCCTCTTTCCCCTTGCTGGGCTTCTCTGCTCTCACTTCCGATCGAGTGGGCTGGCCAACAACGTCCAAACTGTTTGTTTGCTATTAAAATGATACAACCCAAAAAGTGAACAAAGTCCAACACGGAACTCGGGTGATGGTTTTTGTCGGTCTGCGGTCGTTTTGCGAGCTTCACGATCATGAACACCGAGCAGTGGCAGGCGTTACAATCTGTCCGGGTGCTTACCGTCTCTTCACAGGGCTCCAGTGTGGATGGACGACATCCGGCTTCTCCTTGGTGGTGCGAAGTGGATGTTGTCCATCCACAGTATGTATCCCTACCTTTTCAGCACCAAAAACGGAAGGGGAAATTAAAAGGTCATTTCAGGTCGATTCGCTTTGGGCTTTTGCGAGTTGCACGTCACGCATAGTTCCAGCCCAAAAGCTAACGTTTCAACCACCAAAACATACAATCGCCAGGAGCCTTTGACACCCTAGCCCCGTGCACGGTGGGTCTTCCTCTCCTCTTCCCCCGTGCCCGTCCTGTCCACTGGCTGAAACGCGTGCAGGAACCTTGGCGACCAGCGTAGAGAAATGCCAAAGCTTGGTTGACGTGGAAGGGGAGCAAAAAAAAATGTTTGCAGTTTAGTGGGGATTTCCCACTAAACCACAATAAGCAAAAATGTAAAATGTTGCCCAACAACAACCATGAAAGGGCGTGCTTTACCCATTTCAACTCGGCCCTCAGGAACATCGACCCAAACCCCGCAAGGCCCGGGGAACAGCTAAGGAGTCAATCAGCTTGTTGAAAGCCAAATCCAAAGGACAAATCACGCCATACCAGTTGGGGGGGGAGGGGAAGGGGACCCCCGAAATGCTTGGTGTCCTGTTGGCTTCCAAGCACAAGCGGGTTCTTCAAAGATCCACATCTGCAGTATGTTCTTTGGGGGGAATGCTGCAGTTGTCCAATAAGGTTGGCTTTTGAACCCTGCTTACCCCTGCAAATTTACGCCCCTGGAAGCACGCACACCCAAGCACCCAGGAATCCCCCCAATAGCTGGAGAGTTGATTAGGCTGGCCAAATCAGGCCTTAGCGCTTTGGGTAGGGTCTCTCTTGAGAACATTGATTCCCGAAGGTCGGATTCTGTCAATTCGCTGGCAGGCAACGCTACCCCCCCCCCCCCGAAAGACGCAAAGGCTTGTTGATACTAAACCTTGCGGTGTTCGGATCAGCTCAAAAGGTGATGCTGAAAAGTAAGAAGCGAAATGGGCGGAATATGGTGACCTCTAGTTCATTTGATTGCCTGGTGCCTGCCAACCTTCCATTTGCTCATTTCAGGGGTGCCTTAAAATAGGGAACCTTCGATAAAACAAATCCTAAGCGACCCGAAAAGGGCACCATCAAGCAAACAATTGCCAAAATGTCCAAACTGCTTGTCTACCGCTAAAATGGTCCTCCCAAAAAGTACGGCAAGTGGTCTTGCCAAAAGCAACTCGGATGGATTTGCAGGAATCTGCGTTTGCCAGTTTTCCTGAAAAGAATGATAGGCCTGGTGGCAAGTACACCTGGCAGTGTCTGCTTTGAGGGCAAGCTTTGGCAGTTGGTTAAAAGGGAAGCCAAAGACCAACCATTGTGGGGGCCATATCCCACTTTGAGACAACCCCCAATTGAATTCTCTGAAATCAACAGCGGGGAGGTGTCAATGTGAGGGTTCCCTAGTTTCAGCACGGACAAATGAAATTATTGTTTGTCCAGGGCACAGGAAACCAGGGCCAAAGGCAATCCGCAAGATTCTTGCCTTGGGTTACGAAAGCCAGTTGCCCAAAGGACCCGAATCATGGGCGGAATTCCAAGGCTCCATTTTGCACGGAGCCAGTCGAACGCGAGCATTTGGAGTGTCAGGGGCCCAACCGCCCAACCCCAAAGGTTTTCAAGGGACCTGGCGAACATGGGCCTCAATTTCCTTCAAGGGACGGCCCTGGCCTTTTGGGAGCCTGACGCTTGGTTGTTTGTCATTTAACGCCTGCGTTTTGAATTTGTTTGGTGTTGTCTCTCTTTGCTTTGTCCGACACTCAGCTTCCCTCCAAGCCACCAAGTGGCTTGGAGCTGGTCTTGCGGGTCTTCTGTTCTTGGTTGACGTGGGGTTTGGGAGCCAAAATCCTGAAATTTTAGCCAGTTTCGTGGTTGGATTTCAAGCACTCAACCACACTAAGCAAAAGTGCTTCCAATGTTTCCCACCAACAACCATGTTGAGTTCGTTGTCCCGTGCTAAGTGGGAAACACCCTAGAGGCCAGGTCTACCTGTCCCCACGGCCATGTGTTGTCGTTTCTCCGAAACTCGGCTTTTTCCGGATAACTGCTGGCTTGGAGCCGAGTGAATTGCTCCGAGAGTTGCCTTGCCCAGGGGTTCAAATTCGAAAACCACCAAAAACCACTACAATGTTGGTGGTGTCTTAAAATAGGGGGCCCAACCAAACATGGTGGTTGTATTGGTTTCCTTTTAAAGCCACCCCTACAAAGGTAGTACTAAAAATGAACCTGAGATCTTTTTTCGGGTAGACGAAACGCGAACAGATTTTCGACACAAACAAACACAGGCTCAATCAGCTACCAGGGCCATCCATCGACCTCACCAAATAGGACACCTACTGTGGATGGGCAAAATCCAGCACCTAAGAAACCCTGGAAATCCCTGGAATTTAAAAGATTCCCCTGTTTTTGCAAACGGTATGGTTTCAACCATGGTGTTCCAAGCCGTGCGAAGTGGATTTCGCCTAGGTCCTCCAGAGGATAGAATAAGGGTACCAACCTTTTTTCTGGAGTCGTAGGGCAACCCTCCCAACCAAAAACGAAACGGGTGAGCAAGGGCACCAATTGCTGGGGGACCCAGTCGCAACCAGCCACCGTCTGCCTCGCCAGCGACTCACCGACTCGCTGCCAGGTCACTCCAAGTAATTCACCATGCCATCCCCGGAGATGTCCACCAAGTCCACGAGCCTCGTTTTTTGTTTCTCCCCCCGACCGAAACGCCCGCCGTGCTCCGCGTGAGAATGCCACCAAGGACCGGGGACCCCCGCCAAAAAAAGAGAAGCGGTATTTCTTGGGTTCCATCCCCCCCCCTTCTTCACATGTTGCTTTTTAGCCTTCACATGTTACTTTCTTGGTGGAAGGCCTCCACCCCGCATTGCCGCGCTTCCCTTCTGGAAAAACCTCTTGGGCCACTGATTTTCACAGGATCAACCCCCCATAACTCTCCCACCGGGGTACCGCAATTGACATGGTTAAGAGTTGCCACACAACTGGCCTGGGATGCCAACTAATGATGAGATTGGTAGTTTGCGGTTGTGGGGAAAGGAAGTCATGATATTATGAGCCACATAATGATCTGCCTATACCATCAAAATTTCCTTAAGAAAGGCTATTGCCCCAAAATTATGGCTGGTGAAACAAACCAGCATTAAAACAATGGGGGTTCATATAACCACCATTGTTCACCTAAGGATTGTCATCATTCAAATTGGGTCAGCCTTTGTTTCAATGAGCGTTGAACCCCAGGGTATGGCTAGTGAAACCCTTGCTTATGGGTAGTTTGCGGGTCCAGGTGGGTTGAACGGTTGCACCTGAGAAACGCCGAGGCGCTCATTGATCCGCTCATCCGAGGCCGACTCTGCCTGACCCATGCGCGCGAGCGAGCTAAAGTTAGCCATGCGCCAAGAAACCCGTGAGTCGAGCTCCGGTTGTGCCAAGTACTCTCCTGAACATTGAACCTAAAGGATTCCCCAACAAGGAGATTCCTCTCAACATCGTGGTTTCTGAGGTTCCGTGTTGATCTGCAGGAGGGTCACTAGGATTTATTACTCATGCTCCTGTGGATTGCCGCTTGAAAAGTGCTAGAACAGTGCGACAAACTGTGCTTGGGAAAACTGAGCTGACAATGGTGGGATGGGGAGGTAAACCTCCTAGGCCCCTGTCAGACTTTGGCGCAAACATCCAAGTTGATTCGTCCGAGGTCAACTTGATTTTGCTAGGTGTGGGTGCCTCAAAACACGGAACTCCGCAAAACCCTTTCTGAGCAAATACACCCCCCCAAAAAAAAACATCCGCCAAGCATCAGAAAGGCAACAGGAACATCACAAGCTTGCCCTATTGGCCATGGACAAAACCTGGGCTCGCCTCAGATTCTTTGCTAAAAGTTGAACTTCTGGTGGGTGAAATCAAAAAAACCAATCACTCAACCGTCAAAAGATCTAAAAAGCTAAGTGGAACTGGATGATTCGCCGGGAGCCAGCAGCAAATGACATCTTCGTGATGCGACTTGGCCACACTGCCATTGGCCATGAGGGGGGGATTGGATGGCTTTCGGTACTTGGCTTCAAGGGGAACGCCCCTCAACAGAGAACCAACGCCCCCCCTCCACTTTCAAAGGTCTGGGTTGAAGGGAACACACAAAGCCAAACAGCACACCTGACACCGCTGGAGAAACTCGGTTGCTTTCAGTGGTTTAATTCGGAAAGCCCAAATTCGTTTGCAAAAAGTGAAAGTGCTGACATCCCTTGGCAAAAAATGCACCAAAGAAAAGGGATTGACTGTTCAAATTTGGCAACCTTTGGAGAACGCAGACTTGGTGCCACTGGGCCGTTGGCGACAAGCGATGACAGCCGTCTTGCCACCGCCGAACTCAAGTCTCAAGAAAAGCCCGCGGGTAGAAAAACATGTCCCTAGTGAAGAAACCAAACGAAACCGAAGGACACCAAAGTGAAGCTTTCTGCGTTTCAATACTGTTTTTGGCTCGGAACCCAACAGATCCGATCCGTGTTGCTCCATAACTTCGAAGGAACTCTAATTGGGCTCTGAATTTGACTCAAGGAAGTCACTTCAAATCTTGCTTGTTCAGATCGCCTTTCCGAAGACAACAAGCAGGCCCAAGAAGTGGTATTGACAGAGGAGTCATCATTCCAGGGCTTCAGAGGTGATGCGAAACGGATTTCGTCCAAAGTAGGAGCCCAAGACCCATTTTAAATGTGAAGGCCTTCCACCCCCAAACTTGGTTGAGGTTTGGAAGGGGAGCAAAAATTCAAATTCTAGCCAGTTAAGTGGTTGGATTTCAACCACTAAACCACAATCATGGGAAACATGTTTCCCAACAACAACCATGCAAAGACCTCAAATACTAAAGCCTTTCCCCCCTCCCCCCCCGACTTCGGCACGGCTTTCGGAACGTCGCCTTCAACATTTCCGGCAAGTCCTGCACGTGACACGGACAGCCACCGTCACAACCCCCGCCCCGTCCAGACATCATGAGATTTGTCGCTAAGTCAAGAGAGCCCAAAATGATTGCTCTCCTTTTCGTGTCCCTAACCAATCACAAGCAGATTCCTCCAGGCAAAAGCTCACCTGTGGCTTATTCTGATGCCTGTGTGGCAATAGTTTGTGGTCCATCCTGAGGTCCTGAGCTGGGAATACCAGTTTTCCCGAAATCGCTTCAGACCCCCCCCCCAGCGAGAAGATCATACATTGCCTTGACCTGACAGTAAACGGTGGACCTTTCAGGACCTTGACTGAACCTCCAGGACCCGTACAAACCCCAAACCCGGGGGCGAACCCCCTCAAGTTGTTTACATAAAACCATGCGCCCCCATGCTTAGAGTTAGGCCCAGCTATAGAACGTATATTCTATTGTTTGCTTCACTTTGAGTCACCGGTAAAATGTAAAATGTATCCTAAGTCTACCCCGGCCCCGTTGGCATGGGGGAAGTTGGCACGAAAAGACAGACTCTTGGGAACAGGTTCTCTGCCGAAAAAAAGAGCAAATGCCATGAACTAGAGTGGTAAGGCATGCAATATATGAACCTGCACTACAACCCTACGCCGACTAGGATAGCCCCAAAAAGAGCTTTGGCTTTGTTTGGCCATAACAAGGCTTAATCAGGGGTTGTGGGGTCCCCTGGTAACTTGCAAAATAACTCGCTGGTGGCTCCGCTCGGTGCTTGCCCATAGTTAATTGGGGGTCCCCTCTTTGTGGACAGTCATTTATGCCGGATACCCCACCAAGTACTGGCTCCATATCCAACACTTCCGTAAAGGGACCCTATGTCGGCAAAAAATACCACGATTCAAAAAGCTGAATGAAGGGATCAAGAAGCTGAATGAAGGGATCAAGTAAAGGACCCTTGTCATGGTTTTCGCCCGTTGTACCCCCGAATCGTGAGCTCGCTATAGGCAGACCGTATGAGGCCTCATTGGTGTTCCCTTGACCATCACGAACAAGATTTGCTCTCTGGCCTCTTTGTACTCGGCCAGCAGCTGCTTCACAGCCTGGTCACTGGCTCAACTATGCCTTTCTGCGATACAAAAGGTGGGATGCTCATCCTTACACCTGCTGAATGTCATCTAAAAGGGGGATTGTACCCTGGGGAAATTACAGAAAGTGACAGTTGCTGGTTGTTGGTTGCTTTTTCCGGTTGTTGCTTGTTGGTTGTTGGTTGTATTGTTCTGCTGTTGGCTGTTTTTTTTTTCTGCTAAAGCCAAGTTGTTGCTTTTTCTGCCACCAGCTTCGGGGCACGGCGTGGATCGTGGGTACAGGACCTTCATGGACCTTCGCCTGTCCTGGGTTTGGATGTCTGGCCCACACAGAAAATGTTGTTGTTTCTGATTCTGTTCTATGTGTAGTCTAGAGTCGTTTTGGAGGAGACCTCTCTCGCGGGAACGATGCGTCCATGCTACCTCGACCTGGGGACATCCTGAAGGCCGAACAGGCACTGGGAACCGCCACTACAAATCCGTAAACCTTAGTCGCTAGGTCCCATAGAGACTTCCCCCTTGAATCAATTTATGGGTATGTACCAGTGGCTCGCTTCCGATCGCGTAGATTGGCCCAAATAAAGTCTAAACTTTCTGCCCCTTAACTCATCCAAACCCCTTTGTATTGGCTTCAAGGACAGCCAATGTCGACCGCAAGTGAGACACCTCCACTCAAAGGGGACACCCCCACTCAAAATCAACCAACATTTGATTAATCCGCATTTTGTGAGTTGAGTCATACATCAAAAGCTGGTATTAGATTGGACGATACCCAGAAACATGTAAAGAATTGAACAAGCGGAATTCCGCACCTTTGTGGCAAGGGGATTGCCCCCTTACTACTTGGATGTTCGGCCAAGTCAGTACGTGGTTGGCCACCTGGCTTATACCTGGACCTTCCTGCATAATCAAAATGTCCGCCTTTCGCTACGCATTGCCTTTTGGGGCAATTGCGGGTGTTTTGTGCCTACGGCCTTTTTTTGCTCAATTTGGGTGTGAAGCGCAATCTCTCCAAGTCTACCGGCGAAAATTCCCGACAAACAAACAACAATTCCCGACCAACAGGCGAACATTCCCGACTGCGGCGAAAACACATATGACCGCCGGTTTTGAATCGCCCGAAAGGTACTTTTTTCACGTTAACGATCAAAACACGTGTTGTTTGGCTATCGCCTAAACTTTTGACTCCCGGAAGGTCCAGGTATGCCACTCATAACAAGGTTAGCTCCACTTTTAAAAACCAACAACTTTCAGACTCGAGCACCCAAGTACCCTCCCAACTACCCGCGCTTCGATGCGCAAAAAACAATCGGCCAACCCGAAAAGGGAAAACCCGCTCCGGCCGATCCCAACTCCGGTCGATCCCAACTCCGGTCGATCCGCCTGCGAAAACTCCTCGCGCTGAAGCAGCCCGTCGCCGTCCTAGGGGAAGCCGCCAAAAACCGCGGCATGTGTAGACGTCCAGATGGAGCCATGTTTTTTGAATTTGTACACATAGGTAAATGTATACATCCTGGATATATGCAAATATGTGACATGTACTTGTATATATATATATCATATGGGTACGTGGGTAAATGGGCTCTTAGGGATAACTAGAGGCAGGTCAATGGCCAGAAAATACTAGTTTAAAATGTTGTAGGCAAGATTATGTCCGCACGGCAAATCAGCGCCTTTTTTGGCACGGAGTAAGCTGAGGCTTTCTGCTTTGAGTTTCGTCTTGCGCAAGATTCGTTGCGCAAGTTCGCCGAGCAAACTTCTGCGAGCAAGTTTTTCTAAGCGAAAAATAACATCTGTGTATTGGGGCCCGAGACAGCAAACAAACGTAGGTTTGGAAAGGGAAGCTCCGCTAACATGTTAAGATGAGATGTGGGTGTGTCGTTTTAAGGTTGATCCCCAACATGGGTGATGTCCTTTTGTTTGACACCACAAGAAAAGGGTCCCCCCCGCCAAGAAGAAAACACACATGTGACAATGGCCCTTTCATAGCCTGCGAAAAAGCCAGCATGACACCCTGTTGCGTGGCTCCAGCGATGCGAATGCTTGAGTTGGCTCAAAGTAGAGTCCATAACCACAAAGAACTAAAGAACGAGTCGACATGTTCTGCTGGACAAACTGTCTGCAAGCACTCCGCTTTCCTTAGGGGCTTCCATGCTTTCGGTGTGTGAGTTGTTGCGCCTTGCCCAATTCTATCTACTTTGGATTCAGTTGGAATTGCACAGTTCAGCAAGCCCTATCGTGTCATGCTTCATCAGGGGGGGCGGGGTTGTAGCGTCCCTGGATTATCTGCCCAGCAACTAGGTGTGAAAAAGGGAGCCTGAAAAAATGGTATACAAGTCCCCGTTGGGTGTCCTTGTACGAAAGATTAAAAATGTTGGCCTCGTTTGCGTATCCAGGTTGCAAATTGGCCGCACCTATCGGAGGCAGGGCCAAGAAGGGGCTGTACTTTTGACAAACCGACCCTCAAACTACCACCATAAAACATGGAATTCACCAACCACAATTTTGGGGTGTAACAACCAACTTGTAAGTTGGAATTTTGAGGGTGTAGGTGGACACCAAATAGGTAGCAAGCCGTCGCGATGCAAGCCGTGTGTCCTTGTCGAAAAATCGGAAGACCTGGAGCATCCGGGTGGAGGCAGCCTGCACGTGAGGTGTTTATTTTTGCACCTGACCTTTAGGCAACCGGGACACGGTTGCCGCGTCCATCATATACCCACCTTGGCTGATTTAGTGAAGCTGAATGGACACCAAGCATTTGGGGTGTGTTTTTGTTCGCTCCTTTGTGGCTGGATTTTGCTCTGGCTGGCTTGAGAATGAGCTGGAATGACCCCGAAGTGAACCATCCAACTGGTGGTTTCCGCGGATTGGGTTCATAAACCCAAACCCACGATTGATTCCCTAGCCCAGGTAGTTCCTCAAGGGGTTGGGAACCAACAATGCGCGGTTGAAACAACGGAATGCGAGTGAAAACTGAGCTACCCAGATTGGCTCGTAGGATTCTTGGAAAAACCCTGGGGGAACCAACCTGAAATAAGTCCAGGTGATAGGCCAAGCAGTTCCCCAAAAGGGAGCGTGGGCTCCTCCCAATGCTCCCAAGCATCGTTGGCCATTGCAGCAGACCTCCATTGGAGGGTTTTGGACCTCATTTTGCGGGGCATTTTGAGGGGCCAATATGCTTCAGGTGATATCCTGAACAGCCCGGATCCCTCTGGAACCGAATCTCCGAAACCCTGAAAGCTGGTACAACCACAGAGCTTGTCTGGGCAGAGACTCCAAAGCTGAACGAGCAGCTGGAGAAAAAAACAACTCTGCCGCACGTGTGCATGGTGCGGATTTTAATTAGAATCCGTTTTGTGGACATCATAGGAACTTGGGTCCACCAACCATTTCGCGGTTCCCAATTTGAAACTTGTAGCTGTGTCTTTAGGTTGGAGACTCTGGAATCCCCCGCCAATCACTGAGCAGGGGCTTCGGCCTTTGGTCGTGAGTGGCCCTTACCACATTGTCTTTTTGGGGGATCAAGAGTCCTTAGGATCTATTTGACCCGCAACCAGGGAAGATAGCCATGTTGACATGGATAACATCTGCAAGGCCATTTCAAGGAACATGTCTTGGTGTCTCGTCCTTGAGCAAGATGTCTAGCCAACCTTTTGTCAGGCTACCCACAATGAATGGTTTGGATTGGAGGTTGCTCTGGTTGTGGTAGAGAAATGGGACACCCCCTAACTACCAATCCAAACCACCAACTAGAGGGAGGCTGCAATTGCAGCCATTTGCCTCCCCAAATGGTCCTTTGGGGAGATTCGGTCACACCCATGAGACCAGTCATGTTGCTTGACTTCCCGCAAATGAGATCCATTCAACGCTCCCACTCGCAGGAAGCTTCTTCAAAGGGGTTTCGGGGGGATGGATAGTTTTAGAGTTATGGAGATATGTATGCTTTGTTACACAGTTCTAAGAGGAAAACACTTTCACCCTCCTGAAATGCACGCCTTACAAGCTTATATTGGTGCTGGAAAAAGCAACCATACCAACAAAATCCATACCTGAACATGTTGAGAGCATTCCCCACTGGTACGTTGCCAAATTTTAGTCGGGGTCAGGCCAGTCCCCAATACGAATTGACCACATGTATCCTTGCGGCACATGTAATGGTGAAGGTCCCTTACTCGGAGATTCTGACCGACCCAATAGAAGTCACACCTTCCATCCAACTACAACTCGAGAAATCAACACACAATAAATAAACCCAACCCTCGATAAACTACAATGTCCACTATGAGCCCCAACACAAATTTATTTTAAACCCGCTTGCATGACTATGCAGGAAAGCAGAACTACTAGGCCCGGCCCGATCTTTTCACCCTCCCCTCCCGAGTGAGCTGGACCAAACATGGAAAGCTGTTTGGGAAGCTATATACCACTGAAATGATATTCCTCAAAAGTAATATTTTAAGCAACACTAGAAAGCAACTACCACCAGATCTAAAAATGAGTATCAAATCTGAACAAGTATCTTCCCCGCCAGAAACTAGGACAATGAAAAAAAATGCTTCAACATGGCGAGGCCCCAAGGCTGGTTTCCCTGTAACTTCCCTTCACACCCAAGAACGGGACACCCACAAACCCTCGGCAGCGCGAACCCAATACAAACCCAGCATAAATCCCAGGAAAATCAATAGAACACCCACTACAATCCCACTATACTGCAGTTGAGTGAGTGAATGCCCCCACTTCGGCCGTGCCTTGGGCGAACCCTCGGCGTCCTCCATCCAAAGCAACCGCCCCAGGCGCGCCAAAACGGAGCGCGCCCAGGGCGTGGCCTGGCGCTGTTTTTTGGTCGAAGGGCGCGCCTGGACGTTCAAACGACCTATGTTTTTGTGGGAGTTCACTCATAGTTTTGAGCAAAAAAACATGTTTGTTTTTTTAACCTGTGTGTTCATGGACATTCACCCAAAGTTTTGAGCAAAAATCAATGCTTACCCCATCTTTTGTCGGAATTCACCCATGCATGGTATTGAGCAAAAACCAATCTTTTATCCGAATTCGCCCATGCTAAGGGAATGTTCAGGGTCTAGGTGGTGGGGAATTCCGGGATTTCGACAACCCAGCATGTGGGAAGCCACCGGACAAAAGGGTGCGGCACCTCGTTCAGGTGGGGATTGGGAACATGCACATGACATGTCAAAGATCCAACCAAGCACCCAAGACGGGATAAACAATCACTATTCGAGCGGGGATGTCAGGGAGCCCACTGGTCATTAGGGTTGTTCAAGAAGAGGGTGTCTTCCAATTCTCTGCTGCAGATGAGCATACAAGCCCAATGCCTGGTTTACCAGATACCCTTCCAACAACCTTGGTTTCCCTGGGAAAATGGTGTGTCCTGGTTTGAGGCTCAGTCCCCTTGTTCCTTGTTGGCTGTGTTTCACAGGGACACCACGAAGGAAACCAACCACTTTTGGAGGTTTCCCCAGATTAGAGCCGCATCTGGGGGGCAAAATTAAGCGGGAAGGAACCCAACCAACAGATGAAAGGAGGAATCTCGTTTTAGGTGACCCCCCCTTCGCGTGTCAATTTCACTTGGGAATTGACCCTTTGGTGGATCACTTAGACGGGGATTCATGTTCGAGGTAGTTCACCTTTAAAAAATGACAATGTCAATTTGCAGGCGAGTTTACGCCCGCTAAGTGGGATATACCCTACATATACCTCAGTCTGGACAGAGAGTCCAAGGTCGAGGTAGTCATGTCAAGTCCAGCCGCGTTGAATCTGTTCTCGAGGCGAAAGCTTCAGATTTGCTGCGCTCTCCTAGCCACGCCTTCCGCCTTATCTTCCAAGCTGGTCATCAAGCTCACCAACGAATTGTCCCAGCGATCCATCACGTAGCGGTAGGGACTCTTGCTTCCGGCTTGAAAACCACAGACCTTTCGTCAAGCGGTGAGTTCCAGTCAACGGGAAGCACAGCGGCGGCAGGACGCCTCGTCGTCGCCGTAGACAATGGGCGGGCACACCAACCGTTCTCAATGGAGCCAATCACGGCCCTGCTCATCCGCAACGCGGGGAGCGGAGTTTCCCCGAAGAAACCCAACTATCAGCCACTTCCTTGAGGCGGTCATCCAAGTACCAGGGACTCTATAACTAACCCCCATCAATTCTGGGTCAACAGGCCTTACCAAGGTAAACTCAGGCCCAACCAGGCCTTCCAGTCATGTAGTTCTCTAGCTCCCGGATAGCTCTATCATGTTGCTACCTACTGTTCCAAAAACCCTCATGGTTATCCTGGCAAAAACCCAAACACAGGAGGTATATATATATATGTACCATGAAAAACAGTTGTTTCCATCTAGCCCCTAAAAAAACAAGTATTTGGGGGGAGGGGTTAGTTGCCATCATCATTCAGGAAGTACATCATATGAGATTACATGCACAAAACGTCTTTGCGTAGCATTGTGCAAGCGCATGGCAGCGTGCCAAGGAGCACGACAAGCCACTGCCGGCCTGCAAGTTGTTTTTGTTTTTGTTTTTTTTCACGGGAAACTCCCCCTCAAGGTTCACCTTTTATTCCTGGGTTCTTGGGGTAATTGAGCCTTTGTTGGTGGTCTGCTTCATGTAAAAGAGACGCCACTCTAGCTCCGAACCACCGGGCTCCACGCCAATTAGAGGGAAGCTGAAGTAAGCGTCAGTGTCCAACCCCGAAATGGGGTGGATTTTGGTTTCCCTTTAAGCAAAACAAGAAAGATATGCCCTCAAAAACACACAAGCCCATATGGGTAGTTTGCATTCTTTTGGCCCAGAGTCCAGACCTTCTTCATAGCACAGGAATGCTACCAAGTACCCCCCCCCCGGACACAGACTAATAAGCGTCATGTCCAAACTTAAACAGAAATGCACAACAGCACCCAGTCGGCACTCTCGCAGAATTATCGAATGAGAAGGGAGCACAAATGGCCAAGGCCTTGCATTGGTGTGCGCAACTTTCTCATATGCTTTTTTACATGGCATTTGTATCATGGCAAAGAGGAAACAACCAAAAAGGGCAAGTGAGAAAGGTTGACTATTACCCCCAATGAAACGAACCAGGCCAACTCAAAGCACCAAAGGCAATCAGATGTATTCTCATCAAGAAATACTGAAGTCTTTCCTGACGTACACAGGAAACAATTCAAACATATTCAAACCTGAAATCGGGTTTGGTTGTTGGAGGCTCGGTAACCCTTTTGGGGTTGAGGTTGTTTCAAGGAGAAACCGAATGGAAGCCACGTACTTTTTTGGGGGGTTCCTCTATATTTGGACACAAGCCCAAGGAGTCCCTAGGAACTCAACCATCACAGGTGAGCTTGTTTCACAGTGAGTCACAGGACAACAAAACCAGCGCCAGGCTGAAAGTGCCCCAAAAAGAGCCCCTGCAAACGGGCTCAATGGTGTACATTTGGGGCGACTCTACCCAACCTTCAAGCAAGTTAAGGACCCTAACAAATCCCCCCGCCTGGCGAGGCCTCGAATTTGGCCCTTTTACTTGGCTGTATTGAGGGGTTAGGACCCCTGAAACATCAGCCCTTATGGCATCTAGCTGAAAAACATGTTGTCCGAAAAGGACACATGTTCACCCACTTTCACCGAGCATTCACTACGGCTACCTCCTTTGTGCAGTTGGATGAAGGTGGATGGCACTGTTCCCTTTGCTTTAGACACCCCTTTATTTTCGTTTGCTTAACTTTCCCTGCAAAATTAAACACATATTTCCATCATTTTCCATCAGGGGTAGATCCTCGTTGAAACCAGCGGGGGAAACCACACATCAAAAAATATAAGCAAACAGAAGTTTGCTCGCCTACATGTTGGAATGAATTGGTGTATCTATCTTTGTCTGAGAAGGTACGTTGAGCCCTTCGACCTCAAACAATATCCAAGGGTGGTTTGTAGTGTTGGGTATTGGCGCTTTGGGGTGTGGTGGTGCAAACTGGGTGTGTGTTAAAAAGGGGGGACCTCCCCCCCAACCAACCCGCCAAACAACGAAAGAACGGCCCCCTCCCCAAAAAAGAATCAAACTAAGCAAAACAGCAAAACACAAAAACAACAACATACACGACTTTCGGCTTTCCCTTTGATTTCCCTTGAAACCAGCAAAGGTGCACATTCTTGTTCGATCCGAGTGAGAAGATTTCACGAATTCAGGGGCCCTACCGACCACCGACCACCACCCTCCCCAGAACCCCTTCAAGGGTTGAGGGATCACAAGCTGAGGGCGAAAAGCAAAATGCTTGGCCAACGCTTCACCCTTTAGGATTTAAGCATGTTCTTTCAACCATTGGTATGGCGGCCCAAAAAAAACTGAACAAGTTTCCTGCAGCCTGCTCAGACAGAACAAACACACAAAACTGAACCAGGTGCTTGCAGTCTGCTAAAAAAAGTGAACACAGAACCACCAAACCCCCAAAAAAAACACGCTAAAAGCTTCAGGATTCGATCCGATCCGATCCGATCGCCTTCTCAAGGCGCTTCTCAGAGCCCTTGGAGTTCAAGGACGCCTTGCGACATTGCGAGACGGGCCTGGGGCTCCGTTGGGGAAGCATTTCTGAAATGGGTGTGGTTGTCAAAAATCGGGTAACCCCAAAATGGCTGGCCTTCTCGGTAAATGGAACCAATTGACTAAAACGACTTAGGTCCGATTGTTGTTTAATTTTGACCCATACCCAAATTTGTTGTTTCAAGAAGACACCCTTCGAAGCGAACCATGAGGTTCCCTTTGAGACAGGGAAATCTCCCCCAGTGAGTCGCACAAAATGATAGTTTCAGAGTAAGCGGGTGGGTGCATCCAGCCGCTTCGCTTCGATTTCCCGCCCATCCCGACCCTTTAAAAGCCTGAGTATCTGCGGTATCTGAGGCTCGGATTCGATTCGAGCCTTTAGAAAGGGACCTGGACATAGAAGGTGATCGCCTGCTGGGGTCCACCAAAAATGGGAACAAACAAACTGAGAAACTCCTCCAGTTGGACTGAAGCTTGGGACCTCAAGCTTCAGTTTGCGCTATTCTTAGGCTTGTCGAGGGGGATATGTGGCCATGGTTCAAAACCAATGGTATCATGTTGGGGTAGGTGCACCACCCATTTTAGTCTAGTTCAGTGGGGATTGGGATGTTCACTGTGGGTACGGGGTTTTGACCAATGGCCATGTGTGTCTCTTGGCTTGTACCCGTTCAGTTCTATGCATGTTTCTCCACGGAGCCTTGAATGGAATCAACGTTTGAAGAGGTTCAGTTAAAACGGGATCCCGCCCCACACGATCGGATCGGGCCATCTCAAAGATTGAACATCTCTCCACTTGCCGGTTCCAGGAAAGGGAATGAACCCTAGCCATGTCCGAGATATATTCCTTATCTATTGGCTCATTCACAAAACCCTCGAAGTTGATTCCCTGAGAAGCAAGTTGGTTCACCCAGTAGACAGTTGTCCCATGCTCAAAGCCCTTGACATGCTAATTAGGAATATTGAATCAGCTTCCCTCTAAACCGGTGGATTGAATTGGTGGTTTGGTGGTTAGTCCCATTTACCCACCTACAAGCTGCCAGGGGTTCAAATCCCCAAACCACCAACCCACACCAAAAAGAGACGCATTTTGTTGTTGACAGCAACCCAAATTTGACGGATTGAATTTTTATGGTTTGCTAAACCTACCGGGGTTGATCCGCCGTCCATTCACCCTTCCCAGATATGCAAGCCATTCTTGGGTAGTCAAACAAAGTCAAGTAAGTTACAACCATGGCTATGAGGGGACGATCACCTCAAATACCCCAGTTGTAAGCACGGTTGTAACCTGCTTACCCGACGTTGGTTGAACACCCAAGTTATAATGCAGTTATCCAACAAGTACTAGGTTTCCCATAGGTGTTGCGTCTTTGACACCAGTGGATCGCAGGCGTTTCGCCAGCATAAGCTATGTTGATGGAATCTACCGATTAAACAGCATAAAACCGGAGAAAACTGGGCATCCCTGGCCGTGTCGACCTCAGTCTCAACTAGAGGCCCCCAAGTGGCCAGGCTGTCCTTTTGGGCTTGCCTTTTCCGTGCGAGTGATGCGAGTAAAAACAGCCAACGGGTCGGCCGGTGCTTGTTCTGCGCTTTCAAAGCTGGGCTGTCCGTTTTTAGATTCCCGCCTACAAGCTTAAGTTTTAGTGGGTTAAATGGAAAGCCCCACGAAATCCTAAAAACCTAGAAACCTCAGGGGACGGGAACCAAGAAAATTTACCTCGGGTGTGGCTTCGGAACACTCCCTTTTTCAGCCCTGTCTGGTGGAGAACCAGCAGCATTGAGAAACCTTGATTTACCCAACCCGCCGTACCTTGCTTTAGGGGTTCGCGAGAAGCTGGTGCCCTGCATAAGCAGGACCCTGACTTGGATCTTCAACCACTGTCAATCAGGTTGCAATCAAGACAAATATTAAAGAAAGCATGGTTATAACCTCTACCTGACATGGCGTGAACATCCAGGGTACTTGCTTCTCTCCTGCGCCGAGCCCGCATCCCCGCCGAACCCCTGCGCCGAAGCGCCTGCTGCTGGAAGCAGATATCCAGCCGCGAGAGAAACTCGAAAACACCCAAGGGGCGACCAACAGGTGATGGGTCCTCGCAGAACTGTTGGACCACACAGATCGCCACGAACGACCCTCGCATGTTGCAAAGTCAACAGCAAGGTGAACCTGGAGTCTCCATGACCCTCAAAAGATGGGGTCATTGCCTAAATTAAGGGGGTCATGGACCCATATTTAATGGGTCATGGAGACTCCAGGAACGCTAAAATCACGGGTTCTCTTGTTACTTGCAATATGTTCTGCATCTAACAAAGGATTTTCAAGATTTTGGCTGGTCTTTGGTCATAGTGTGGGAACTATGTGACTGCATATCAACTATACCAGGCTGCATGTGCGTGTCGGATTTTAGGTGACCTTTAACATCGCGGGTTTCATTTTGGCTTCCCTTCAAAGAAACATGTGGTTATCTCTCACCAAGAACAAATAGCTGCCGCAGGCTGCAATGGCGTACGGAGCCGGATTTTTGTTGCTCGGCATATACCTTCTTCGTCGGCCAAAAAAACAGACCCGCTGAGGCCTTGTGGCCTTTTTTGGCAATTTTCACGCGGTGTCACCCGTTCCCTGCGAGAAATCGAGCGACGCATGCCCGAAATATTGCAAACATCTAAGAAACCCCCCCGAATTGACCCCGTTGCTTTACCTTTCTTGGGGTTTAGTGCGGGTGCCCTTGCAACATGCTGGGGGCCTAGGGCATCCGCCGTCCTTGTCACTTTTCTTAGGAAGAGTCTTCTCACTTTGGCCTGGAGGAATTCCTAGTCATTCTCGAAACGCCCGCAAATTGCCGCAAAACGCCCGCAAAAAAGGGGCAAACGCCCGCAAAAAAGAGCGCAAAACACCGCAAAACGCCTAAAACGCCTAAAACGCCTTGAGAACCAGAACGCCTAGGAATTCTTCAGCATTGGAATCTCCAGGGAGGCGCATTTACGAGACACTCAAGGACTACTCGGGATTGGACATCGAGCGAGAGATGTCCACGAAAAATGAGCTTGTCTCCAAATGGGCGTGTTGCTTCTTCCGGTTACCCCTTTGTTAGTGGTGAACCTTCAGGCCTAACCTTGGTTGTTCGGCCCTCAAAGCTCTTTCTGAGTTGGTCGGGATTCACCCCTTGGGACAAACCAAGTCGGCACATGCCAAGGCACCTCGAGAACAACTCCAAGGGACTTTGCGAACAAACTCACTTCCGATATGGGATAAGGACCGAACTTCAAGTCTTAAATGTCCAGTCCCTAATAGCCCAACAAAAACATTCAAGTCCCATATGTCCAGCTTCAAGGGACCCGACTAAAACGAGCCAACAAAAACGTCCGGACGACACACAAATCCAAGCATCCCGATCGATCGAACCATGGTCCGGCAGCGCATGGGCGGCCAACGTCCGGAGCAAGGACTTGGACTGATCCTAGCGTTCAGACAAATTCAGCGCTCTGATGAAAGCCATACCTGGAGTCTCCAGGACCCATTAAAAAAGGGTGGACCCATGACCCCTTTAATGTAGGCAATGACCCCTTTGTTTCTTTAAGGGTCATGGAGACTCCAGGTATGTACTTTCATCGCTTTCATACCGTGGATGGTTGCGAAATCCGGTTCGCACCACTTTGAAACCATGGTTGAAGCTGCTGTTTCGAAAGGGAATCATCATTCCAGGGTTTCTTAGGCGGTGCAGGAATTACCATGCGCAGTATTAAGGTATGAAATTCATTTTGGAGACCCAGACAAATTCAAATATGTGTACATATATATATATATATATGTTTTGGGGTACCCATGTTCGGAAGTTTGGGTGTAATTTCTTCAGGCCCATGTTGGGAATATGGGGGAGTTCCGTGTTCAACCCCCATTTTGGAATAGGGTGTGTTTTGTAAGGTACCCATTTTCGGAATATGGGTGTGTGCTTTTTGGGGCACCCATTTTGGGAACACCAGGAGCCAAAACAAACTAATGCACATGTCATACCCAACAACGCTTTGCGCAAAACATTATGTTTTCAAATGCGAGCATTTCAACATGCTTCTGCAAGCTATTCTTCTATGTCAGCAGACATTGCCAGTGGCCCTCGCGAGTTTGCCGTTCACGTGTTCAGTTTGTCATGATGGAATGTACCTGGAGTCTCCATGACCCTTCAAAAATGGGTCCATGACCCCGTTGTTTGGGTAATGACCCCATTTTTTAGAGACTCTAGGTAGCCGCCAACAATCTCTCTAAACCTCCCCTAATCGGCGGCTGCCATAAATGCCCCCGTTCCAAAGGGAGTCACTAGGCGCCTATTCTGTCGCAAGCAATTGAATACAAACTACAGCTGCATGCCCCAATCAGGGTGGCAAGGGGACGCTCAGACGTCAGAAAGCAATTTAGAGGGTTTCTTCACAAAAGACAATGCTTACTCAGAAAACACGTTTTCAGCATAAGGCAACACACGGTGATTTACAAAGGTATGACACATTTGCAGGTGCTTGACGCCCTAGGTATGAATGTGCTTCCGTTAACCCATTTTGGGAAATGAGTGTGGTGTTTTCAGGCTACCATTTTGTGAATAACCCATTCTGGCAATATGTGTGTGTAAGGGCAATTTCTCAAATCACCAATATAACCCTGTGATTCCAGTTACCTCTGGATCCTCTAAACTACCCATTAAAAAATATATATATATATATATAAAAAATCACCCCACAAGTGAGGCAAACACACGATTCTATGGCAATATTGAGGGTTTAGGTACCTATATGGTAGGTATCCAAGAAACCAACGCTTGAAAAAACCAAATGGCAAATGGCTAGTCACCTGTTCTACCGCTAGCTGGGATCCACTGGGAAAAATGATTTCGCGGAGGAAACAACCCGAAAGGTGTTGTTCCTCACCCTACCTCCAACGCCGTCTCCCTGGAAACGTCCCACACAAAAAGAAGTAGTTTCCCTTTAAAACAAATGCTGGTGTTCCTTTTGGTTTTAACCTAAATACCCCTCTCTTTGGAGGTATGGATGCTGACTAAAACCACCAACATACGCTTGGAACGCGGCAAAAAAAATGGGCCAACCGCGCATCGCACCCCACCACCCCCGCCCCACGGAAAAAACACGAGGCACCCACGTCCAAGCGCCTCAGTGATGTAGTTCCCCAGCACCCAGCGAAAGGCCTGCAGCGCGTCAGTGGTGCTCACCTCACGCGTCGGCAAATGACGCTTGGTTGACGTTGGAAGGGGAGCACAAGTTTTTCAATTTTAGCAGCTAACTGGGGATTTCAACCACTAAACCACAATAAGCAAACAAATGTTAAATGTTTCCCAACGACAACCATGGATTTGTTTGGGGTTGCTCAACCGATTTGGGTGTGAATGTTAGTTGGATTTGCATGGATTGTGTCCACAGACCCACTTGAAGCTGGTGCTTTTGGGTGGTTGTGGGTTTCTCTAAGTCCCCTTGTGGTTGGGGCTCCCCGAGTAGACAATCCAATGGATGTGGGGCGACCCCTTGGTACAGGGGGAACCTCTTGGTGCAGGGGTGACGCCCTGGTGCAGTGGTTCAACGCCAAATCAACTCATGATCTTTGTGGGGAAGGTGCGTGCACTTGTTTACTGGGTATGGACTCAAAGTGGAGACCAAGCGGCGCTCTTCTGTGGATGTCCACCAATCAATCTTGAGGTGAGGTGGTGCCCTTTTTTTATCTACTTGTTTAATTATTCTCATTTATTTAATTTACTTATTTACGTACTTGTTTATTTGCTTAATTTATTTTTTTTTAAAAAAAAAGCCATTTCTAGGTGGGGGGGTTCGCCAAGAATCCGTTCGGGAACCCTGATACCCGGGTGTACTCCTTGGTGCAGTGAATTTTCATTGGTGCAGTGTTTTAGCCTTGGTATGGTGTAGGTGGATGCCGCTGTGCGGCAGGAAAGCCCCCTTTTGGTTGGCATTGAATCAGACATCAACCATTTTAGGCACGCCTATTCTGAGACAAACCCATTCTTGTGTGAATTTATTTGAGGTCCCCAGAGAATAATGTGTGTGTGCAATGATTTAGCGCCGGATATGGGAATGAACTTCAAGTGGAGGCTCTTGCGTGGACATCATTTAGATGGGGATTCATGCCACCAACCACTTGGAGTGGGGTTTCACAGTGAAATTGTTGCGATATGGGGGTTCGTTGATAGTGCCCTTTTCAGGTGGGTTTAAGGGACATATTGTGGGCCAGGGATAGCAATTTTCAAAGACATAGTTGGGTGAAAGTAGATGGTGCCATTTCCCCATTTTGGTCATTCCCTTTCCTGCCCCACGTAAAGGAGATGTTGCCATCTACTTTCACCATGGAGTAATGCCTGTTGGAGGAAACTCACATCAGGCACCAGCGTCCATCCCGGGCACAGGATTTCGTTCGGCATACTATCCCACCCAGGGTTATGTTTACCTGACATGGGTTCAGAACATCCAAGTAGATGTTCTGAAGGCCAAATCGAATATTGGCCTTACAGCTTGGGTGAGTGGTCCCAGCGCAACTTGTTCAAGAAGTTGAGCCGTGTTCAACACTCTTTGCATGGCCAATGGTCATGGTGTCTTCATAGGAATCACAATAAGTGCATTCAAAGGATCCTTTCTACCAGTTGACAACAAGGTTTGTCAACCCCAAGTAAACTAGGTCCTCCAGTAGAGAGGTTGGAATGAGGGCACCCATTTTTCTGTAGCCAGGACAGCCAGTCCATCCGCGCCTGTCCATCCTCTCCGCCCAGGAAGCCCTCCAACTCCTCGCGAAAAGCGAAGACGCATGCCAGCTGTAAGGAGCCTCTAAAGTCTCAGCCTGGTGGCCATGGGAGAAAAGGATCGGCACCCTTGGGTTGCTTGACTTCGGGGAACCCTTCCCAAACAAAGGGAAACATGCACCGGGAAGTAGAACACTTGTTGTGGGTCCTTTTTTCTGGCTGAATTGTAATATTTTACCAGCCTGAAATGTTTGGTGGTTGGAGGCTATTCACCACATAAACCACCATTTGGGGTGAATTCGGTCGTGTGAGGTCGTTCTACCCAGTTTTTGGTTTGGTTGACTTCTAAGGGGAACCCTTCCCAAAGGGAAAAATGCACTGGGAAGTAGAGCACTTGTGGCTCAGGGCCTTTTGGACATGGAAGCCCCTTCTAGAAAGGGTTTCGCAAGCGTTAACCATATACAGGCAGAGATGCCCTTGTATGGTTGAAAATCCTTTCTGTTTCAACCACCAGTTAAATTCCGAAGATTAAATAGCCATCAAGATCCACCCGCGAAGCAAAGCCATCGGCGATTGTCTGCCGGTTTAGCGTCACGTGAGGGAATGCTTCCGTGCAAGTGATCCACCGTTTGCTCGGGAAATCATGTTTTAATTTTTGTTAGGCTTCAAGCCCATGTCCATTCAGGTTGATTGAGACTTAGGTAGACTCGCGTGGTTAAGGGGATAAAAAGTTAATAGGACCCAGCGCGCATGGTGGATATCAGGACGGGATTGATTTGTCCACTTAGTGGTGGTTCCAACTGTTCGGTCGGATTCCCCCTTGGGTGTTGAACAGATCGAGATCGAAACACCGAAGGGTAGGTAAGCTTCTTACATTCCCCTGGAAAGAAAGCAGGCTGGGAGATCCCAACTAAGTTCTGGGGGTCTTTTTTTTGCAATGCCCTCAAGTGGACAGAAACCCTGGAATGATTCGATTCCCCAACGGAAATACAAACAAAACAATGGTTTCAACCATTGTTTCAAGGTGGCGCAGGATTTCGTTCATCCACAGGAAATCAAGACGCCTGACTGAAAGTCTTTTCGTTTGGGCGTGTTTCCACTTAACGGGACCTTCTGGTGGATGTGGCAACCAAAGGAGGCCAACCTGAAAGGACAGCTGTGGGAAGATGTGAGGTGGGGAGAATTCTGTCCACCCAAAAATGCCTCGGATGCGCAAGGTTGAGCCCATCCCCGACGACTACCCGCGTTCTACGGTTGAACTCATCCCAGCGTGTTCTTTGCCATGAAGCAAATTCCTGACTATCATGATGGCTGTGATTACCAGAACCAAAGAAAAAGCTCGCCGTATGACCGGCTCGCACCTGAACAATGGATTTCAGGAGTTTACCCTAAGAAGCGCTGCGCAGCATGTTGCGCAAGGTTTGGCGCTCCATGCTGCGCAGCCTTTGGCTTTGCAAACTTATAGAAGATGTGTGAGTCTTTTTTTATGAACCCCCCCCCAAAAAAAAACCGGGTAGGTTGTGAATTGAATTTCCTTAAAGACCAAAACAAAAGTTCCCCCCCAAACAAAAACGACTCCCAGATTAAGCTCTCGGTTGCTTGTGGGGAGCGCTCCTAAGAATGGTCATCCTAAGCATCAAGTCCTAATGCGTCTCTAAACCTGGGAGACCCCCAAATGTGAAGGATCCCAATGTCGCTGGGGTCTTTGTATTGAGGGTGGGGGTGCACCTGATGTATTGAGGACAGGGCTGTGGGAAATGCCCACTTCTGTGATACAAGAAAAAGGTCCCCCAAAGACTACCTCGCCATTAAAAGAGGGGATTCCAACTTGTATCACAGATGTGGGGATAAACTCCTTGACCCCACAACCCTGATTGAGGGGGTCTTATTTCAAGGGGTCTTTGTATTGAGGCTACCCTTTTGGATCTTTTTTGTGGGTGCACCTCATGTGTGTCCCTCAATTCCCTAAAAACCAACCCAAGAACAATTCCCAGCTGAATCCAAACTAGCAAGCCATAGGTCCCAGATCTCCTTTTAAGGCTTGTGTCAAACCCGTTGGACCCCAATGATTCGCGTGTTTTCCTAGTGGTTTTCCATTAAACCCGTACTTGGTCGACGTTGCAAGGAGCAAAGATTCAAATCGCAGTTAAGTGGGGATTTCTCCCACTAAACCACAAACAGCAAAAATGCAAAATCTTTCCCAACGACAAAAATGCGTAGCCCATACCCTCGGGTATGAATAACTCCGCATCGAGCCCGCTTCGTCTCCTCCAAGGAGCCAGCGTCGCCCTTGAGGGCCAAGAGGCGGCCATAGAAGCGCCCTAGGAGCTCCTGTCAGATGTTGTTGCAGCTCAAAATGAAACAGCTGGGGCAAACCGCAGGAAGCTGGTCCATGCTTCCACTTACATTTTCGTTCCATTTGGGTTCCGGATTTTCTGAGCTCCAGATGTGGTCATGGATTAAATTCCAAAGCCAAATCGTAGCCCCAGTGAACGGGACCCAACCCAACCACTATAGGTTCTAAAATGGGTGGTGAATTCACCTACCCCAAAATGGGATCCCATTGGTTTTTTGACCCACAGCCATGTTTGTTTGCGGTGTGGTGCATGGTCGCCAAAGGAACAATGAGAACAAAAATCAAAGGAGGAGTCGTTGGTTACCTATAGTAGCTCGCCTGGGATCTGGGAACAATTTTATGAACCCTTGTGGAACCCTGGTGGAACCTTACCTCAGGGCCGCCCCGGACCACCCTGGAGCCTATCTGGGCTAAGACCCCAAAGCTTTCAGCTGTTGGGGGAAAAAACATACAGGGCAGTTCTTAGTTCGGGGTTCCCATTCTTGGTTGCTGCTGACCCCTCTGCAAAGAGTTTAACTTGTGCGTCCCATGAAAGTTTAAAGTCAAAAAACATTAGTCAACTCCTGGACACTGGCCCAGAAGAACGGCAAGCCGCATTTCCAAAGAAACTTACTGGTTCAAGCAACTAGGCAGCCCTTGGTTCCAGCGAGGCCGGTGATACTGAAAACCGATCGACCAGCCAGCCCACACCAACGAAACCAAACCTGCCAACCATTCCCCTGACTGGGGTTAAGCCCAGACCAGGGCTAGCAAAAAACAATTGGTTCCTGAAAACATACCACCACATGGAACTCATTTCGAAACGGCCCAAAGGGCGACGCGTAAACCATGTGAGTCACAATCAATCCTATAAAATGGCCTACCCGAAGGGAGGCCTCACCTATTTCTGTTTGGGACTGTCCCCTAGCTGCGCTCTCCTGAGCTTTGACTGTGGCTCACCTAAACAAACATGCAGTGGATGAACAAAATCCTGCACCAGTTGGAAGGTTCTAATTGGTGCGAACTGGATTTTGCCCACACTATAAGCTCTCAAAAATGGATCCCGCAAGATAAAAATGGCAACGCTTTCCTTTTCCCTTTACATACAAACCCAAAGGGGGTCCATCTTGAAAAGCACCCCTCAACATGAATTTACCGGTGTTCCTTGTCCTTTTAAACCCCCCATTTGCTGAAGTCTCCGGAAAACAACTGGGGGGATAGTCGAGAGCTTTTCGAGGCTTCCTTAGATTATGTAGGGTTCTTTAGGGAGCCATAGGACAACCCTCCCCTCGCTTGGACCACTCCATTAAAACATGCCCTGCATTCCTTAGCGTTCCCCAGGCTTCCTTAGGGAGCCTTGGAAACCCCACCACCCCCCCCTTGCCTCGGTTGCTTTCTGCTCCCTTTGCCAAAAGTGACTAACTTTTGGTGGTTTAATGGAAAACCAAAATTCGTTGGCAAAACGTTAAAGTCCTAACATCCCTTGGCAAAATGCACCACCACCCCCCCTTACAACCACCCCCTCACCCCAACCTCCCCCCCCCCTAGCGCCATGCAGAAACCCCACCACGCCCCCTACAACTCCATACAAATTCCCCCATGGGCCCATCTCCTCTGCCCAGCGCTGGCCACCTGCAGGCCCGCCCACCACGGTGACGCGGAACCGGCCCAGGAAGGCGTGGTAGTCCACGTCCTGGCCACGCAGCTCACTTCAGGCACAAAAAGCTTCCCCAATTTGTGGCTTGGACTGGTGGCTCAGGAAGTGGACACCCCCGGAAGAAAGAATTTGTGGGAAGTGGACACCCCCCCCAAAAAAAAAGTAAAACAAAAAGAGGTGGTTTGGATTGGTGGTGGCTTCCCCGGAAAACTTGTGGTTTTGGATTGGTGTTGGCTGAGGAAGTGCACACTCCCGAAGAAAACACATCAATCAGGGTTCATCCGGGGTTCCCGTTCGTGGTTGCTGCAACGACCCCTCTGCAAAAAATAGCCAATCACTTCTTGTGGGTCCAATGGAAAGAAAAAAACGTTCTGTGTCGTTACGTAAACAAATGAATGAGGCGCTCGGGGTTCCCGGAAACTTTCCTCATTTAGTGGGTCAACCGCCTGTCAGTGAGCGGAAACGCGGGAGGATTTCCACTTTTCAACCGCGAGAGTCCAGAGGGCCCTTTAGGGTTATAAAATGTCCCAAACCTTGGGAAACTAGTTTGTTTTTGGTGGTTCAACTTCTTGTTTTTTTTTTGTGTGTGTGTGTGTGTTTTTTGTGTGCTGTTGTGTTGGTATTTCAAGAGTGCCCACCAGGTGGGCGCTCTGGTCAAATGATGGGCGATGGTTTTGTTTCCCCCTGTTTTGGATCACCTTAAGAAACCAGGGACTTTGGTGATATAAGCTTAGTTGCCCCTAGGGAGAACACCCAAAGGTCGTCGCATTGGACAAGTAAGAGGGATGTGGGCCATCATCATGGCCCCTTTGCTAGGCCCTTGTACTGGTCCAACAACTGAAAAGGCTTTTGCTGCCATCCTGGACGACAGCTCTGCGACTTGGGGCCATTCCGACTTTGGCGGTGACAGCAGCCAGGTGTAAGAGCACATCCCTGGTAATCGCGAGAAAAGAGGAGCTTCGACCGTGGCGCATATAACAGGGGCACTCAACTTGGGTCTTGGCCCTGCGGTTCCCTATCGTTGGACTACGGAACTGTGTTGCAATTTCCCAAGGCCGCCCCTGGCCGTGCAACCTTCGGTTCATGGACTCAGTGATCTCCCGTTGGTTGGGCTGTTTGGGGTTGCCATTTGCCAGTTTGGGTTGTTGCCAGCTGTCCCCTAGAGACCCAGCCCCAGGTGATCACCTTTTTGGGGCCACTCAAAATGGTCAACCAACAGGTTGAAAGCCACAAGTTCGATTGATCCGGTCGATTCGCTTTGGGCAAAGAACAGGTTTAAATTGTACCAAACACCAAGCAACCTTTGGCCCTAAAGGTTCAGGATCCGGATCGGGTTCCTACACCTTTCAACCTTGGAGGTACCAAGTAGCTCCGGTTTCAGTTGCCAAAGGCAAACAAACTTGGTTGATTTCGAAGGCAGACCTACCCAAAACCAGAAGGCCACCAGTGGGGGTGTCTTGAAATTGGGAACCCCCCCACCCAAAAAGCACAGGAATCGGCGTCTATGGGGTTTCCATTTAAAGCCAACCAAAAAATGAGTATCCTTAGAAACCAAAATACACCCGTTGGAGGTCAACGCCGCTCCTTGGTCAACGTGTCTTTGACACGGAGCACCTTGCCGATGGTCTTCCAGTTCATGGATTCCCCGACCACAGCCTTCATCCCATCCTGGCCATTGCCAAAGTTAACTGGCTCATCCAGTGGAGAGGCTCCCTCAAAAAAGGGTAAAAGGGCACCACTGGAAGGCCCAGTTAATTAGAACCCCCTGCAGAAGGTGACTCTCCCTCAATGAATCATGGAAGTAGCCGGGGGGTCTCCAAAAGGAAAGTAGACTTCCAACAACCTCCTGTCAGCTTGGCTGATTGGAAGGAGAGTATCTGCTTGTCTAGACCATTTCTAGAAACACAAACAGAAAACACATACACCCACCATATCCTTACCAAACTCCTGGTAGATCCCTAACGACTTCCATTTCGGCAATGGGGATACCCGCCACGCAGCCCAGGTCCCTTCCGGATCCCTTGCAGCGAATTGCTTCCCGCATCCTCATCCCGCCGAGTCAGGGTCCCACTTGCTGGTTGAAACAAAGGTCACCAGCTTTCTGGTTGAAAGGTACGCACTCTTGTGGTTTAAGTGTCTTCCAAAAAGCCAGATCCAGTAGATTGGCACAAAAGAAACACATGTTCTGTTTGCCGGTTGTTTGTGGAACAAACTTAAACAATGACGCTATAGTTCAGGAACTTCGTGAGTTATTTGGTTGAACCTGAAGGCAGAGGCTTGGGCATGCAACCTGCGTTTGTTGGTTGACAGGAACCTTGAAGAGAAACCAAAGGGTCCTCAAGCATCCCAAGGAACGAATCAACACACCACCAAATTAGCTTGTTTGCTGTAGCGATCCCTGTGCAAAATGTAGACGGGTTCGAAGGAAAACCCACAACAATTCAACCACAAAGCAAAGGCCTAAAGCTCCAAGCCAATAACGATCAAGTACAGAATCCCAAGTTGAACTTCAGGGAATGAGACATCCCCCAGTTCTACTACGGTGTGTCTTTTCTGAGGGTCATTATATACCTGTTTTTGTTTTCTCGTGCTGTTAAAGGGCAAGAAAAAGGACAACTCACACGTGTTGAAAGGCCCCCTACTTTAAGACGTACACACGGAGCTTGAAAACCCGCACCTGAAAACAAAAATTTGGGGCTGCTCCGAAGACCTCAAAGTCAGCTTGGCTGGTGCCGGGAAACCAAAGAAGACCCGACTTTCAAGCCATATGTGTTGATCATCTGTTAGGGTCTCGGAGCAACTCTGACATGGGTATGTTCTTCTCGTTGATGGTACCTTTTTGGGGCTTGTTTAAAGTTAGGGAAATCAAAAGGAGGAAGCAACCACTGTTTGAGGAAGTCCCCTAATACGAGGCATACACGTATGTTTTGCAGGTCACATCCAGACCACGACCCTCAAACTACCCAGTAAACCAACATTTCACCAACCATAATTTTGTGCTCGAACCCGTTGTAAGTCTTTAAGTTGGATTTATTTATTCATTTTCTTTTTTTGGGGGGGGCCCAGGAAAAATGCAAAAAGGCACACACACACACACGTATGATTTGTACGCGTAACTCCAGAGCCCGAGTTCCTCGCGCCTTTTTCGTTCGCGCGCTCGGAGCACGGCTCCTCCCTGCCCCGCTTCCCCGGTTCCTGCGACTCGGTCGAATCGGTCGCCCGCTCAGATCTGCGCGAGGCCAGCGCCGCCACTTCCCGCGCCAGGCCGCGGCCCAGCTCCTGGGGAGAAGAACTTGGAGCGGGGCGGCCAGGGGTTGAAGACTGGAGCTTGAAGAAAAATGAAACCCATTGAAACTGGTTTGAACACTGGTTTGAACACTGGAACCTTAAAATGCTGGCAGAAACCAAGGATTGAAATAATTAACCACGAACATGCTGGAGCTTCAAGAACATGGCGGGCAAACAAACCGGCCTGAACGGTCGCTTAACAGACCGTGGACACCCAGCAGGGCTGGATGTGTGCTTTGCTCGCTTGCACAAATAGCTCCAGCGCAGCGATTCCACTTCCTTGTGTAGGATAGCCAAGGGACCAAGGGGGTCCCGCCTTTCACACGTCAAACAGCGAACGACTGGCTAGATGCTGTGGTTGCTGGCATCCACTGGGCTCAACACATGCACTTTCATGTTGGGCTCTGAAGGACATCTGGGTGTGTGCGTGTGTGTTTTGAGGATACCTTTTTTGCGGTTCGAACAAAACAACCACTGGAAAACAGCCATTTTTTTTTTTTTTGGGGGGGGGGGCGCCCTAAGAAAAGGCACAATCAATGGTTTTGTCCAAACCCTTAACACCAAACAGTTCTGACATGTTCTACCCCAGTTCTTCAATTCGCCTTAGCGGGCAACCAAAGATTATATCCGCCCTTTATAAAATCAGAGAACATCGCGGAAGGCTCCCTCTGTAGTTCCAACATCAGCGAACCAGACCCTTAGGGACCCAGAAATAACGGAAATAACACATTCACCTTTTGGGGCGATGACTAAGAATGGACTAACGCTGGCAAAACCCCAAAGGTCAGTTCCGGTCGATTCGCTGGCAAGCGCCAACAAGTTCGGGTTGATGGCCGTAGGATGATATCATCCCACCGAAATGAAGCTCACGGCACGAAGGCCCGAAAAGTGCTGTGCTTCACCAAAAAGGGCAATGGAAGTTGACCGACCGAACCAAAATAACCCAATGTGGACATATATCAAATAGTTTAAGTCGAAATCAAACACAACTATCAACTACGTCAAGCCACAAAGAAGAACATAGGTGTTCTGTCTGCACAGAGTGCAAACAAAACAATCCACTGGCTTAACTGCCCTGCAAAACCCACATACTTCCAGTGGTGATAGATGCCCCCCCCCCCAAACAAAAAAAGCTAACAGGGGCAAATACAAAAACATATTATTAAACAAATGGAAGAACATTGACCAAAGATTTGATCTTTACAAATCACCAAGTCCAGTGGATCCCAGTGCCAAGAGACATATGGCCTGGCACACCGAAACCGATAGGATTTGGAGTTTTAGGACCTTGAAGCCAAAGTCTCTAGGAATCTTGGACTTGAATTTTAGGAATTGCGGAATTCGGAACTTTAGGACTTACTCAGTTGTGGACCAACAAGGGAAAAACAACAGGTCAACAGGTCGATCCTCGTGTTGAACAACTGAGCAAACCCAAACCAACCAACCTTTTGAGTGCCAAAATGGTCCAACCCCAAATTGGTGACTCTTCAGTCTGAAACAGAACTCAGGAACCTGCACCCTCAACATTCCCTTAATCATTGGTTCTTGCAACCCAAAATAGTGGTTGGTGAATCCACTTTTTTATGGGTTGAGGGTCCAGGAAGTGAGAAACCCACGCCCGAACCCCTATGATTGTTTTTTGCAACCCAAAACTAATGGTTGGTGAATCCCCTTTATGGGTTCAATCCTGGCCCAGGACTTCAGAAACCGCCCCTCAAAAAGGGCTGAGGGTCCAGGAAGTGAGCAAACCCCCCGCGTCCCACGTGCGACGCGGGGAGTCCTGGGAGCCTTTGCGCGAGAAGTGGAGCCCGTCGAGTTCCCAGAGCTCCGAGTCCCGCTGAAAGGGCAGCAGCCGGTCTCACGCACGCGAGACGCGAGACGCGAGACGCGAGCCGAGCCGTGGGCGGCTCGTCGGATCTACAGCCGGTTTCTGTAGCCCTGCCTTAGTGAACAGAAGCAACCAAAACAAACAAAACAAGAAAAACAAACAAAGCAAACAAAACAAACAAAACAACCAAAGCAAGCAAGACAACAAACAAAAAGCGGCCAAGAACAGTGAAGTCTCACAAGCTTTGGCCGGCCTTGTGTCTTTTTTTTGGGGCTCCAGAGAGGACACCCCCCCCTTTCCAGCTCGGCAGCCAGGGTTTCTGGCGCTGCTCGGAAGGGTTTGGTTTTTGAGGTTCCTTGCCCCCATGAAAACAAAGGCGGGTTGACCCAATTTGGAGGACGATCCCTAGGTAAATAACAGTGGTTATATATATATATATATGTATATGAACACCCCCATTGTTTCAATGGTGGTTTAACTGTTTGACCATTTGACCCCAGGGTTTCGGTTGCAAAAACCACATGATTTTCCGCGCATGCCAGTTGGAATTGGCTTTTTACAACCTATTGAGGGTCCCCTGAATCTGCACGGAAGGTTCTGCCAAAATATTACTAAACCCAACCAAACTCTCACAATTGAACCAGGTGAGCTTCACTCAAAAGGCTCCACAACACACAAAGAAAAGTGTCCTGAGTTTGCTTCGTGGTTGAACACCTCAAAGTCTTAGGGCATTTTCAGGTATTGGTTTTGGAGGTACGGATGTATGCCGCCAATATAAGCTTGAAAGCCAGTATGTACACGTTATAGATATAGTATATAACCTCCATACCCCGAAAAAACCATATGTGAAACTGCCCTTGATCTTAGAGGGATTGGGGCCTGTCTTCCTTGCCCATCCCATCCTCGGGTCGGGAGCCCGCGTTTGGGCTGCGCCTGTGTCGATGAAGTGGGTCTTGGAATTGCCCGCCGCCCACTTCTGCAGCCGTCGGTTCACACCCTGCGGTGCAATCCAAGCGCCCTGACTTTACCAAAACCCAAGCGGTAGGTTAAAGGGAACCGACCCTTGACTTTGACCACTTGAAAGCTAAAATCATAAGCCTTGCAAAAGCAGGGGATCTTTCCTCAACTGAGTACGCGTCAAACTTGGGACTTGGACCCAACACATGGTGTTATTTTTTGCGTCCATTTGAACTAACCCCCAAATGGCTCACCCAAAAGGAGGCTGACATCCCAAAGTCAATTGGAGCAAACGCTGCCTCAAGGCTTTGGATAATTTCTGATATATTCCCACTATAGTGCTAGGCTCCATTTCAAACTAACAGCGGGAAATAACAACATTTGATTCTGCTTCAGCAAATAAGAGAAAACATTATAAACTTTCGTCCGCTCATCAATATTCTACCGAGGTTTGGTCAGATGGCTCAACACCCGCAGCCATGGCAATTAATGCCTCCATTTGCGAAAACATCATTGGCAAATCATAGATTCCCTTTGAAACTCGAAGGAGGAAGTAACAAATCATCTTGCCTTCAAAACCTCCACGACAATGTGCCTGCAATAATTCCTAGCCAGGGATCCGCTTGGTGTCAAAATGCCGCACAATCCCTTTCTTTGCATTTAGCCCCTGATATTGCCCCCAATGGGTTGAAAGGGATACTAATGGTGGCTGCATAATATCACATTGGGGTCAACACAAATGGAATGTTGCCCAGTGTTTTTCTTCACCGAATCACCTCGTCTTGCGGGAATACCCTCCCAACACATGGAACCGGGCTCTCTGTGCAAGAAAAATAGTGACAGGCAGGTTCTATGTCTCATCCCATCAAGGAAAGAGTCGGGAATGTGTATGTCACCTGTCCCAGGGACCTGCCTGGACCCTCAGACACCTGAAAAAGGGAATTCACCCCATAAGTTCGATCAGTTTGGGACAATAACCCATCTGAAAGGGAATTTTAAGGTTTCAGGTCGAAGTAAAAGGTGGTTTGGGGCCCTGGCTATGGACACAGGAAGCCCGAAAAAGCTCAGATCAGTCCCGCGACCCCTTTGAGTGGGTGGGGGCCCTGCTTCTGTCGACCCCCCAACCTGATGTTTGGATCAGAAACCAAATAGGTGAGATGCGGTTCGGAAGAAAAACAAAAAAAGTCCCCAAACGAATGTGTGGGGCACCCCCATTCTTAGTTTTTGGCATGGCCTCCCTGTTTTTGGGGTAATTTGAGGGTTCATTTATTGCCATATGGCTCGGTCTGTTTTTGGGGGTACCCTCTTTCGGCTGGCTTGAAGGACAACCAACAGAAAATCCAGAATTGTGTTGGGTCCTGAACAAAAGACTACGGCTTTCCTTTCGGCTTTAAAACACGAAACAAGGGGTCCCAACTCCAACACAAGACAACCTGCTCCAAACTCCCTCCAACTGCGTTGTTGCACCAAACAAAAATGTGAATTCCAGCTTCTGTCTGGGTAGTTTGAGGCTCAACACGCCCATGTTGGCGTCTCGGGGCTTCCCAGTTCCGTCCCTTTTCAGCGGCGACTCATCCGCCGCGCCTGGCGTATGGCGGAGATGTCCTGGAGCTTGGTGGCAGCAGCGCTGGGCGGCACGGCCAAGGCCAAGGTGAAGACGTTCCGCCGGTGGCACTCCTCGTGGATGCCTCGTGGTGAGACATGCAGCCAGTCTTGACCTACCGGTTTGAGATTCCGGATCGATCTTTGGACGGACACGGAAAAAAAGAAAAGGACAATTCGCGCCATCAAAATCGAAAACTGTGGAATGAGTCGATTCTCCTGCAAATACCAAGAAGCAATGGTTTCAACTGTGGTTTCAAAGTGGTGCAAAATGGTTTGCGATCCACAGTGGTAACTGTCGAGGCATCCAAGATCACCCTTAGATGGTGGTTTGGATTAGCGGTTTGGATTTGGATTTGACCACCTGGCGCTTTTTGAGGGCAAATGGGAAACCCTTGGGACATCCTAGTGCGCAAACCGCCAATCAGAACCGCCAATGAGAGGGAAGCTGAATTACTATGGGTTTTGAGTAAACTTCTTTGAACGAGGAGGTATCTATGAGAATTGCCACATGTTTTATGACGGATCCCGGATGTCAGAATTTGTTGGCAAGGCCGTTTTAGTGACAACCCCAGTGCTTGGATTTAAGTAGGTCACCAGCCGCCACGTAGAATCTACGTGCTACACATTCACGGAGAGAACCCAACAAATATCCGGTCCCCCAAAAGGAGTGTCCGATCCTAAAACTGGTGAGTCTTGGGCTTCCAGGTGAAATTAAAGCTTGAAGTTCAATCCACTCGGGAAGTGAGACGCGACTTGAGGCACCCATGAGTGCCACAGTGTGTACTGTCGATGGTTGCGAAATTTATTTCGAACCTTGGAATGGATGCCCAAATAACTAATCCCAACAAACCATGGTGTCAAAGTGGTGCAAGATGGATTTCGTCCGTCCACAGTATCAGTAGACCTTCACCGGTTTCGGGTAAACCCCTTTATCCCCCATGGGAATGTCCACGTTTCCCAGACATCCAGGAGGAGTGCCGCATTGATCAAACCTGGTTTCTTGTTACAAAGGTTTTTGGACAATTCCTGTAGCCCAGCCAAGCACTCATGACAAAGATGGGGGAATCCTGGAATCTGCCATGTGTGCCATGGCTGACCATGGCACATGTGGGCTTGTCCGTTGGTTAGGCACACCCCTTGTGGTTTGTCTTAAAGCGGAAACCCCCCTGAGATTTTGGGGAACCCCTATTCTGATCACCCAGCGTGTTGGGCGGAAGGGGTCAGTGGGGAAAAACAACAACTTGCGGTGCGGTAGTGTCCTCAGGTAAGAAACACGCACTCGTAGATGCCTGGCTCACAAGTTTGTCTCAAAATGATGGGCCCCTCCGAACTGGCCGGTTTCTCTTTGGTGTCGCTGAAAATCCCTGAAACAAACCCACTAGGACGACCCAAAAAAGAAGAGTCGCAATTTGCAGCCGGGTCCTGGCATTGAAGGGGGCTACAAAGAAGTTAAGAATCGTCCCAGCAGCCACAATTATTCATGCTTGCCTGGGAGTCAACCAACGTCAGGTAAGTAGGTTACAACCATGGTTCTAACTGGGGTTAATTGGCTTACAACCATGGCTATCACCTGCATATAAAGTTGGTTGAAAACCAAGCGTTCTTTGCTTCGGCTCATGCACCCCAGGGTTTACCCGTAGTGCCCAATGAAGTTGAGTAGCCACACCGTTGGTATAAACATGGGATGGACAAAAACCATTGGCCAGAAACGAGGGAAAATGGGACCTAACCCCTGGTATCACCGACAAAAAATAACCCACCCATGTGGGGTTTTGGGTTTTGAGCCAAAATCAACTGTTATAACCATATTGTTAGAACCAAAGCCAGCTCGGTTTTGGGCACTGCACATTTGGTCCCCTAATTAAAAGGCAACAAGTTCCTTTTAGTTTCTCCTCAAAGCCAACCATAAGGGATCCCCCCCCAAAAAAACATCGACCCACCCTTTCGGAGTTTTGGTCATTGGTCATTTTAGGCAGTGTAAAACTTTTATAGTTATATTTAGTAGAACCAAAACTCAATGGGCACCGCTCAAATTTTGGGCTTTCCCTTTGCGCCAAGCCTTTTGGCCGTGCGCGCCTTGGATGGCCGAGAAAATCTCCTCATCCTCGGACTGCGAAAGGTCGTTGGTGCCGAGCATGATGAAGGCCATCTCAAAGCTGTGCTCCTGCCAGAGCGGTGAGCAATGTTGACCCCACAGTAATCAACCCCTCTTTATGAATATGGGCCAATATGGGGGTGCTTCTCCCCGGGTTTAGTGGGGAACTATCACTTGTGGAGGGAAACAAGCCCCCAGTTTTTATGGAGTCAACATTAACAATCAGCCATCATACACAACCAAGGGTGCAAACAGTTGCGTGTTTTGAGGGTCCATGTCTTGGTTCTCAAACTACGGGAGCCCCAAAAAGCCCCAAAAAGGGGACCCGCACACGCACATACAAAAGACACCCTTCTTGGCCCTACAAGTGGACCGCAACATGCGTAGTGAAATGCAATGCAAACAAGGCGTCGCGAATACTACCGGAGACCACTGATGTTGTCAGAGGTTGGGGCCTCATCTGAGCACGTGATTTTGGACTCACAGGAGCACGCGACGCTTCCATGACAAGACCTCAACATGCCCATCCCATGTCAAGAACGCGCGGGGGAGCCGCGTGCCAGAGCATTTTGTGAGGACACCTCTTCCGTGACACCTCAACATGCGCATCCCATCTCAAAAAAGTTCGGGGGAGCCGCGCGCCAGAGCAGTTTCTGAGGATGTTTACATGCGCGTGCGAGACCCCTGCGTTTGATCATGTGCGTGTGCGAGACTCGGGCGAGTTGCCTGGGCGTGAGCATGACATGCGCGGGCGAGACCCACGAAGACTCGCCTGCCATGGAAAAAAGCAAAATACATGCATGGGCGAGACCAAAATCACGTGCGCCGGCGAGCCAAAATCACGTGCGCTCGCGAGGCCGTGACCCTTGTCGGATACTCATATGTTCAGAATTTGTTTGACATGGAGACAACCGTACAACGCAAATTAATATTGCGGGATGGATGTATCATGATGCATCAATAGAATACTGGGATATTCTAGCCAACTGGCGCTAATTCGAAGTGGGTTATGACATCCACCCAGTGGCCATGCGAAGAAAACTTTTTCCGGGCGCGCTTTTTCTTGGTAGTTCCTGGACCCTCAAACTGCCCATAAAGAGGAGGAATTCACCAAGCCCAATTTTGGGTAGACTTGTATGAGTCAATGAGGGATCAGGGAATTCGCCAGCCATAACTTTGGGGTATAACCCAGTTGAAATAATAAGAGTGGACGCAGTGGATTCAAAAGGGGCAAAAACCTGGCCAGTCAAATCTTCCACGTCAGCGTACGCCATTTTGATTTGCTAGGTTCGGTCAGCCAGGTACTCACTAACAATGTAACAAGGTCAACTCCACATGTTGTTTTTTTTTTTTTTTTCCAGAGGGAAACTTAGGCTCACTTCCCGAGTAGATGGGCGAAAACAAAGTCTGCACATGTGTTGTACCCCCCAAAAATGGTCTTCCTAAAAAGTTTAAAGTCCAGGAACTCAGGAAGTAAGTAGGTTAACGTTCGCCGTACTCGCACTTGTTTGTTCGTTTGAAGGACCTGGCGTGCGCTTGCAACTTCATTGCAGCACTGTGATGCTCCTAAACCCTATGCTTCCAAAGCCTATCTAAAAAAATAGTCGTTGTGACAACCCCGGTTTTTTTGATAAAGACTATTTTTTGATGACGAGGGGCAGCCTCCGTTTTGGACTGGAACAAGGGCTAGGAAACACTTGACGCCAAGGCCGCTGCATAGGATCCCAAAGCCGAATGTGTATTTTCACGTGCAGCAATATGATTTACAATCTTCAAGGCTAATGTTGGCTTCTATGTTGCTTGGTTTCTTAACATGGCCATGTAGCGCGTGAGGGTGAACCCTCTTCTGACCGTTTCTGTCCTTCTTTTGCCCCACCTTCTTAGCCAAACCAAAAAAAAACGGGACAGCAAAAATATCTACCCATCACAGCAACCATTCCAGGATGAGAATGTTGATCTTCTGGGTCCCCTGCAAAAGTTGCCCGTTCTACGCCAAACAATAGTGGTTCTACGCCAAAAAATAGTGGTTCTACGCCAAAAAATGGTGTTGTTTCTACGGTTTTTCTACGCTTTGTCTACGGTTTGTCTACGCTCACGTCGTTTTTGGAGCTGAGTGAAAATTGGAACGGAAGAAACAAGCGCACAATTGCTTGTTGTTCGTGCCACCTGCGCAAATTGCAGAGGAAAATTGTAGAATTTGCTAGAATGAAGGCTCCGTCTACGCAAGACTTTCAGCAGGTGCATTGCGCAAACACGAAAGGGCCCCGATGACCCTATCAATAAACAGTAATCTACTGGCTCCCAAGGCTACTTAAGAGGTTGCAATAGCAGAGTTGTTTTCGATAAAAACAAAGTAACAACCCAAAATGGACCCAAAGGCCAATGTCCAAAAATAGGGGTTGTCAATGCAAAAATAGGGGTTGAACAACCCCTATTTAAAAATAGTCGAGGAAGCATAGGGTAAAGATATGTGTGTGTGACACTGCTAGTCGAACTACGCGAGATCAGCAGTGAGAGACAAGGAGAGAAAGACCAGGTCCTCCAGTAGAGAGGTTAAAGTAAGGGTACCCTTTTTTTCTATAGTCCATTTTTAGTAGGGGAACCCTCCCAACCAAGAAAGAAACGGTACAAGTTGGCACTACTGGGGGACCTAGAGTGAGTAGGTTCCCGTTCACCGCAGCCGCGCGCGAAAAACACCAGGCCTGCAGCAAGCGCTGGATGCCGGGCCCCGTGCGCTTCACCGCGTCGCGGATCCGCGCGGAGCTCTTCCTGAGCGACGCTCGCGACGCTCGACGCGACAGCCCTCCCAGCGATTTGGCCAATGGGTCGCTCGGTCCGTTTTCTCGGTGTTCGGCTGGGCGAAATGGGCCGGACTTCTGGGCCGCCCTCAGGTCCCCCGCTAAAAGTTTAACTTTTAGCGGGTTAAAATGGAAACTACCACACTAAAAAGCTAAAAGGCTAAGGGGATGGGGAGCCACCAAGACTTGTGGGTTGCCGAAACCCAACCAACAAACCAACCAAAAACCCAAAACCACGCAGCTAAGGAACGGGACAATTCGCTGGGATCCGCCAAGGTGTGAAGTTTGCAGAAAAGTACCTTGGGTATATACTTTGATGCAGGGAGCGTAGTGTTTCGATGTGTTTATGTTTTTTGTTGGCAAACATTGAAACTTTTCGGTGGACATCGTTTGTAGATTCATATTTGGTCTACAGCGGCCCAAGGGCCGGCCGCAACAAGTCCTGAGCCAAATGGCCAAGTGGTTGGTTCTCATCCCTACCATTTCCATCGCTTTGAAGGGGGAACCCCTTGGTATCACAGAAAGTGGCACCAAAACACATGTTCCACCAAAATGGGCAAACATATCTCAAGTCTCCTCCAGAGATCTGAACATGTCAGTTTTGGAGTACAAAGGTGGGCCCAAAGAAGGTGTGACTGGACTTGTTGGGTGCATCTTTGCTCTTAGTCACGAGTTGATTCACCGAAATAAGATTAAGTATTTGGAGTATTTAAGAAACCATCCTGAAGTTGGCCTAACCTTCGTCCTAATTCCTTCTTCGATACGGTGGGTATTTGCGAGGCTCCGAGGAAAGGTTCCCGCACTTCCCCTGCAAAGCACCCCCTCAAATGGGGGCTCGAGGTCTTTAAGCCTGACCCAAGGCCAAGTTCTCTAATGATTTTCTTGAAGCGGAGTGTCAATTTCAGGGCCTAAACCCTCAATTTAGGCTAGTGCCCAAAAAATATGGGGTAGTTCGCGGTTCCAGTAACCCATCCGTTCTCCAGGCCAAAATCTGCCTGAAATTATATGACTGTATCCATGTACCACTCTGAATCTTATCCCAGATACGGCAGGAACCCCGTCACTTTCCCTTTGGGCTAAGTGTGGTTCCCTTGGCCAACTCACCCAGGGCTTCTTGCGGCAAGCCACCCAAGTAGAAAAAAAACAGGACTTCTCAGCAGGTGGTACCTGAGTTACGGCCTTTTCTTGTTTTTTTTGTTGTTGGGGTGAGGGGGTGGAGCACTATATATATATATATATACATATATATATATATACAATACATATTTATATTGTTATATATATATGGCAGAAAGGACGCCTGAATCGGGGGGGGGGGTTTTCACCCCACCGTTTCGCCACGGGTGCCGGCCCTCGGCCCTTGCCGGGTCCGAGCGTCATCTCGAGCAGCTCCAGCGCGGCGAGGCCACTCAGCCCGCAGACCCAGAGCTCCACTTCCACTTCTAAGGCCTCGCGGTCCTACGGCCCTTGACGTTGGAAGGGAAGCAAAAAAAACTAAAAATGGCAGTCAGGTGGTTGGATTTCCACCACTAAGCCACAAGCAAAATGTGAAATGTGTCCCAACAAGAACCATGAAATAACGAGGCCATTGGGTTGGGTCTAAGGCTCAAAAATATTTAGGGTCTTGGGCTCCTGAGGGGAAAAAAGGTATCAATTACTGTTGGTATCTCACTGATACTGTTGTATTTACAGTTGGTATCTTTATTCGTATTTACTGTTGGTATTCGATTCGCCAAGTTTCTAGGGGTAACCTCCATTTCCTCTCTTTCCAGGGATCCTTCTTTCTACAAAACCTCCGGACACCCAGGGAAAATGGCCGGTTATTGAAAAGAACGATGGTTGAAAAGAATGGGGGATCAACCCCTAGAAAGTTAGTAAGTTGTTGGCCTAGGTTGCAACCTACTTCCAAGCCGCCTAAGTGGAGCTAATCTTGTTTTTAGGGTTACAACCCAGGTGGCTTGACAGATACCAACTTGGCCGAACATCCAAGTACCGTGGATGGTTGCGAAATCCGTTCGCGCGCACTCACAGGGGCTGGGGGGGGGGGGGAATTACGGACTCTCTGCACATCTCTGCACCGACAGGGACTGCGACTGAGTAGGAATGTGAAATTCAGGGATCTGAGATTTGCAAGCCCAAATAATGGCCTTATTGAGGACTTCATAAGAGCAAGTTGGGCTCCCTCCCCTCCCTCCCCAGGCCCCATGATGCAAAAGTTTTTTTTTTTTTTTTTCCATGGTTGAAACCAGCACGTGTGTTGATGACAAAGGGCGCCCTCAACAAGGCCGCACTAAGGTTTGGGAATGAACTCGAAAGCTTTTCCGTCGAAAGAACGAGCTCGCTGGAGCGAGGCGCCTGACCCAAGCTCTCGGCATAGGGCGCGAAGAGGCGGCCAAAGGCGTGGTACCCAGCTGTCAAACCTCTCAGAGAAAAATAGCACAGTGTAGACTCAACCGCGCTAACTAGGGGAGTTTGGAACAACAAATAACGATACATATACATAGAGAGAAAGAGAGAGAAAGAGAGAGAGAGAGAGAGAGAGAGAGAGAGAGACACATGTCCTATGTGTATATATATGTATATATGGCTGAGAGAGCAGTGTATATGAATATGTGTATCCCCTGTTAGTGCCCTTCAAAGCAAACAATGCTGGTTACCTCCCTCCAATCCGGATTCAATCACGGGTTTGCCCCAAGCCGATCGGAAGGGTAAGGCGTTGGACATCCCTCGAAGGGTCTCCAGGGCATGTGCTTCAGGTAGGCCTGGAGCCAGATAAACCTATCCCTTTTTGGTGTTTGAGGAGAAATGGAGAAATGACTCAACAACTACCTGGAGTCTTCATGACCCTTAAAAATGGGGTCGTGGACCCATTTTTACCGGGTCATGGAGACTCCAGGTATCCCTTTCTGGTGTTTGAGGAGACATGACTCGCATTCTCGGTTGGCTCGCTCTGGGCCGGCCCGGATCAACTTGCTGTGGGCCGGCCCGTCAAGCGCTTGGTCCAGGACCAGTTAAGCTGGAGAATGCCGACCTCGGAAAAATGCCGCGCCCTACTCAGGAAGGGGTGGTTCCCTTTTTAAGGAAATTATCTAGTTTAGGGGGTTCCTTTGAGTAGTGTCCTCCGGATGAATCCGAAGTTCACATGAATTAAGCGATTCAAGGAGAGCTTCGGCGAATTAGCAACACGCGTTGTCTCTCTAAGCAGGTCGACCCCGGATTCCGAAACCCGGCGGATTCATGGATGGTTCCCATCAAAGTGGACAAACCATCCAAAACAAAACACCCCTACACGTCAACCAAAGGTTGATGTGTCATGGGGTGCCATAAATCATCAGAGTCTCCCTGGACTTTGATTTGTGGAGATCCACCTCTCTGGTCGCGCCGAATGTCCCATGCCCTCCGTCCATCATTCAAGCTCTGGGAAGACACTCGCAGACGCCTGGTGGGGCTGTCCCCTTGCCAACTTCACTTTACCGTGTTTTGATTGTAGCTCGGATGCTTCAATCTGCTTAAGTCCCCGGAAACAAATAAAACCAACATCCAGTGAGTGCTCGATTCCCTGAGCCAAAGGTGGCTCAACATGTTCAGCAAGTAGAAGAACGTGGTTGCTCGTACTTTTGGGGTTGGTTAAAGAAAAGCCAAGAGGAGAAATCCGCCATTTTGAGGATCCGGCCCCCAAAAAAAACGATCCGCCATGTGTTGTCCCAAAAGAGTTGGGCTTCCATCAGCCCAAACTTTGCGGCCAAGCAGCTGTCCCCGTAGAAGAGCCAGCGCGACCGCGGGCCCGAGCTCTCGGCATCTTGCCTCGCTGGCTGGCGAAGGCGCGGAAGGCATGGGGTGCCCACCTGAGGGTCAACCAGGAGTAGGGGATGGGGCACTGGGGGGTGGGGACGCTTGAAGACTTGGCATCCGGTTCCTCCCCTTCTGTTCTTCGGGCTTTCATGGCTGGTGAGTCGATTCCAGTTTTGTTCTACCCTAGAACATACAACTTCTCTCGTTTTGGGATCGGAGGGGTTCAGGATAGATAGACAGGTTTCTTGCCTGGCTTCAAGGTTCATGTTGTTAATGGCTCTGCCTGCAACATGAAGTGGTTTGGGTGGGTGATTCGGATTGCCCGGGTCCCTGGATCAAGCCCCGGAACACCAAATGGATTCGGCTCCAAACCATCAGGTAGCGGGAAGCTGAAGTTTGGCAGACCTCAGAGAGGAAACTTTTAGGACAATTTGACCAAGCCTGGAGGCTGAAAACATACACCCTGAATTGCGACATCCATCAAGCCTGGGAAGACACTCCTCGCAACCAACATCCCCTTATTGAGTCTGTGCCAATCCAGGTTCTTTTTTGGCGGCTGAGAGCCCTTTCGTTAGTACAACACGATCATGGAATTGTGAGGAGACCCCGTCCTGTGAAAAGGCCCCCAACACGTTCACCTGGGCCTGTCTTTTAGAACTCCAAAAAGTGGATCCGTATTTTGGTTTTGCTTTCGGTTCCCCCTGAAACCAACACATCCACCCCACATTTTGTTTCTATCCGCCCGATCAGATCCATTCCGATTTGCCTAGGCAGCTCCAGGCGCATTGGCATGGGCTGCGAAAGCGAGTTGGGCTGCTTTCCTTGGTTCTGAAATCACACATGAGCCATACTCAAAACCTTGTAGTCCAGGGGCATGGGTGGCCTTTTGAAAGATAGATGGCCCTGGAAATGGAATAAACACCCTATCTAAATCAGAGCCATCCATGTTCCAACTAATCTAAAACAGGCACCCATGCTGGCAAAAATAAATAAATAAATCGACCCAGAACCATGCAAAGAATTGAAACGGTGGCCGCACCCATGTATCGCTGGGGCTAGCCCGCGCTAGCCTTCATCTACCCGGGTTTTGATTGTGGCTCATGCGATTAGTGCAGCTTACTAGCATCCGAAGTCGACTTCTTCTATCGGGATAAAGTTTGCAACTGGGGCCCCGTTTCCCTTCTACCTGCCACACTCCGGGTGGCTTTGATGATGGACTGCCATGTCCTTACCGCACTCCTAGTAGCTCCCGAACGGCTCCCTCTTAGGCAAACAAATGGATACCCGCGGCTCCGAGTCCGGCTCTTCCCACCAGCTCGGCCACGGTCTAGATTGATTGCGTCCCTCTTGGAAATAAGCTTTGGTGAGAAAGCACAATCCCCGCTTCGAAAATGGCAATTTCGTGCTTGAATGGTGGCTTTCCTTTTGCTTTCCCTTTGAAGCATCACACCCCTCACTTCACACATGGGACCAACCAGTTTTGACACGAGTTGTGCATTCGATCCCCTGGTCCAAGATGGTCCAAGTGGCTCGGCTTGGGCTTGGCCAAATAACTCCCCAGCGCTTGCTGCAAGTGCTCACCCAAGCGCCGACACCCCGCCGCGGAGAGGTGGAGCCCATCCTGGCGAAGAGACGGAAAATCCTTTGGGAGGCTCCTAAAACTCAGCGGATGTTGGCGTTGTTTTGGTCGTTCGGGGATTGCTTTAAAGGGAAGCCAAAGGAACAACTTGAGATGAGTGTCTTTTGCAAAACCCGAACAAATACGAACATACTATCAGTCGGTTTTCTTTAACAGTAAGGGGGCAAAACAAATACACACTCTTAAGCAAATAGGTGTCTGTTTTGACACAAACCAACCCCATTGTTGCCGTTTACCACTAGAATGGTCCAAACCCAACTCTCAACAGGAGATGTTTATCTACAAGGACTGGTAAAACAAAAAGTGGGGAGGCCCTCAACTTGCTGGCTGTGGCCTTTCTTTTCTGTGGGTTGTCAGGCAAACCCTTCCTTGCCCGGCGCTGGGCGCTGTCAGGAAAGCACTGTCGCAGCGCTGCTTTCACAAGTCGCGCGGTGTTCGCCAACCTTTGGACAGATTTGGAGCTCTATGGCAGATATTCCACAGTGCTTGTCCGGCAAAGCCTCTGAAGCCAGGCGCGCCGGGCGCTGCCCGCCAGTGCTCACTCCGGATGTTTTTTTTTGCGTCGAGCTGGCCTTCCGAGCATTGCTTGACATGTGAAGCCCACCGATTGGGGATGGTGTTCCTTTTGCGGCGCATGTCGGACCAACCCTCCTTTGACACGTGCTGGGAGCTTCAGGAAGGGCTCGGGCTCCGGCTGCTTGCCACTCCTTAGCCTGTTGTCTCTCCGTGCTATGCAAGGACTGCAGTTGTTCTGGGCACGAGAGACGCTAAAGCTAGCTCCGCGAAAACGCTAGGGGGTCTGTTTGGCTTGCTCGCGAAAAGCAGGTCTTAAGTCAAGGCGCCCGGCGTTCTCCCTTCATGAGGTGCCGCGATGCCAAAGGGACCGCGTCAGGGGCAACACAGGGGCGTGTCAACGCTGGATTGCGCGGGAGCGCGCAGGGCTCTGCGCCCACCCCACCACTCCCCTCACCCCACCCAACCCCTCACCCCACCCCACCCCTCACCCCACCCCTCACCCGACCCCTCACCCCTCACCCCACCCCTCACCCCACCCAATTCCTCAAACATACGGCGCCGCAGGTCACAACCAACATGGGCGCCGCAGGTCCGTCCTGGTCCCAGAACTCGTCCAGCGGCAGCACCTCCGCCACGTCCACGAAGCCCACCACGCCCTCGTCGCCGCCGGGTCCGCACGCCCAAGCCTCCGAAGCCGGAAGCTGGGGTTTGTCACCAAACGGAGGCCCCACACCAAGCTTAGGGGGAAAAAAAGGGAAAAGAGTGGGGGAAAAGGAAATCCCCCAATCAACATGTTTCGTGTCTTCGAACTACAAACAGGACGATGGAACTCTAAGCAGCTTCCCCTGTAGTTGGTGCTTTGGATTGGTGGTTTGGTGGTCACCGGGCGGTTTCACAATTACCCTCTACAAGAACCAGGAATTCAAGTCCCCGCCACCAATACAAAGTTTACCTGATACACATCCAACTTTGAAGGGTGTGTCTCAACAGCAGACCCCGCTTGCTCAACAAGCGCATTGCGTTGGTCCTCCATGGATCCTTGCTACAAGCTAAGCCTTGAGGGAGAGATGTCAAATTCAACTTCCAAATGTCCAAAAAGGCCTGAGAACATGACTGGAAACCGCCGGGTTTTTCACTAAGGAAGCCGACTCCCTGTTCTTCTAAGGACACCGAATGAGCCCAGGTGAGCAGTGTTTCAAACCCAGTTGCGGCCGAAGAGAAATATCAAATCCCTTCCGCGAAGGCTTCCGCGGAGCTTGCGAGGCAAGAAAGGTTCCTTCCGCAAGAAGTTTGAAGAGGGAATCGCTTCCGCGTCGCTTCCGCGGATTGAGAAATGGGATTGAAGTTTGTTTTTGCTTCCGTGCGTGCAGGAAGACTAACACTTATTGATTTCGTGATTGCATCTTAGCCCTTCCGCGAAGCTTCCGCGGGTACATAAATGAGAAACCACTTCCGCGAACCTTGCGCGGCGCTTCCGCGACCTGGGGAAAGTCGAACATTTTGAAAACGATATGTCCTCCCGAATACTACTTTCAAGTGCAGAGGTTTTAGAACGTCGCTCGGTTACCCGAACAGCCATGGAACCCCCGAGAACGCTTCTGGAAGCCTAGCCCGCCGCTTCGAACCACTCGCCCATTTGGACAGAGACCCAACTTATTTCTTGGGCAATAAAACTTAACCTTTAAAGGACTTTTTGAGGGCTTAGGCTGTTGTTGCCCTAATCACACAAACCTTCGCATAACAGCACACATATGTGACACATGGAGGTTGTCAATGAGTCAGAACTTCTTCGAGCTGAAGGCCTCGAGGATCCAAGCGCGCGACGTTCCAAACGGAACCAGCGGGAGCGTATCGCTTCGAAACGCGCTTGGACCTAGAAATCCAAAGGGACCGACACAGAAAGGGGAACCCAAAAGAACCCAAGGGAAAGCCAACAGATCAGGTCGATCCGGTTTGAACAGAGCTTTGTCTATGCCCCTTTTGGTTTTTATGGTTTTGGCAGAGAGCCTCGCAGGGACGCAAGATGCTTGCTTGCTGGCCCTGTTCCGTGGCATGTAGGCCAACTTAGACAATATGGTACCGGCATGATTCACCTGTCGGACTGTGACATCCAATGTGTGTTTCAAACGATGATATCAAAATGGGCCATCTTTATTACTTACCCAGTGGATCCACATACCCGTACAGGTAACCAAGGGCTTGCCACCTGTTCAAAACCAGTTGGAAAATTGATAGAAGGTTTACCTACTAGGGCTTGCAACCACAATCCACTGAAGTAAGGAATCTCCAAAGGGCTTGCATAACTGCCTTTTGCTTGAGTCTCCTTGAAAGAACATAAGAACGGATATCTCCAGTAGTGATAAAAAAGCGCCAGGAAGATCATGGTGAGCTGATCGTCCCCCCAGTGAGCGAGCGCCGGGATGGAATGCCCTTCAACCAGGCCTTCAGGAGGCAGTTCGCCCGGCCCCAGCGCTCTCGGTACCGCCCGCCTCGCGGGGGAATCCCATCGGCTGAACTGGGCCCACCCGAATGGGGGGAAGGAACCCTAGGGGCCCTGAATGGGGGGTGAGGGGGGGGGGGCAGTATTTTGAGGGGGCCTGATTTGATTTGAAGGGGGGGAGGGTCTTTGGGTTGTAGGGCCCCTGATTTCAGCTGTCATCATGCAATCTTTGGGTCGCGCAATCTATTGGATCCCAACCGCGCATGCTCCAGCCTTTTGGCTTCCGAACCCCAAGGAAGGCCTTGAGAAAGCCTGACACCTTCAATTGTCCACCTTGTGCGCCCATCCATGTTCATGCGTACCGACCGTGTGGCAAAACCAGCAGAACTGCATTGAGCCTGCTTCCATTGACTAAGGGCCGGACATGCCTAACTGGGATGCGGGGGGGGGGGGGGGGCGGGGAATTCCTGTGTTCCCAAGTGACCAACGAGACATGTCTTACTCAATGGGAACACGAACAAAAAGCCATGGTGAAACATGTTGCCTTCCGGTCCATGGAGCCCTCCAGAAGCTCTCTTCAAGCCCTCTGTGAGCTTCCGTGGTAGATGAAAAATCCCTGGAGTCTCCATCAACATCTAATGGAGACTCATGACTCCTGAATTTTTGGTAACGACCAACCATGTTGAAAGGGTCAGAAGGGGACTGCAGAAATCCTGCGTTGTGTGTGTGTGTCAAAGCTTTGCCCGCCGGCCTTTAGCCAAGAGCTTGTTCGGTGGCACGCTCAGTGCCACAGTCCGCACTTGCTCGCAGTGGCAAGCGGTGTGCATGCACTTGATGGTGGTAGCGATCGCCGCGGCAGCCTGAGTCGCAGAAATAGAAATAGGGACCATTTCCATCTACCTGGAGTCTCCATGGCCCTTTAAAATGGGCTCATTACGCCTTTATTGTGGGTCATGACCCCATTTTTAAAGGGTCATGGAGACTCCAGGCAGGCACAAAGCTATAGCAATTCATTGACGAAACCAAAGGGCTCCCGGGCTCCCGCAGGTGTCCAAAAAGGGCGGGGTGGATGTTGCTAAGCCAAAAGTGGGGCAGTGGCAACCAAACTAAGCAAGGGGCATCACCCCCCTTTCTCAGGTGCCTTTTGTAGTGCGCTTTGATTTGTTTGGAGATGTTTGGACACTTCCCTGAAACCAGCTTCACAAATCTATCCAACTACCGGGACCCTCACACTACCCATCAAAAAGGGACTTCGCCCCATAATTTTGAGGTAGTAACCAAGTTTCAAGAGAAACGCGTGGGTCCTACTGTGGATGGACGAAATCCTGCACCACCTAAGAAACCCTGAAATGATGACTATCCTGTAAATATACTGACACACCATGGTTTCAACCATGATTTCATTTCGTGGTGCGAAATGGTTTTTGCAACTATCCACAGTAATACCATGTTTTCCTTGGCAACGTGTTGTAAATGACCGGTGTCTGTCAGGGTTGCTCCCTCCGCTCCCCGACCAACCCAGGGAAAGCCAGACCTAGGGAAAATCAGCCCTAGGAGGGCAAAACACACCTATCCGAAAAGTGCCTTGTTTCCAAAGATTCTCCTCCATTTGCTCAAGTCCCCTGAAAAAACAAAAAAACAATAACAACTATTATATATATATATACATATGTCCAGTAGTGATAGATTCCAACTTGAAAACCAACAGGGGAAAAGAAGACATCTTGTTAACCACATGGAAGGATTCTTCTCAGGGGCCTTTTAGGTCACACCAAAAAAGCAACCTGCCATGCGCAGTCAACCATGCCGAAAGCCAACAGAGAAAATGAGAACACATGTGTCTGGTAGTGATAGATCTTAACTAAACAGCCAACAGGAGAAAAACACAATTGCAACAACAATCCTCGTTCATCATAGATTACATTCTGAAACGCAAATGGAAGACAATTGTGTTTTCCAGGGACCCTAAGCAGCCGGTTTGCTGCAACTGAGCGACATGGGGGGAAGAAAAAATGGGTCACGTACTTTCTTAGGTACCAAGAATTGGACCCTCAGGGAATGGAAGAAAACTGAGACATCCAACAGCTGGACTGCCAATAATAATTTGGGTGTGTCTTTCTCTGAGGCTCGGTACCCCATGTTTGGTTTGTTTAAAGGAACACCAAAAGAACAAACGACATGTTTGGTTTGGATTTAACCTCCATTTGCCTAGGTCCCCTGAAAAAACAAATGTTTCCAGTAGTGATGGATTCCCTTTAACACCAGCAGTTTTTTTTTGGAAGTTAAACAAAAAGCCGCGCCCGTGTCCATCTTTGTGTTCGCCGCTTCGGGGCCGTACGAGCATCCGAGAGGTCGTGAGAGCCCGCCATGAGCAACGCCAGCTCGAAGGGGCTTTCCGAGTTCGCGGCGCTGCGCAGAATCCGGCGGAGACCCTGGCAGACCTGGCGAAACCCATGGAACAAACCGTTGCTGGCACGACCCCCCTGCAAAAAGTTAACTTTTTGGGGGTTTAGTGGAAAACTCAACTTGAATTCCCAAAAAGTTAAAGTCTAAAGATCCAACCCAATAGCAGTTGAGAAACGTATCTGGCGACTCCATGGGTCATTACCCAAAATATAGGGGTCATGACCCCGTGTTTAAAGGGTCATGGAGACTCCAGGTAGTTTGGACCACAGAAAAATGTCATGTATTGTGTGGCGCCTCATGAAAACTTGAAAAGGATTCACAAAGTGGAATCTTATCCTAGGGGAACAGTTTTCAGAGCAAAACTATTGCAGGCGAGTAGTGACTTCTTCGTGCTTTTCTGGGGCCAAGGACCGACGGAGCCCTAAACTTCCTCTTACGGACCTCAGGGCCATGAAGATTTCTTTCATTCCGCTTGTGAGATGGCTCTGATGTATTGCATGGGTGGAGCTACCAGCTACTGGTCGGTTAGCGGGAAACTACGTACACGTCCCCTCAAAAAGCTATAACGGTCACAAACCAAGCACATTCCGAATAGATCACGAGCAAGCAACCACATAATGTTCCACAAACAACTCACAGGTAGTAACCGTTAGTATCCAAATAGAACACAAGTCAGCAACTACATAACTTTTCACAAAAAAGCCTACGGGTCACGAATCCAAACAAATAGAACCCACGTAACCCTAGCAACCGTGCGGGGTCTTTGGGACCCGTCCCGAGTCGCCTGGCCGTCGGCATCTCGGAAAGTCTTCTCGTCCATGGTCTCCACCAAATCCGCGGATTCCAGGCCGCTGAGACCGCAGACCTGCGTCAGAAAACGGCGAGACCTGGTACCCTTCTTCTTGCTGGCGCGATAGGCAGGGAATGAGGAACCCCTTATGGTTTCCTTTAAGAAGAGCCTGAGGATTCCCGAAGAAGGGAAGCCATACCGGATGGCTTCTTGCGGGGTCATTCCAATTCTCTTTCCCTACTGCGCACCAGAAAGCCTTCCAATAAACGCGGAAGTGGACAGAGGGGTTTTCAAGGGAAGTAAGTCTTCCAAAATCCTCCGATCGTCAGCTTCCATGGTTGGAGGGAGGGTAAAACCAGAGTCCACCCCCACAGATATCCCCAGAACTTTAACCCAACATGGAAAAATGGGTTTACCTGGTGCCCAGCATCTTGCAGCAGCTTGGCTGGGACTATCCCGATCCCTTCCGAGTTTTGGCTGAAATATAAACCGGGTCCCAGTGCGTTTCCATTCACCCGTCGACACGGAACCTCACGACCATTTTTCTCTAAAATGGGCCCCTGGCAGTTTCCAGCGTGGACTAAAGGGTAGTCTCGTTGACATTGGACCCGCCTCGAAAGGTCGCAAGGGCACCACTGGAGGCCTTTGGATATCAACCGCACTCCAAATCCTGAGGCCTTGAAAAAGCGCCAATTCACACCCCAGCAGCCCAAATCTCAGAGCATAGTTCCCCTATGCATGTTTTTGCTTCTTCTTTTTTAATATATATATATACATATAATATATCTATATATATACATATACAGGAAGGCTTCATTCAAATTGTATAAGGGGCCAACAAGTCTGCAAACTCCCACCCCTCATGGACCCCTCCAAGTGGCAAGGCCTTATTTGGCCTCAATCTTATTGACTGTCAACGCCGGTGTACGGGGTGGGTAAGGTCTTTGATAAACATCAATCACTCCAAGGGTTTCCCGGTTTTCCTGTTACAACTTGGGATTGCGCCCTCTTGGGAATTCTCCTGTTCTGGCCTATGTCCTGGTTATTTTGGTATATTTTGGATTTGTTTTTGTAATTTCCCTAGGGTGTCGTAGGAGGAACGTTCTTAAAACCACACACTCCTGTGGGAAATCTACAAGGATGCTTGCAATGGGAATAAAAAGTACCTCAGCTTTTTGCCCCTGGAGCATGTCCCGAGACTCTGGTCCCATATTAACCTTAGACTTCCAATGGTAGATCATGGCACTGCAACAAAAACAAATCGTGGGAGACTTGGTTGGCCTTGTGCTGCTTTCAGTTGCCCTTATAAATGTGTGTTTAATCATTCTGCATTTAATCGACCACCGGAGTATGCTGGAAAGTGAACGGCTGAGTTCGCAAAAGCAACACTGCTTCCGCATAAACCCAGGGTCCCAGGTGATGTTCGTGGGAAAAGCAGGCGCCCAGTTTTTGGTCGTTGATTAAAACGGGCTCACACAGGGCACTCGCCTCACGCAGGGAATGAAAGGAAACCTGGGTGCTCATCTCGAGCGGGGCAAACCGAGCGAACTCCGAACTCGTTGCGCGGTCAACATATACGGTCAACATATACGTGCTTCAGGCGGAAAGGCGGTTGATGCGCTTGCTGGCAGCAACGGCGGTTGGAGTGTGCCCCAAATAACAGCACGTTGGAAAATTCATGAACTGTTCCCTTCCCCCACGATGCGAGATCATGGAAAACATTAGCCGATTTCCTCCTTATCAAATGCAACCTTTGCATGCAGTTCCTCAACAGATATGGGCGTCCTGGCCGATCCTAAGTCTAGGGGGTGGGGCTGGTTGGACGGCCAGTTGGTCCAGTTGGTCAGTTGGCTGTTTGCCTGCTTGCTCTCCCTTCCTAGGTGGCATCCCAAATCCAATTCCAAACTTTGTATTTACCACTACAATGGGAACTAAGGACTCGAGTGAGTTAATTACTTGCGTCCTTAGCTTTTCTCGGATTTCTTGGGATGTGGCCATGGGTCAAAATCCAAATCGTACCCCCAGTGAAGATCCCAATCCCAACTAGAATAGATGAAAATGGGTGGTGAATTCACCTACCCCAAAATCAAAATCGGATCCCATCGGAAATTGACCCACCGCCATGTCTGGGCAGAAAAAGCCGGGCCTGGACCCGACAGCTTCCCAGATGAGCGCCGTAGCTCTGGCACTGCCCATGGACCATCTCAGGGCGAGGAAAACGTCGCCCCTGAAATCCCTGAGTGCACCCCTCTCGTTTTAAGTGCCTGGACCCGAAAGAACTACCCACAAAGGAAATTCACAAACCATAATCTCGGGTTGCAAGAACCGAATTGTAAGTTGGAATTTTTGAGAGTTCCAGGTGGTTTTCGGGGCTCCCTAATTTTGACCCCAGATTCATAAACCAATATACCCTCCAAAGTGATGAGCCCCTAAAAGGGATTACCCCTCGATCAAAATCAACCACTGGCTGATTCATCTGGGCTTACCTAGCCCTTAGCTCCAAATACCAGGTCCTCCTTTAGAGGGTTGACGTGATATGACATGCCCGAAACCACCAAGGTTTACTGGGGTTGAGGTAAATCACCTGGCACCAGGGTTCGAGAAGGATGCTTCCTAAATAGGGCCCCTGGTTGGATGGCCGCCCATTTTCCGGGTCTCCTACTTTCATCCCCTTATCTTCTGGACAGCTCTTGGCTTACAACTCTGACTATAACCTACTTACTAAGAGGGTTGGACATCCAAGCTTCCATTTGCTTCAGTACCGTGGAAAATAAGCACATTCCAGCAGTGATAGATTCAAGTGAACAAAAAGCAACAGGGCGCAAACAAAAAAAAAAAAACGACTTGCAAATGGAAGCAAGCACTACGAGCAATGGGGAATCGGTTCTTGACAATCCTTACTGGAGTCTCCATGACCAGGTAGACATGGGGGGGCGTTACCCAAAGTTTAGGGGGCATGACCCCATTTTGTCTTGGTTGCTGTTGACCCCTCTACAATCAGCTTCTAACTTTTAGTGAGTCCCTACGGTGTTTCCACCGGAAAGTGAAGAAGTGCGAAGATCCGTTACCAAATAGACATAAAGTAAGGGACACTTCCATATTTGCTCAAGCCCCCTGCTTTCTTCCTTTTAAGCATGTCAAGTAGTGACATCCGTTTTCCTTTGCAACCAACAAGGGGAAACAAAACAAAGACTATATTTTCAGCACACGGAAGGCTAGGTCCTCCAGTAGAGAGGTTAGAAGAAGGGTACCAACTTTGTTCTGGAGTCTATTTTAGTAGGGGAACCCTCCCAAGAAGAATAAAGGGGCACTACTGGAGAACCCAGCCAAGCTAGAGCCAATACCCCATGTTTCTCTCCAGTTGATTCCTTCCCAGCGAGTTCGGCTCCCTTCCAACCAGCCAACTCGCGCAGGCGAACCATTTTCCGAAAGGGGCACTGGTACCCGTTCTTCTGCAGTCTATTTTAGGTGGGGAACCCTCCCCCAAAAAAGAAACGGTAAAAGGGAACCTAGCTGGGGGAGGTCAGAAGGCTCCAGACCGGCCTGGCCGGTGAGGTCATCCCCGAAGACCAGGACTTGCGGACCCGAGCCCCCGAAGCGCGGGAAGTGGTTTCCGTTGGACGAAGGCCCCATGGCGCAAGTCGAAAATGGAAGCCACGGGTTGAGACGCGTCTATGAGGTGTGGGTTTGGGGGTCCAAATCGGGGGGCTACTAACTAGGGGGGGGCCAACATAGGTGGTTTTTAACCCCCCCCCCCTTCCTGGAATGGGGTGGGTTTTCCTCTTGCTGGTTGAACCAACTGGAAGTGTGGGTTGGATTCCGCCTGCCATGTTCTTCTCTCACGGCTGGCGATTCTGAAGGCGTCCAAATCTCTCACGTGCTAGCAAAATCTACATGGCGAAACATAACGCCTGTCAACAAAAAAGTTACCATTGTTGGCGTCTTTGAGCCCTACAAAATGCTCCAAAGGACAAAACGGTTATCGTTGCATCGGCGACGCCAAAGTCCTCTAGGCGTCATTTCTCCAGCGTGCGCATGTAAAATGCTTGCGAGCCAAGCGGACATGTGTGAGTGCGTCTTTTTTGAGGGTACCGTGTTTCCTGGTTTAAAAGCAACCCAAAAGGAACACCACCATTTCGGGGTCGATGAAAAAAGACCAGCATATCCATGCAGGGCCTGCGAAATGGCTTAAGCAAGGGAGCCGAATCGGACTGGAGTTGTCAAGAGGGGAAGCCCCACTTCGCCCACTTAGCCTTCAAGAACGCATGGGGTTCCAAATGCCACCAATGTTTCACCACCACCTGAGTGGTACCCTTTCGGCAAATCCAACTCGGTGGTAGGGGGAACAAAGGCTCCCTGAAGGGAACCCCCTGAGGAACCCGAACTGGGCTCTCAGCTAGTTCCCCGCCCACCTAGCCCTCTGGGATGTATCGAACACAAAACTCCATCCGAGAATCGCCCAGCCCGCTGAAAGGTACCCTGCCATCTATGGACCCTGACTAAGTCCTGGGTCTGGTTGAGACAATCTTCCGTTTCAAAGGGCTTCCAGGTGAGTGGGCGGGATGGCCTCCAGGGTGATGTGTACTCCCCTGGATGTGTGCTGCCATTTTTGGCCGGGTTTTTCCATGTCCCTCGCACATGGACCACGGACCGGAAACTGTGACCAAACCTCAATTTCCAGCTGTACCTTCCATTTCCATTCTCTTCAGGGATCCTTCTCTTTAAACAAGGCAACACGCCTGGAGATGGGTGGCTTCCGTTCCCTCCACTTGCTTAGGTCTCCTGGAGAAGATATCCACAATTCCAGTAGTGATAGATTCCCTCTCAAAACCCTGACTTCCAGTGGGGAAAAAGACATAAGCAATTGGAAGGTTAAGAACGATGGGTGAAGATAATTTGATTAACCAACCCTTGAGCTCGACTCAACGTCGATCCACGGAAACCAAAGGAAAGGCCGGTGCTGCCTCCCACTCCCTCTTGGTAATGAAGCCTTTCGGCCTTGGAATCGATCCGCAATTCGTGTCTGGAGATTAGTATTTTACCTTCCCACACCATGAAGCCATGGGAAACCATTGCTTGTTGGTATTTGCGTTGGGGAATCGAATCATTCCAGGGGTTGTTAAGTGGTGCAGGATTTCGTCCATCCACAGTACCACTAGCTTTGCACCTGACATAGGCTACCTCCAACACAATAGTGATCTTCGAGGTACCCTCCCACAGGTGCACAAACGCCATGTCAGTGGGAAGGGACAAATCGGGGACTGACATCCCTCAAGCTGGAGAAAACACAACTGTAACCTGAGGTGGGTGTAGGCCGCGCTTAGGATTTTCGGGTGGTTGGAAATTGGGGCGGGCTTGGGGTGGGTTTAGGTTCATGGTGAGCTTGAGGCTAGGTTTTGGTGCGTTCAGGATTGGCTTAGGGTGCGTTTCGGGTGTTTCGAGTCGGGGCTCAGGGTGGGTTGAAGGGGTTTGGAGTGGGTTTGGTTTAGGGTTGTCAGGGCGGGTTTAAGGTGTGTTTAGGGGTGGGTAGCGCGGGTTTGGGGTTTGGGGGCTCAGGTTTGCCTTAGGTTGGTTTAGGATGGTTTCTAGTAGCGGGTTAGATGAAGTTTGGGTTGGCGCAAGGTTGGTTTAGTCGAGGATTAAGTTTGTGTTCTTTCTTTTTTTTGTAAGGTGGGTTTAGTGTGGTTCCGGTTGTCTAGGGCGGGTTCAGTGTTGGTTTTAAGGTGTACGGGGTTCAAGGTCGGTTCAAGGTGGGTTTAGGGTAGGGCAAGGTTTACGAAGGTTTAGTTGGGTAGGTTTAGCATGGGTTTGTGGTGGGCAGGCTATAGGTTCAGGATAGGTTTAGGGTGGGCTTGGGCGGTTTGGGATTGGTTTAGGGTGGGTTCAAATGGAGTTTGGGTTGGTTGGGTCGGTTGAGTTGAGGAAAGGCGGGTTAGTGCATTTCAGGTGCTTAGGGTGTGGGTTTAGGTTGGATTTATGTACGTTTAAGGTATGTTTAGGGTACGCAACATTTAAAAGTGGCTTGCTTGAACAATGATAAACTAATCCTTGACAACTCACAGCATGTGACGGCAACTAAACCCCACCCTTTCTTTTCCACCACCATGAGCTAGGTACCCTCTGCTCGAAACGCCGGGATCCAGTAAATCCCTTGGTTATCCATACAGGTAAAAGGATCCACTGGGAGGTGGGTCGGACCTCTCTATCTAATTTTGACGAGCCTAAGCCAACTCCCGGGTTCCGCAAAAGATATATTGACATGCAAAAGTTGCCTGGTTCACACAAATCAACTGGCATTTCAGAAGTCGAGTTGGACACTGCGTCATTGGTCCCCTTGCCTCACCTTCAACCCCTTTTCCTGGGATCTAAGTAATTTCTCTGTTCATTTTACCCGGCCCAAAAAATATGGGGTACTCAGAAAGTCATAAATCATTCATTTGATTCGGTCATATGGCTGTGACTGTTCTTGAGGCCACCCCCTGTTTGTGGTGTTAAAGCACGGTTTTTCTCTTTTGGGCGGGGGGTCTTCGTCCTTTTTTTTGGGGGGGGTCCCCAAAAAAAGGACTCCCATCTGCAGAAAACCAACATAGCCTTGGAGAAGACCCTGGTCTAGGGCCTGAGAACGGCGATAGCGCCGGTTTTTGGGGCCCGGCGGCGAGCTGTCACACTGCCTCAGGTCTCGTTCGGCTGAAAAAAGGAGATCCAAAGTGGAGCCAGATATGGCTGTGGGTCAACAATAGGTACCCAAAATGGAACCCTGGTAAATGGAACCCATGACTAAAACAGGCGGTTCCATGGTGGTTTAGTTTTGACCCACAGCCATACCATTCCAGGGTTCTTAGGTGCAGGAATTCGTCCGTGGGTACCCAAAATGGCTTGGGAAATTAAAACAAGTCGACTCAAACCTGCAGTCCATGTTGTGGTGGTGAACATTCTTTGACCCAGACCCAAATGGCCTTGGTTCAACCAGCACTTCCTGGCCGCACCTACCACTTTTGCGTGGTCTCTAAAGAGAATGACGGGTGAAGAAAATGGAGAACCAAGCCTTACTGTAGACGAAAGGAGAAAGTCTGGGAACTCAAGGTGCTTAAGCGCCCAAATGGCACCAATAAACCCTTCGATGCGAAGAGTGGCCTTATCTAACCACGCAGCCCCTTGACAAGGCGCTGTGGTGCAACCCAGCTCAGTTGCAAAAGGACCCAGAAATAAAAGGTTGATCCCTTTGGGACCTTTGTTTAAAGTGGGAACCCAACAAGGGAAAAACAGAAGGTCAAAAGGTCGATCCGTTCTGGACAACTGAGCAACATGACCTTCGTCCGCGAGAAATGGCTGTGCGGCAAAAATTGGTCTCCAAAATGGGTTGCCCTGGTACATGGAAGCATGGAGTAAACCCCTGCGGTCTCCTCCAGCCCGGGTCGCAACCACTGCTTTTCGGTTAGCACACCAGGATTTTGGACATGGGGAGAAGCAGCTGGAGGTGCTGGCTGGCACCATGCAAATGGAAGCATGAGCTCTAAAATCTGTGGTCTCTGGCAAAATCCTGGTAAAACCCTGGTACCCTGGTAAAACCTGCCGTCTCCTGGTGGATTCGTTTTGACCCATCGCCAACTCGCGAGTCGCGCGGCTCGACCGCGTCTCTTCCATTTGCTTAAGCCCCCTTGGGCAAAAAAAACAAACAAACATATATTTCCAGTAGTGATAGATTCCCTTTAAAACCAACAGGGGGAAATAAAAAGAATATTCTCAAGCCCTTTGAGAAAAAAAACTAAAACAACTATAGTGATTTAAAACCAACAGGGAAAAAGAACACATCTTCTTAAAAAAAAGTGGACAGTCTTGAGAAATCCAAGGCAAAGGCTCCCAGAAGGCGAAGAGGTCCGCCTTCTTCTCCACCACCCAGCGGGAGGCGTGGTGGAACACCTGGCATAAGAAACCCCGAAGCAGGCTTTGGTGTGTCACACCCAGTTTGGCCCAGCTTGGCGCAGAAAAAAAATAAAAATAAAAACACAGGAGCTCGGAAAAAAGAAGAATAATATATGTTTCCTGATGATGTTTCATACAGTTGGTCTGCCCTATAAACAAGTGTCGGAGACCCCGGAACATCTTGGCTTCCAGGGAAGCCGGGAAGCCACAGCCAGGTTTTTTTTGGGGGGGTGTAACCCGAGCCCAATCAAAGGCTTACCTCTTCAGGCGCATGACAGATTTATGGCCTGCAATGGGTTCAAAGGATTTCTTTCTTCGGTTCCATGTACTCAGTGAGCCAGAAATAGAAGCTGATCACCTTTTGGGGCCACATCTGAACCCAAATTGGAAACCAACTGGTCTCCGGTCGATTCGCGCAAAGCACCAAGGTGACCAACCCTTAAACAAATTTAAATTGACCCCGGCGAAGGGTTACTTACTTCTTGATTGGACTGGCAAAAAAACAGCGCAAACTTTTTATTTGCCGCTACAATGGTCTTCCCAAAAAGGTTAGAGTCCAGGAACTCAGGGAGTGAGGACGGCGAAGGGTTTTTCTGTGGCCGTTTTGCCGGGGGGCGTGGCATGGCCTGGGGACCAAGGGGCTATGTTCGAGGGGTTGAGGGCTTGGGGTTGGGAACTGGAATCCACGGTTAGCCAAGTTACAAACCTCATGGATCCTGGAAGCACAAGGGGACAAGACCT